CTTACGTCTTTCGCTTACGTCTTTCGCTTACGTCTTTCGCTTACGTCTTTCGCTTACGTCTTTCGCTTACGTCTTTCGCTTACGTCTTTCGCTTAAGCCTTTCGCTTAAGCGTTTCGCTTAAGTGCTTCGCTTCAGTGCTTCGCTTAAGTGCTTCGCTTAAGTGCTTCGCTTAAGTGCTTCGCTTAAGTGCTTCGCTTAAGTGCTTCGCTTAAGTGCTTCGCTTAAGTGCTTCGCTTCAGTGCTTCGCTTAAGTGCTTCGCTTAAGTGCTTCGCTTAAGTGCTTCGCTTAAGTGCTTCGCTTAAGAGCGTGGCTCAAGTCAGTGCCTCTGCTTGCGTGGTTCGCTTGTCGCCCAGGTGCTTCGCTTAAGTAGTGCTACTTCGCTTAAGTAGTGCTTTGCTGAGGTAGTGCCTCGCTTAAGTAGTGCTACTTTGCTTAGGTAGTGCTTTGCTGAGGTAGTGCCTCGCTTAAGTAGTACTACTTCGCCTAATTAGTGCTTTACTGAGGTAGTGCCTCGCTTAAGTGGTGCTAGTGCTGCGCTCAAGTATTAAATAGTGCCTCAGTTAAGTAGTGCGTCGCCTAGGTTTAAGTAGTGTCTCGCTTAGGTACTTACACCGCGACCGCGCTCAAATACAATTCGCCAGAGTGGTGCCTCGCCTAGGTAGTGCCTCTCTGAAGTAGCGCCTCGCCTAAGTAGTGCCTCGCCTAGGTAGTGCCTCGCCTAAGTAGTGCCTCGCTTAGATAGTGCCTCGCTGCTTAAGTAGTGCCACTTCACTGCGGCCTCACATACATTGTAGCGACGAAAAGAAAAGAATTATAGCAAACAGAGAGCGTCGCAATGCGCATTAAGAGTAAAGACATTCAAGATCCTGCTCAACCCCAAAACCTCACAGGTGCGACTTGGTCCACGCCGCTCTGTCCCTGTTGAACAAGCACAATTTGGTGCGGTACGACCGGCGGACCGGCCAGGTGCAGGTGACCGCGATGGGTCGCGTGGCGTCGCACTACTACATCAAGCACCCCTCCATCGCCGTTTACAACGAACACTTGCGGCCGAACATGAACGACATCGAGCTGCTCCGGCTCTTCTCCCTGTCCTCCGAATTCAAGAACATCCCGGTCCGCGACGACGAAAAGGTGGAGTTAACGAAATTGTTGGAGAAGGTTCCGATCCCGGTGAAGGGGTCCGCGGAGGAGTACACCGCGAAGGTGAATGTCTTGCTGCAGGCGTACATTTCCAAGATGAAGCTGGAGGGATTCGCGATGGCCGCCGACATGGTGTACATCGAGCAGTCCGCCGGGCGAATCATGCGCGCGCTGTTCGAGATCGCGCTCCGCAAGGGGTGGGCGTCGCTGGCGCTGCGGTGCCTGAAGTGGTGCAAGATGATCGAGAAGCGGATGTGGAGCTGCCAGACCCCGCTGCGGCACTTCAAGGACCACAACCGAAATTTGCAGGAAGACGTCCTGCGCAAGCTGGAGAAGAAGGACGTCCCGTGGGACAAGTACTACGATTTGTCACCGACCGATTTGGCGGAGCTGATCCGCCTGCCGAAGTTCGGAAAGATGCTGCACCGGTTGGTGCATCAATTCCCCAAGATCGACCTGGTTGCGTACGTGCAGCCGAAAACTCGCAGTTGCCTGATGGTGGAGCTGACGCTGACCCCGGATTTCCAGTGGGACCCGAAAATTCACGGCGGCGGCGAAATCTTCTGGGTGATTGTGGAGGACGTGAACGGCGAGCACGTGTTGCACTACGAGCAATTTTACCTGAAAATGCAGGAAGCGGAGCTGGAGCACACGATCACGTTCACCGTGCCCATCACCGAGCCCAAGCCGCCGCAGTACTTCTTGCGGCTGGTGTCCGACCGGTGGCTGAACGCGGAAACGCTGCTCGCGGTCTCCTTCCGGAACTTGATCTTACCGGAGAAAGCACCGCCACACACAGAGCTGCTCGACCTCCAGCCCTTACCCGTGTCCGCGCTGCGCTACAAGGACGCAGCGGACGTGTTCTACTCGCAGATGCCGACGTTCAACCCGCTGCAGACCCAGACCTTCACCTGTCTGTACAGCACCAACGACAACGCGCTGATCTGCGCCCCGGCGGCGTCCGGCAAGGAGGTGTGCATGGAGTTTGCGATCCTGAAGATGCTCCAGTCCGGCATCGACCACCCCCGGGCGGTGTATCTGGCGCCCTACGAAAGAATCATGGAGGAGCGGTTCCAGGCCTGGGCCCCGCGGTTCCAGAAGCTCGGCGTCGAGGTCGCGAAGTTGACCGGGGAGGTTGCCGCGGACCTGCGGATCCTGGAGCAGTCCAACCTCGTGGTCACCACGCCCGACAAGTTCGACATGATCAGTCGCCGTCACAAGCAGAAGAAGGGCCAGGTGGTGCAGGAGCTGAATCTGCTGCTCTGCGACGAGCTGCATTTGCTGGAGGACGCGGAAGTCGGGCCCATCTACGAGGCGGTCGTGTCCCGGATGCGGTTTTTGCACATGCAGACGCAGAACAACCTGCGCATCATCGGGTTCGCGGCCTCGTTGGCGAACGCGAAGGACCTCGCGGAGTGGTTGGGCGCGAGCTTCCAGACGCTGTTCAACTTTTCGCCGAACGTGCGCGCCATCCCGCTGGAGATGACGTTCCACGGCTTTGACGTCCACAACCGCATCACGCGGCTGCAGTCCATGAGCCGGCCCGTGTACCAGGCGATCAAGAACAACAGCGGCACCAAGCCCGTGATCGTGTTTGTGAGTGACCGCAAGCAGTGCCGCTTGACGTCGATCGATTTGTTGCTTCACGCGGCCTCCGACGATACGCCCAAGCGGTTTTTGCGGGTGAAGGACGAAGCGATCGCACCGTATTTGAAGAACCCGTTTCTGCAGACCCGGGAGTCGTTGCGCAACTGCTTGGAGTACGGTGTGGGGTACATTCACGAGGGGTTCTCCCAGGAGGAGATGAACTTCGTGTGCAAGCTGTACCGTGCCGGAGCGTTGCAGGTCCTGGTCGCGAGCCAATCGCTGTGCTACGGCATGACGGACGTGGCACACTTGGTCGTGGTGATGGACACGACCAAGTACGACGGCAAGGAGGGCCGGTTCGTCGACTACCCGGTGGCGGACATTTTGCAGATGATGGGGCGCGCGTCCCGCCCCAGCGACGACGCGTCCGGGGTCTGCGTTTTGTTGTGTCCGGCCTCGAAGAAGGAGTACTACAAGAAGTTCATTTTCGAGCCGCTCCCCGTCGAGTCGCATTTAGACCAGCGCATGGCCGACATTCTGAACGTCGAGGTGGTGATGAAGAACGTGGAGAACAAACAGGACGCACTGGACTGGCTTACCTGGACCTTCTACTACCGGAGATTGGCGCAGAACCCCAACTACTACGGGTTGCAGGGAGTCTCGCACACGCACTTGAGCGACCACCTGTCAGAAATCGTCGAGCAGACGGTCGACTTCTTGGAGCAGGCGGGGTGCACTTGTGTGGAAAACGATGTGGATCTCAGCGCCGCAAACCTCGGGCTCGTGGCCAGCTACTACGCGTTGAGGTACTTCTTGCTTCTTCTATGTGGAGCTTTTAGAGTTTTTGGATTGTTTTTTTTGCTTTTGCAAACCAAAATTGCAAACTCCGCAGGAGAATATTTTTTCCAACGTATATAGACCCAACTCCCACACAACTACAGGTACACCACGATCGAGGTCTTTTCCCGGTCGGTCGGCGAGGCCACGAAGCGGAAGGGCATTATCGACATCCTCGCCGAAGCCAGTGAGTTCGAGTATCTCCCCCTCCGCCAGGGAGAAGACGACGTGCTGAAGCAGCTCGCAGACAGCTGCGGCCTAGACCTGGGCGAAGCGATTCGGGATAAGGGCGAACGGATCAGGCCGACCGTGAAGGCGAAAATCCTGCTCTACGCGCACTTCCACCGGTATCAAATGTAAAAATGTCGGGGTCTGGAAAGTTGGAACTTGTGATGCTAACTTTGGACTCTAAAAAACTCTGTATTGCATGACCAGCAAGAGGAGCCACATTTGTGCTACGCGAGGAGGGCATTTGTCATGCGGAAATGGTATCAGGAAGCTTTCCAAAAATCTGTGATGCTGGGTCATGCATTACAAGCATCATGGGCCATGCCAGACAAGCATGACAAGCCTTCCATTCTTCCAGACCCAGACATATTTGCATTTGATAACCGGGCGTCTCTGACGATTGACTTGGCGTTCGACCAGAAATTCGTGCTGGAGAACGTGCTGCGGGTGGTGCAGGGGCTGGTGGACGTGATCAGTTCGAATTCAAACTTGAAACAGTCCCTGATGGCCATGGAGGTGTCGCAGATGATCGTTCAGGCAACGTTACACACCAATTCTCCGCTGATGCAGCTACCCCACCTCGGGCCCATACTGTCTGAGAAGCTGAAGAAAGCCGGTGTCGACGACGTTTTCAGCTTCGCCGACATGGAAGACGACGACAGAAATAAGGTAAGTAGATATACTGATCCCGTCTTCTGCGAATTTTTGTTGAAACAGAGGTCTGTTCTTCCTGAAAAATTTCATTTCGCTGCTTTTTTCCTTTATTTTGGTGTTTGAATGTCATTATACTGCATGCAAGTACCGACGAAACCTTACACCCGCAACATTCCTCATCGCAGGTGCTCGGCAAGGCGATCAGCGACAAGCAGATGAAGGACATTGCGGCGGCCTGCAATAGGTATCCCAGTGTGGAACTCGCTTACAAGGTTGACAAACCAGATCAACTGGAAGCCGGAGGAAAGTGCAAGATCATCTGCACCCTGGAGCGCGAAATGGACGAAGGTAATTGAAAATTACATAAGACGAGAAATAGATTTTGTTCTTTCTACTTTAATACATTCATTTCTTCACACCCACCATCCTCCTTATGGAGCAGCCTTACGCGATTGCGTTGGCGATGTTTTTTTTCGGCTTCGGCTGGACAAAAAGTAACAGCTCAAAGTATAATTCTCATCTCATACAAACCCACAACAGACGACGTGGTAACCGAGCCGGTCTACGCCCCGCTGTTTCCGAAGGAGAAGGACGAGTCTTGGTGGGTGCTGCTGGGGGACGTGCACAGCAACGCGCTGCTGTCCATCAAGAGGATAAGTTTCACGAAGGCCACGATGAAATTCAACCTGCAATTCGACCTCGGCGAGGACGTCGGTCAGCGCGACTACAAGCTGTATCTCATGTGCGACAGCTACCAGGGTGTGGATCAAGAGCACGCGGTCACGCTCGACGTCAAGGAAGGGTGATGGAAGGAATAGGAAAAGCTGTTGTGAAGGAGAAGGCAGTAAATTTGTGTAACACTAACAGCAGCATCACCACTTCCAAGTGGCAGCGACGACGACAGGTTGACTCATCAGCGACTTCCGATTTCTTGCGCAGTCCTGCAAAATATTACGAGCTGTCTGGAGAAGTGGATTTCGATTCGCTTGGCTTCAGCACGACGGAGAGGTTTTGTCTAGGTGACTTCTTGCGCCAAGACGGGCAGCGCGCAGATGATCTTCACCTGGTTGAATTACTCATTTGAAATGGAAAAGTCGAAAGTAACAGTTTCACCGCATTCGCGGCCGCGAATGTAGGACGTCCCTCTAAGTTTTAGATTTTCACCTTAGCCACCATTTTTCGGTCGGCGATGAATGAAAAGAACGAAGAGACAGAAGAGCGCTACTCAATGATGAAAGAAAGGGCTGCTTGTCGGCTCAATATTCTGGCGATGGCTGTGCTATCGGCAGCCAACAGAAGAGTAATGTGTTCGTTTTGAGCTGGTAGAAAACCAACAAGATTCAAAAACCCTTCTGCTAGACAGGATAAGCATCGGTCATTTCAGTCGAAGCAACTGTGTGCTTTTTTTTTTGTATTTTTTGCCATATTAAACGATTTACTCTGATTCCCATCGAGGATTGATTTTTAGGTTCATCTCATTCAATCTAATTCGGTCACTTGTACCTGAATTTCTCAATTTCGCAGGGCTTTTGCTGCTCTCTACCCGTAGATGTCCTCTTTCGGTCCCCGTAGCTCTTAGTCCACCCAAAAAATTTTGTTATATGCACGCACCTCTATTTTATTTCTGGTGTCCATAAAGTTAAAGCGTTGAGTTCATTCAAGCTCTAGTGCGCTGTACAATTTCGGTCTCCACCAAAGATGTCCGGCAAAGAACATTCGTTGTTGACGGGCACGTCCCGCAGCTGCAGCTCGTCGGGTGGTCGTTTGAATTATACAAGCAAAACGGTTGCCGCTGCGCTGGTTCTCTGTGCTTTTTCCGCAACGACATCAACTCAAGGACCCCACGCGGCGGTGCAGCTTGTACGCGGTGCAAAACCGGTACCCTCGCCGCCAGTGGTGCTGGAAAATGAAGACGAAATTGTGGAGATCCAGGACATTGGGCTGCGTGGATACAGGAAGAGACCGAGGTTACGGGACAAGGGCATCAAGTCGGACTTTCACACTGCGGTCGAAGATGCGATCGGGAGAACCAGGCGAAATAGTGAAGATTTATCTGTCGGAAAAATAAAGCGAAATCTGCGCAGCGGCTTGGCGAGAAGCAGTAGTTCAAGAGAGCGACATGAAGGTTCTCGTTCGGATGTTGCACCATCAAGGACACAACTTCTCGGACCGGAACTGCAGCAAGGCGCTGGAAGTCGCGGAGGTACTATAGCAAGGTCGTGGTTTACTGACGAGTCCGCGGCACTGGTTGCATCCGAGGCTGCTGCAGAAAGGAAAAAGGCGCAAAGGCACGCGCTTGAAGGTCGAGAAAGAAACGAAGCTGGTCCGTTGCATCGGCGAAAGCTCGAAAGTGCGAGGCCCGTGGACGAGGATTACGAACGCCGGAAGGCTTTATTCCGAGTGCGCGTTTTGGGCATTAAAGATCAGGTCGACGTGGATCCGCGGTCGGGGGAAGTAACTCTGTTCGATAGTGTAGTCGATCTGCCCGACGGTGGGAGAAATCCCTTCTTCAAGTACGCTACCAGGCGCCGGGGCTTGGCGCCGTACGCCCCGCAGACGTGTACCAAACACCAGGACTGCGCGGCGAACCACTACTGTATGTCGTGCGACAAGTGCAAGACGCAGACCGGCAGCAGCACTTGCAACGGGGACTGCACGCTGAGCAGCACCGTGGGGGTGTGCAAGCCCGTGTTCCACTGCCACAAGCACGCGGACTACCTCGGCGGCGCGTGTCCCAGCAGCTTTGCCGGTTGCGACAAAACCGCGGACTGCAACGCCTACGGGGGCACCCCCGGGACGAGCTGGCGCGGCACGGAAGAGTACTGCATGGCCTGCGCCAAGTGCAACGCCTACAAGGCGGTGCACCCGGGGCACGACTGCGGGCCCTGCGACAAGGGCATGGGGAAAGTGGGCTTCTGCCGTGCGCTCTCGGACTGCAAAGTCGCGAAAGATTCCACCAGTGGTGGCTGCCCGCAGGCGAAAGGCTGCCGCTCGCACAGCGACTGCGGCGCGTCCGAATACTGCCGGGATTGCCAAAAGTGCCTGGAAAGGAACGACGCGACCTACTGCGCCGACCACGTGTGTCCAAGTCAAGGTATCGATTGCTTTTGGTAGAAAGTTTTTGTCTCATCAGCTCAAGCGCTGCGTTGTTTTGGTGTTGGCACTTTGTGAAAGGCGATGCATTTTTCATGTAGCCGATCCTGCCAAACAGGTGGCGGCTACTGCTACGCGAATTTGGCTGCCTGTGAAACGTTCAACGACGGCGTGGGCGGTTCGTGCGTCCGCGATTCCGGCTGCAAGTCGCACACGGAGTGTGGTGAGGGGCGGTACTGCATGAGTTGCCAAAAGTGCAAGGACTACCACGACTCCCTCCCGGCAGATCGGAAGGACACGTGGCACTGCGACCCTTGTCCGACGAACGCGGGCGGGACCTGCGAGGCCGCGAGGTGGTGCGGTATCGCGAACGACGGCGTTTCCGACTGCCCGGCGTACGTGGGCTGTGCCTCCAAGGCAGACTGCGCACCCAGCGAATTCTGTCTCGCGCACGCCTCGTGCGTGTCCGAGCTGTCGCTTGCGGACTGCGGAACGGAGCCTGTGAAAGGTATCTATGCTTTCTTGATACACGGAAAAGAAGTCTGTTTCTAAAAATTTGATGGTTCTGCGCAAAAATTTCATACTGACTGGCAAAAGCTTCGTCCTAAATCTAACTCACAGGCGGCTTCTGCCTCGACCACAGCTACTGCACGGCTTCCCGCACGATTGACGGCGAGTGTGCGATGCAGTGCAACGGCAACGACGACTGCAGCAGTGGCGAGTTTTGCGGTGACTACAGCGAGTGCCTGCTGCTCCGCGGGGTGCGGTACTGCGGCCCCCAGCCGAAGTCCGGCGTGCGGGGTGTCTGCATGCCCCAGGAGCACTGCGCCCGCGGGTTGCACAGTCCCATCGACGGGAAGTGCCCCGACCACAGCCTGTACAGCTTCCACCACCCGTATCCTGAATAAAAGTTTCCCCACACCAGAGTCAAGATGGGAAATCTGCTACACAAATCAGCCAGCTTTGGTTGTTTCGCATGACAAGTCTGCCCTCGTGGTGTGGTCCTGTGTAGCTAGTTCAGCAGCAACACAGATCCAGCATATCGTGCTGATTATAGCATCACAAATTCCAAAGCCTCCCCAGCGATAATGGACAATGGCAATGTCGGTGCGGTTGTTTTAGCATCACAAATTCCAAAACACGACTAGAAAACGCTTCTCATGTGGCTCCGCATGAGAAACTTTTTTGGCATGCAGATTTGCATTGCAACTCTGGGGTGGGGACGTTTTTACACAGGATAACCCGAGAAACATCGTCACGCTGGACGACACCGACACGATGTCGCTCGCCATCCACCACTATGACAGTGCGGAAATCCCTCTCCCCCGCATTGTCATGCAAAATCCCAAATCCAGTCGCTGCTCTGTGGCACTGTTTGCATGAAAAGCCCAAACATTGCTACATCAGGTGCGTATGCGTAAATTTGTCATGCATAGGCGCCACGTGTGCTGGTGTTTGTATTGCTGTTCATCCTATACAAATGAGGGGGAGGGGGAGTTGTGCACTCTCATAACCACCAGGCGTTCAACGTGTGGCACTCGCCCGACGTAGACGACCCCCTGGAGGAGTACCTGGTCGGCCAGGCGCACGATGACTTTTCCTACGCGAAGCGCCGGGACGACAAGGAGTACGTGTACATGTGGAAGGTGAAAAAGGACGACACGGTGGAAAAGGTGACCTCCTGGCAGACCTCCTGCGGGAGCTTGGAGGTCATCGTGCCGAAGAACGGGCCCTTTGTCTACGAGGCGCGGATCTCGCTGGACCTGCTGAACAGCAACGCGGGGATCGCGGAATGCAGCTGCATCAAGGAGGGATACCCCTGGTCGTCTGCAGGTAGATAATAGGCTGTATTCATTTCTTGTTGTGCGTAGTCTTTACTTCACTTCGTCCCTTTGGGGGTTCAAAATTGCTGATCACAGCTTGATAATGAGGAAACTGAAGTGAGACACTGCTATTGATGGAATTTCGAAAATGAAGAAACCTGAGCTGCAAAATATCAAATTCAGGCGTGTGTCCGCGGGGTATTTCCACGCAAATCGGGTCCACCGCGCCCAGATTTCTCCCGTTGGACAACATCCAGCAGGTGAGTTTCATATCGATTGAAGATTTGTTGATCTCCAATCTGAACATGACCCTGTACACGCTGCAGACCGAGGTCAGTGGGGTGGCAAAGAAGATGGACAGCAACGGGTGTCCCTCCCTCCCCAGCGCCGCTGCGGACAGCCCCTTCCACCCCAACAACGCGGGCGGGCTCGCGGCAGTGGACTTAGCGCAATATGAGGCACTGTTACCGAAAATGGCGGGTATGGCAGGCAAGTTCTGCGTCGCGAAAAGGGACGCGGATTGCAGCGTCAGCGTGAAATACAGGTTTGTTTGATTTATGTTGAGAAAAAGCAGCTCTACTTCATCTATGTGTTAAGAAGGAAACAACACTGCAACTGAAATTTGAAATTTCCAAAAAACACACACACAATCCAGGTACTGCCTCTGGTCCGGTGGTAAGGGGTTGCTGCTTTACGTGGAGGACAGCAGTACGACGGACATTGACGATCTGCATTTGGCGGTGTCGCTGTATTCCGCGGAGCGGTCTCGGACGGATCTGATTCCCGTCGCCCTCGTGTCCCACTTGGACTCTGCCACCATGACTTCGCTCGACGCCAACTCGCTGACGCTCAAGATGGGCCCCCAGGTGGGCGGCAGCACCGTCGCCGAGTCCGTGTCCGCGAGCTCCGGTGGGGTGCGGGTGATCGAGGCAAACACCGGCACGGAGAAGATCCACCACAAGATTTTTGGCGCCGTCACCTACATGGAGCCCAGCGAGATCCGGCAGATTTTGTTCGTCTGCACCGACCCCTACACGGACCCCAACGCGAACCACGCCAGCAACGTGGAGCCGAACTACGAGAGCAAGCGGCAGGTCCGGGTGTTCAGCACCTCCAATATGGACACCGCGATGCCGGAGCACAAGCCGCTGGCCGGGTCTTTGCGGCCCAGTTGCGAGGACAGCATCTACCGGGACTACCACGTGGTGGATTTTAAGCGGAACAACCGGTACTACACCAGTTTCATCAACCACCACCACGGGAACACGATCGAGGTCTACGACACGACGGACCTATCGGACTGGAAGATCATCAAGGAACTCAAGGCCGACTGGGAGGACGCGGACAGCGGGCTGGGCGCCATGACCACCAACGCGGACGGCAGCATCCATTTATTGACTTGGCACTGCGCTTTATTCACCTGCGAGGGCAGTGCGGGCAGCGAGCTCTACCTGTTGGACTCCGCGCACCCGCCAAATCGCCCTTTGCAGGGCGGGAAGTGGGACACGCCCGAAGCGGAAACGCAGGTAGTATGCTATGCGTAGGTCTTGATATGGAAACATAGTTTTCAGAATAGATTGTTCTCAAACTTTATTTTTCGTGTTCTCTTTGTTGTCGCGCTGTTCGAAGACACTCGTTTTTGCAATCGTCGAAGCAGCCGCATCAAGAAAACCTTTCTGCAAAACAGGCCTGGGTGCAGTTTATGAGCATTCATTCCGTGATCCGTCTGCCGATTCAAGTCGGGGCGGAGGGCCGGGACATCGCCTGCACGAAGGACAACGTTTGCCTGGTTACCATGAACACCGACGGCTTCGTCGTGTACGACGTGGGCAGCTACGACCAGGGGACCGGCTTGCACTCCGTGCCGCGCAAAATCGGCGAGCACGCGAATACCTTCCAGCAGTCCGATTTGCCGGTCACGTACAAGCGGAACAGCGGGGCTCAGAAGGTGTTCCCCAGCAGGATACGCGGGGACCGGTTCTACATCGAGCACTCCACCATCACCATGGGCGTCACCATCGGTGCGTCGAGCCGCAAGGCGGACGTGGTGCGCAACAACAAACTCTGGCTGGTGCAGTCGGAGCCGCAGTACATTCCCGGGAATTCGGACGCGGACCGGTTTTTTGACGCGAGCTCCGCGGACCCCATCGTGTTGCTCACGGTCGAGATCAAGCGCACCTACGACGACGTGACCAAGCTGCTGGGCGTGCCGCAGGGCATGAGTTCGCTGGAGCACCTGCAGGCCACGTTGCAGCACGGCTTGGCGTCCGCGCTTCGGGTGCCCGGCGGGCACAAGCGCTTCCCCATCACAGCGGTCTACCAAATGGTGGACTCGGTGGAGGTGAATTTAGAAATCTTACCGGACAAGCTGAGTCCCTCCCCACTGACCATGCTGGACATGCTGCTCCGGCAGCACTCCACGCCCACCAGCCTGCTGCACCGCGGCGTTTTGTCCCCGATCGCCTCCGACCTGAAGTTCACGGGGGCGTACAGTGTGATGGGCACAGAGGCGAACTCCAGGACGAACAGCAACGGGGACATCGTCACCGCGATGGGTGCGACAAACGCGAACAGTGACTACACAAGCATAAACACGGAGTCGCGGATTTCCACGCTGACCGGCAGCGGCGCCTACACGGTGGACGCAGACACGGCACAAATTTTAGGGCTTTCTATCGCGTTCGGCATTGCGCTGCTCGTCGCGATCACCGTCATCGTGCTGTTTTTGCTCGAACAGAGGAAACGGAGGGGCCTGGAAAAACAGGTACGAAATTGTTGTTATTCTACGGACCATTTTCACTTATGGTTTAGTGTTTGGTCCTTGCCGAGTTGTCTTCATTTTTTTGACTACCATTGTGTACGGAAAGTCTTTCGCTGACTACAAAAACAGATGGAGCAGATGGTGCGTGACCCGCAGACCGGCGGTCCGAGGAATGGGCGCACATTAACGGTCGTCGGCCGCCCCACCCGGGAACAGAGCAATGCCACCACGGGGACCGTGCGCAACGAAGCCAGCGCCGGCATCCCAGTGCCGCGCGAGGCCTTCACAGAAAGGCAAACGGCGTCACCCGCGAAGATACCCGTGTCTCCGACCTCGGGCGCCAGCTCCAGCTCCTCCGCTGCCGTGATTGGTTCCGCACCCGGCACAGGCGTGGCCATCGGGACCGCGCCCACCGTGGATCAACCCGCCGGGGGGTCTGGTTCCATGCAGGAGCTCACAGACCTCCCCACAGGCTTGCCCCTCGCAAATAGCAGTAACGCGCCAGCCATACAAGCAGGAGACCCGCTTCCTAGCGTTGCGCAACTCGCGAGCGGCGGACCGCTCGCTCCGAGGACGTGAGGAAATAAGTAATAAACGTCTCTCGTGCTGCGCCTTCAGCATTTTTTTATTCGACACGTTACCGAATTTGGAATCCATCACTCGAAAATGCTTCTAAGAATTCAACAAAGACGAGACTCAAGTATTTGTATTCAGACCACCACGGGCATGGCTTTAACAGTGTGTAGCTAGTGCTGCCCAGGTGAATCGATCAGTTCTTCTATGAACCGTATGCAGAATAGTAGATACTTTAGTGCGGAAGCGCCGCTGGGACAGTGCGGCTGCAAACGACATGAACGTATACAGCAAAAATGAAGCGCGCGTCTTTGACGTGCGAATTGACGTCGCAACACAAACACAATGTAGGTGTTCTCAATAGAAAAGCAAACAGACCTAAATATGAACAACAGATAAGGTACTGCGACCAGGAAAAGAAAGAAACGACTTCGACCATTTTGATCCAAAACCTAGCTCGATTAATACGGGCAAGAGGATCTCTCTGTTGATCTTTGATCAAAGATGGCTGTGAATCGATGTGATTTTTCGATCCTACATTTTTCGCTCTGCAAACTTTTTTTTCAGCGTTTCACCCAACAATTTTTGTGTGGCCGAGGACATTTTCTCTTTATGGTTTTGAAATAATATTCGTAAGTGCGTATAGGTAGTAGAGGTCCTCGCTCCGTGCTAGTCACGAGCGTACGATCTTCAGAAGTTTCACGCCTGCGCTAGTAGCAAGTAAGTAGAAAACAAAAGGGAAATAATGCCGCGTTTCTACTGCGAGTATTGCGATGTGTACCTTAAGACAGCGTCCCAGGGCTGCCGAAAGGAGCACAACTTCGGCCGAAAACACATCAACAACAAAATTGACTACTATACTGGGCTCATCCGGGAGAAGCAGCTCGCGCCACCAATACACGCACCACCACTTTGGCTGGTACTACTCGTTGTCGTTTCACGTTTATTTTGCACACTAGCCTTTTATTTTGGTTTGTTCTGTTTTAATTTGCATGAACAACATCGCCGACAAAAAAAGTATGTTTTTCTGAAATTTATGAACTACAGGTGAGCAGGATGCGAAAGAAGTACATGGCGCAAGTCGCACAACAAAACCAAGGCGCCGTGCCCGCCCCATTAATACCGAAAGCTGCAGAACCAACACCAGCGGCAGCGCGGCTTGTGCTCCCACCAACAGCAATGGCTGCCGGTATAGAAATTTACATTTTTTGTTCCATGCATGCGGGATCCCTACGTGGTGACTTCTATGTGTAATCGAAGTTTTGGAGACCGCAAGGCTTCTTTATTCAAATGGTAAAATCAAAAAAAAAATCAAAACAGTCCCAAATCCGAATGCGGCCGTGCAGGCGGGAATTCACCCGGGCATGATGGCTACGATGATGGGCGGTATGGGCGGCATGCCGCAGATGCCAGGAATGCCGAGACCATAGCGAGATATTTTTTATCCCATGAGTAGTAAACCCAACCGACGGAATAAACCCATGCTAAAAAGCAAGCGCGATGACCTAGTTCCGCCTGACGACAAATGAACAGCACGAAACGAAAAAACCAATAAACGCTGGCACGTTACAACCAGGCTTGTTTTCGAAGAGCATGTTCGCCGTCTTTGTTTTGTCATTTTCGTTTGTCGCATGTGCTTCGCATTCTTTCCTATCGTTGCTCACTGAAGAGCTCGTGCTGCTTTTGCAGAAAAGTCGACTTGCAATCGTTGGCTTGGATTCGCGGTAAAATATCGGCTTCGGATAATCTTTTGAGGAGGGCACCACGGCGCGATGTTTCTTTTATGAGAATTGTTGTCTCATAGCGTGCGAGTGTCTGCATGCTGGAGCATTTGTTCGGCTGGCCGATGTTGAGCGAATCATTTTCATGATGGGAAGCTGCGGCCTTGACACTCCTTTTGTTTCTCTATAGCGACGAAAAAATGCAACTGAAGCCATTAAAATGTAGAATGTAGAAAATGTCCGCGAAGTATGAGGTTGGAAAGGATACGAAGCCCCCACCCACACCTCCCAAGAAAAAGAAGCAGCTCGGATGGTTCTCCCGGTACATTCTCCGGCGCAAGCCGCCGCCGGACACGCCGCGAACGTACGCCGAAGCAGCGGTGAACACCACGGAATTCCTGCTCGACCGGAAGAAGGTGCGACAGGCGCTCGCGGTATCCAACCTGGCCCGCGACCTGCAACCCATCCGGAAGATCTTCAGTGCGTGGAGCACCTGGACGCGAGAGAAGAGAAGGGACCGCCTGCAGTACTACGGCGAAAGTTTGCAGGAGATCAAACAAGCGAATTACGAGGTGCGGATCGTCGAGCTGTTGCGCGAGCGCGACTCCTTGCGACAACAGGTTGAGGAGTACGAAAAGCGGGAGAGTGGTGCGAAATTTTTGCTCGCGGTAGAACTGCCGGAAGAAGTTCTTGCAGGTAAAAGTCTCGACGACTCCGGGGGTCACATGGTCACAACAACGTCACCCAGACATCGGAGGAGAAATCAAAATGAGGAAGTCAATTCTAGTACCCGTCAACAGCTACTCGCAACGGACATTGGCACCTGTCTCGCCTCCACCATCGCAGCGGAACAGGCGGTCGCCCAGATTTTTCCGCGCGTTCCCGAGGAAGAGGACCGGTCACTGTGGACCGCGCCGAGGAGGATAGTGGAGCTCGGGAAAGTGTTCAGCGCACAGGGAAGTTCCGCAAATTCGAAGCTGGAAAAATTGCACCTTTCCGGCCCGCTGCGCTTGGAGCTGCTAGGTCCGGAGACGTGCGGGTGGATGAGTTTGGTGCTGTCGGGGTCCGATTGCGTGGTGAAAATGTCCGAGCTGCGCGGCGAGCAGAGCATTGACGTGCGGGAGGGCGCGCGGTTGGAGGTACTCTCCTCGGACGCGGAAAAGGTTGCGGTGTCCCGCGGCGGCCGGTTCTTTGCGAAGCAGTGCTTCATCCGAGGCGACGTGACGCAGTACGACCCCAGCTCCTGTTCTGAGTTTTCGGACTGCAACTTTTCCGCGCGGGTGCAGATTTTGGATGGCTTCTTCCGCGCGACGAGGTGCAAATTCTTGGACGATCGGAGGCGTGTGGACAAAGGATTTAATTCTGCTGGAGATCACAACGCTGAAGTAGATCCAGCGGAACAAACGACTTCTCTCAGCGCGGACGGCAGGATTGTTTTGTACGTTTCCTGTGCGAGCTCCTCTGCCACCGCTGCACTGCACGTTCTGGAGCTGTTTCTGTTGGTGCTCCGGCGGTGGTGGCTCTTGCCAAATGGCGAAGACGACGCTGCGAATGTCTCGCCGACCCGGTCGGTCGCCTCCGTATCTCCGAGGAGCCAACAAAACTTCCGAAATTTATCGCCGGAGATGTTAACAACTGCAGGAGCAACTACTGTGAGTCCCCGGGGGGTCCACCTGAACAGGAACAAATCGCTTCGCCCGAAAACCCCCGCCGCGTATCGGCAGCGCGTCCTGCGGAACCAGAAGGTGCGGGAATTTGGCGCCGCTGCGCTCGAGTGGGTGCCGCATCCCTGTTGCCGTCGATCGTGTTTGTGCGTCGTCGAGCAGTGTCTGTTTCATGGCAGAGTTTTGGTGAAGGGGCGCGGCGCTGGGCTGTTGCTCGACGAGGCCACCACCAGTCAAGGCGGCGTGCATCTGCAAGACGAGGCGGTACTGATCGGCACGGGGGACAACTTGTGGGAAGCCGGGGAGACGGAATTACCCGCGGAGAGGCTGTGGTCGCTGGAGAAAGTCGGCGTGAACAACAACAGCCCGACAAACAGTCCGCGTGCAACTATGTGGCGCACGCCACGGAACCTGTCGCCGCGAAGGAAGGAAGATGAAGAACACGACGGTGTCGAACGCCGCCTGCAGGGAAAAAAGGACAACGTCAATCAAATGGATACAAAAACAGTTTCGCCGTCGCTCGACGACTCGCTGTTGCGAAATAAATCCTCGATCGGGGGCAACACCACCGTGCTCGAGAGTCCACCTCCGCCTGCGCACCACAAGAGCGGTCTTTTGGATCGCAGTCTCGACACGGTGTCGTTTGCTCTTGAGCAACAGGAACGAGCATCTCCAACGCACTTGGTGAAGAGGCACAACCTGCTGCCTCACGTGCGCGGTGACCGGTCGACGCGGTTTCTGACGGTGTCGGAGGCACTCGGGGTGGAGGCGCAGCTGCTCAGCTCCAGCAGCAAGGTGTTCGGCACGACCGCGGACGCGGTGGGGTTCTTTCAGCGGCAAGCGCGATCGCCGTCGCCGAAGCTGACCACGGCTAATCCACTAGAGGAGACACCGCTACTGCCCGGGAAGGCGAACAGGACCATGCCGCGGGAGGCCCCGGCAAAGGGTAGTTTCGAAGAGCTCATGCTTTCCTGCAAAAAACACCAGCCGAGGTGGGCGGCGGAACTTCAGGGGAGTTAGTGCGAGGTGGTAGCCAGGACATCAGAAAAAATGCACTTCTCTAGTTCCCAAATAAGTAAGTTTCGTGTGGTTTCCGTTTCAGAAATGGCATGGTTCCGCTGGTCGTAGTACTCTATCAATGTATGATTCGCCTTCGTTTCAGCTGTTGGCGCTGCCAAAAGCAGAAGCACAAATGAGTACTTACAAGAACAGCAAGAATCGACAGCGGAGCTGCTTGCGCTTTGAGCATGTGTCTAAGAAAGGAAGGACTCTTTGCTGCGTGTTTTGCGCACTGCAGAAAAAGCCTAAATCGGTCTCGAGCACGAGAAATATTATTTCGGTTTTCGTTACTAGAACACAAGCAGAGGCACGCATGGTCGTCGGTCCAAGACAGATTCATCGTTCTGTGAGTGAAGAGGGCAATCAGCTAAAAGTCTTCAACTAATTTCTCATCCGTCGTCTTGATTGTATCTCTCTGCCAGGTTTTGGACTACCCCCATTTTTGACCCGGTTTCAATGTGCACTACAAATTTTGACAAGCTGTTTACATACCCTTTTTTACTTGCGCTTTTTTGTCGTTTACCCTCTTTTGCAAACCCGAACTCCAATCTATGACTGTTAAAACTCGAGGCGATGTTATTTCAAGCTTGCTTTATTTCGTTTGTTACTTGTAAATTCTGAGCGCTCGTCTCATACTTGCTACGAATTTGCATTTGCGGATAATTTTTTACCACAGTATCTATCAGCGCACAAGCGGTGCGTCTTATGACTTTGAAACGGATACTTTTTCACTTGTGATACACGACAATACGCTTTGCAGTTGCGCAGAGTGCAGGCAATCCTTTTTTTTTCTCGTACAGGAGCCGAAAATCACGCGAGAGGAGCAGACCAGGAGGCGGTTAGAGACCGGGGTAGAGTGACTGCTAGTCGCCTGTCCTGTTTTCGCCCGCTCCAGTTTTACTTCGCGAAAATGTAGGAGAGATTCTTCACATCATCGTTGAGCCTCCTCTAGAGACCTAAATTTCTTCGGAGGACCGTAGTTACATCAGAAATTTTGCACGCGCTGCTACACACAACCATCTGTAGCACCCTTTTTTTTTGGCTTTATCAAGCAGTACGTACAACTGTATCAACTTGGACGTCGTGAAGCAAAATATTACTACCGTGGTGTAAGAAGAACGTCGGTTTAGGAGCTTGAGCTACAAAGTAAACCTTGTAAATAAATCTAGTGTAGTCGTTGATTGCCACAAATAGCTTTCGGGCGCAACATCGAAGAAATAGAATTTCTAGGCCTACTGAGAAAATTTTTGTAATACCTCGGAGTTCTTTACTGTTCTTGATTGATATCATCGGACTCTTTTACAAACCACGCACTACTAACTTGTTCGGAAAATAAAACGCTTGAATCGATTCTAATTTCATTCAATTTTGACGAATACCATAAAGGGACCAAAAAGCGATGGAGCACCAACATCATCACTACGGAGGAGGCAGCAGCTCCGGGAGAAGCGGGAGCGCAGGACATAATTCTGCCTCCCATCACTATGGTTCTACTGCTTCGTACAACAGCGCTTCCCGCCATGGGGGCAGCCGCGGGTACAACAACGGCGGGCACTACAGCCAGTACAATAATAACCAGAGCAGCGGTGGTCAACACTACAGCTCGCGTCGGGGCGGGACCTCCAGCCGCTGGGAGATCGACGAGGAAGACTGGCGGTCCAGCCGCCGTTTCCAGCCGCCGGAGCGCGGATCCTCGGCACACAGCATGCATACCGCGCACACCTCCCGGAGTGACAGTTACAACAGTACTAGAAATAATACGAGCAGTAGTATCGACCACATGAACTGGCGCCAGCAAGGCACCACCACCACGTCGCGGTTCGATCAGGGGGGAAGATTCTCGTCCTGGCACGACGACCAACATGTTCCTGGAAGTACAGGCACAACCAGCGGGAATAACAGTTCTGCAGGCCGCGGAGCATGTGGACAACATCATCACCAGCCGCAGTACTGGTCGCACTCGCAGCGAACCAGCTCCAACTCGTCAGGAAACAGCTACAACAACGGTTACTCGTCCTCAAGTTCCTCGGGGAACTATGAGCGCGGCAGCCGCGACGGCTTTGGCGGCTCCCGTCGTCAAGGTCAGCGTGACCACCAACAGCAGCATAGCAGTACCGGCCTTTCCTGGACAAGTCACGCCGGCTCATCGTCACGAGGTAATATGGGGAGCACGACAAGAGACAGTAGCCAAGACTACTACAATGTGAACAACAATTCGACGTTGCACAACAACTACGAAAGTAGTAGGAACAAAAATGGTAATTCCAACGCAAATGCCGCAACATCTTCTAGCAATACCTCCTACAATCGCCGGTCGCCGTTTTTCGACGGGGGAGCTTCTACAGAAAGTAATCGCCAAAGAGGTTCTGCTTCTAGCGGCGCTACTACGAGTTCATCTACGTCGAGGTTTTTCGGGACGAACCACCTGTCCGCCCCGCGTGGTCCTTGCGCCGGGGCCGCGACTTCCTCAAGTGGCACAACAACTGCGGCGAATAGTTTCGATAACGAACGGTGCTCGACCACGGCGAGCAGTAACCAGACCTCCTTCGACACGCAACTGCAACAAGGCGCGACGAACAATCCGCATAACTCGGCGGGTCCATCTTCTACTTCGTCGGCCAACAGGTTTGACCTTGCGGCGGAGCAACACCACGATCAGCGGTTGTATCGCGCCATGTCGGTGGACGAGCTTGAGGTGGACGAGTTGGAGAACCCCAACCAAATTATCGCCCCGGTGGTGAACAGCAACGGTACCAACAGCAACACGCGCGTGATCCTGGAGCCGAATGAGGATTACCAGCGCCGGATGCAGGACCAGTCCTACGACTTCGAGGAGGAATACAACTTTGGCGGCTCGGAGCAGGACCAGGCATCGCCCGACATCGAAATCGATGAGGAGGGGGACAGTTCCTATGACGGTGGTCAGCAGGCGGTGGACCACAATGTGATGAACAACAGAAGAGGACCACCTGGACCACTACAGGCGGCTCTCGCTGCAGCTTCCGCCAATGTTGCCTACGACCTGGCGGGGCCGATTCACGGACCCTTCATCGGCCCGTCGTTGCAGCAGCACAGTAGCAGTGGGGGAGCTGGTGCCTCTTCCGGAGCGAGCAGATCCGGAACAAGTGTAGTTTCCGGAAATAATATTAACCAGATGAACAACACGTCTTCATCGTCGAATAGGCTGCAAGTGATCGGTCCGCTTTTCGGTCCGCAGCAGCGACAGAACATCTTCGGAACTAGCAGCGCAACCATGAATAACAACAACAGCAATACTACTAGAAATAATCAGAACAACGAACAGAGCAACGACTCGTCATCGAACTCCTCGCGGCGGGCGGACAGCAGGGAACAACCGTCCCGGGCGCGGAACAACAGCGAGCGAGGAACTCACGGGACTGCCAATCGTCCCGCAGCGAATTCAACAGAAGAGGACGACCAGGACATGGGGCTGGCGCTGCCGGACGACCGCTGGGGCCCGGTCGGGAGCAACCCGTTCACGAACCCATCGCTAGTACCGGAATTCGGCTCGGGCGTCGCAATGTCAAACGCCGCCTCCTCTCGCCCGGTGGGCAGCAGCCGGGAGCCGCAACAGAATCTCTTCGGGCAGATGAACACGGGTTCGTCCTCCTCCGCATCTTCATCTTCTAGCGCAGCAGGAACCGCGGCACCGGGTGTGATACAGTCCCCCTTCCAGCCCTACCAGCCGCCAAACGCGAGCGGACACCAGTCGCCGTATCAGCGTTACAACAGCAACCGGAATAAGCGACACCGTCCAAGCAACTACCATCCGGCCTACACCGACCAAGGTATTCCATTGCGCATCAGCTTGTTCTGCGCCCTTTTGTACTGATAAATTCTTCTTTTGTAGTTTGGCGTCGAGGAGGAGAAAGATGAAAACACGACGTGTAGTACCTAGTACTGATGAACCGAGCGAGATATTGTCGTTGTGAATTCGTATATAGTGAGTCTTGGTCAAAGTATGCAGTGCCTTCTGACACTTCTGAGACCTCTGAATCAGTTGGAGCGTCTGCATGCGTTTCGTGCATCTTGAAAACCTACTTTGCCCCTTCGTGATTTTGCATGCAGGTCGTGCCTGAGGCTAGTCTTTGTCTTTCGAGAAAGAATGCATGATGCCAGTAGTTCAAGTTCTTTGCCAACATTTTCGTTGAGATTTGTCAATTTGTGGAATAAGTTCTACTTCTACTCATTCCCCAGATTCGTCGTCGCGAGCACCCCGAATGACCGAAGAAAGTACCAAACCCCTTTTGCGTTAGTCGATTCGTATGTTACACTTTTCGGCGAGCAGCGTTATCGTACCAGGCTGTAGAAGAAGTACAGCCTGATAGCTACTGTGGCACGAGGACTCGTGATCTTGCAGTAAGAACAGGACTCGTGCGGTGGTTGTATCGTGGTGCTTGTGCGTGGAACTACTACTGCACGTGTGAACAAGGACTACTCTAGCTGGAACGAGAAAGAGCGCGCTTTTGAGAACCACGTGGGACAAACAGGCAGTTCGTATGTGCGCATTCACCTGTGGTAGTGGTACGAACAGACTCGAACCGGCATTACGCGTAGCTGCTGGATGAGAGTTTTCGCAACTCAAAGTGTGATGTCTCTACCGCGGGTGAATACATGCATTCGGAATGATCGGTCTCGTTGAGGACAGTTGAATGCATGTGACGTCGTGTGTGCGCGTCTGAGCATGAAATTTTTATGCAGCATGTTTGATTCGAATTTTCGATGCTGAACGAGCAAAAATTGAAGAGTAGGCATCTTCTGAGGAACCACCAGGATCGCAAGTTACATGCATGATATGCAATGGAATACTGAATGGAGATAGAATCATTACGTCGACTCGACTATGTAGAGATGCAGGCTTTCTTATACTATAAGAAAGCCTGCATCTCTACATAGTCGAGTCGACTACATTCTATCAACCGGCAAATAAATCCACTTTTCTTTTCAGGTCTCGCTGCCGCGCTTTCTTCCCTCGGTGGCCCGGCGTATGCGGATCGCACGAAGTGCGACGATGCGATTGACCCGATCTCGCAGCAGCGGATCTGGGACTTGGGCGACGACGGAAAACGGTCGGCCAACTACGCAGAGATTAGCTACCTGTTTTCGTACCTGGAAACCGACCCGAAGACGGAGAAGGAGTACGTCCGGGGCTTTGCCATCGAAAGCTTTCAGCAGTTACTGTTGCAGGCGCGGAAGTCCGCCTCCTGGCCGGTGCTCCGCCACCCAGTGACCAACATCGTGATCCCCCCGTCGGCCGTGCACGCCAGTGAGCGTATGATCCATTTGCTACGGGACGCGGGGCGCATTGCGCCAATTCAGGATGAAGACCCGACCACCTGGGCCCTGGAGGATATCAGTATTGTCATTTTAACACTTTCAAGGGGCATCTTTGTTCTTGTCTCGCAGAAGCGTTTTAAAATTTGTTCTTTAGAAATACAGTTCATGCACATCGACTAAAGGAAACTAAACCACGGCTCTCGAATGATTGTTTATCCCCCCAACACCAGTGTCGCACGCGGACCCGGCGGGCTGCCTCAAGAAGCTCGCGTTTAGCGTGTTTCAGCCGTTCTACATCAAGGCCAGTATCGAGCTGGACGAGGCGAACGTGCTGGACTTGCCGCTGAAGGACTTGAAGCTCCTGGCGAAGGAGTTGAAAGGAATGTACCTGCGGAACTTTGACGTGGGGCAAAGGAAGCAGCTTTGTCCGGAGACGAACGGGCAAGCGTTTCTGGACACGCCGTACTGGGAGAACGACGAGCGGCCGTGGCTGTTTTACATCCTGAGCAACATCCACTACGTCACGGGCTACAACGCCAGCGTACCCGAGTACCTGCGAAAAATGGCCATGTACGTGCTGGTGGCAGCCTTGGCGGTCGTGTGCCCACAGGTAGGATACGATACGTAGCAGTACTGGTTGGCGTTTTATTTCCTCATCATGCAACAGTGGGCACTTTCTCTTTCAGGCTTGGTGCAGTTTTGAGTAGGGGCAGGGAGGCTGTACTAAGGCACGCTAGCGTGCTTTTACTGGTAACGAAGGCTTTAATCATCAAAGAAAATGCAAACAACATACATTCGCAGGTACGAGAGCGATACAGCGATTCGTTCTCATTGGACTTCGACTATGCCGGCGGCGACGTGGTGATGAGCTAGCGATCAGTGTAGGTCTGCTCAACACAGAGCAGCAGAAAGGAGTTTTGCGCAATTTTGTCGCTCCTTTTTTCACGGCGCCGCTGACGAAAAAGAGAGGGATAAAAGCACGACGAACTAATTATTCCAGTTCTTCTTTACGTAGTTTCTTTTCTTTCTGATAGACCTGGAGTGTTTATTGAAAATCACGAAAGGTAAAAAAACGAGCCATTACGCCCTGCTGCTACGGAGAATAAAATCAGGGATCGGTACTCAAATTTCAACGGAATAGAACACTGACAGAGTACTCGCAGACATAGTAGCAGAGGAGAAAGAAATATCCGAATCAACCGCGCAAGAGAAGTAATACCTTAATAACCTTTTGATTTTTTGACCAAGCTTTGCCTTTCGCCAGTTTTGTATGAATAAATATGAGTTTCTTTCTCGTTTCGCACTACGTTAGTTTTGTCTTTTTGATAGAAATATCTGAACGGGAAGCTTTTCGGGCGGGATGATCGACGACGCTAGGGGAATCAGATTCTGTTGTGTAATTGATATAGGAAACAAGGTGACTGATTGACTACAGACTTTTGATAAAGTTGCAGATGCGCGAGCCGGTTCCTCCGTTGGGGTGCCCGTTTGCGTTTCTGTCGTCAACTCTTTGTACAATGGCTCTATTACGGAATTTTCAGACTTTATTCATGCAAAATGGGAAAATGTGTTGAAGTTTTTAGTAGTAGAGCAGATACTTATTCCACACAGCATTTTGCTTCCGTGAAAATCAACATCAGTTTGCCTTCGCGTATTTATTACACACACCCACAGGGTACGTACTACACAAGCGTCGCATGGGCGTAGATGCATTCGGCTTCAACCTGTAACTTCAGCAGCAGCCTCCAGACTAAGATGTTTAACTTTGACTCCTTTAGGTATTTTACTACTTGGGAATAGTTGTCTACTTACCACCGCTACGCGATTGATTTCCTGTGACGAGACGGAGAGTTCGAGTTCTTTTATGTCAGTGTTCACCTGCCGCCCTCGCCTCTTACCGTTGCTGTCTCTTGTCGTGATTGACTCTTGGGAAGATGAATTTCCGACTTCTACTCCACCTCGCCTTACTTGCGAGTGTAGTTTCATAGATTTTTCGTATCTCTAAATCAACGTTGCTCTTCTGCGTGTTTGCCTATCAGTTTCGGTTTCGTCGGTGAAAATATTGTTGACGACATAACTAAAAGGGAATAGTTTCATTTACGTCGTATTGTCGCTGGTGCAGTAGTTGTGAAGCGGCATTAATCTAACATGCTTAGCTCTACCGGAAAAGGTGATTCACTTTTTCGGGAGTGGTTCGAATCCAATTCAGAAGAAAACATAGACAGCTAGATACATACTTGTCAAAAAGAGCGTTTCTACTTCGCAGCCTGGCTGCCACAGTTTCGTTTGTGACTATGATTTTTTACTGTGAATGACTACTACCTGATCTTCCAGATGCCTTAAAGATGTCCTCAGTAATTCAGAATTTTTCAGTATCGACCTTGCGTCGCCAGTCTGTCATGATTAAAAGTATCTCTGCCGTGACACTTTCGTTGAGTGTCGCGATGGCGATGGATGTTGCGCAGCCCTCTTTTCCGGTGAATTTCTCCTTGGTCCCTGGCGAGACCGAGAGCGGGCACACTTCAGAAGATGTGGGGGCGCACAACTGCAGAGCGACAGCAGAAAGTTTTTGGAGTGACGGAGGGCGTCATGCACCCGGATTGAGAAAACGATCGTGGGAAAAGCAGGAGAGCGGACCCGGAGGGAGATGATACGAAATGTAGCTTTCTTCCAGAGATCGAGGAGTGTTTTCTTCAGGAGGCAAGTTTACTGAGAGACGTTTTTCAGTTGCTGCAGTAGAAAGCGCTGGTGGTGCTGTTACCTTTCTAAAATTCTGAAGCTGCATGTGCTTAGCTCCTTCTGAACGCCTGTACCTAGAAGTTTCGAATTGCTAATGTCTATCGATACCAGGGCTGACGGCGCCAATTTTTGAGAATCAATAAATGCGAAATACGCTGTGGATGGGGGTGTTTTCGACGGGGGCTCGCATCACATAAGGCCCCACGCAGAACACTATGCGCGGCCTCACGTCGCACAGACGACTCGCTGCAGCGCCACGAAGAAGGCAGGGGCTACCAATATCGCAACGATGGCTGCAGCTTTTCTTTTCCGCCCTGCTGGTGGTTCTGCAACACGGAACATCGATACAGTTCGTGACAGCGGCATGCACACCCGAGTGCACAGCGGGCAGATCTATGTGTCAGGATAACGTGTGCTGGTGCAAGGCGCCCTATTCCGGACCTTCGTGCGAGCACCAGGTCGACGTGCGCACACGGGTGGGGAGACTGGTTTTTGTGTCGATTCTTCTCTTCGTCACGCTGGTGGGCATGATTCTTGGGGTATAGTTGCTTTTTTAGTCCGCAGTATTTTGTTTCAACTTCAAGTAACGTCCAACGCTTCTTCTCATGCACCTCGCTTGTCACGACTCTGTTTTGCTTTTGTCATAATCAGATAATCACGAGCGGGATAGCAAGTGGCGGAGGATCCGGCATGGCGAATTACGACCTGGCGGCGAAAAAGCGAGAATTCTGGACTGTTGCGAAGTAATGAGAGAGATCGGGAGAAATCTCATGCTTTGCGCACGACAGTAGCACGAAGACTGATACATAGGTTCCGCAGACTGACATGCGCTCATTGGACCAACACGTGAAATTGAGATCTGAATACTTTGAATCCTTGAAGTACAACAGTTGGCCTCCGAAATGGCGGTAATCTGTGCAGGAAGAAATTTTTATACATTGTTGTTCACAATCGTCGGCTAGCGCGGTGTGTTTCCTATGACTTGTTGCGAACGTGAAACCTTGAAACTCCTGTTCGTGCGATTTCATGTGGAATGCGTAGCCAGGTCCGGATCTGATCATTGTCCACAAGTCGGCTAGGTCTTGTCACTTTTTTCAGTGATCGCGAACTGTTCCGTACGCAGTCGAGGAGTAGTTCCTGTCTGGTTTCTTCTTGTGCAATTATGGTGGGTAAGAAATTGTCGCAGCCTTCCAGAGACCAGCGAAATGTGGCTATAGGCTATTCGCCCCTATTCGTGCTGTTTCGGCATAGAGAAAAAATGTAAGCCGCGTGATTTTGTGAGCTGGAAAAAAGTATTGGAGACCACGGAAAAAAATGTCCTACTCTGCGTCTTCAAGCTCGAGCGCGTCGTCTTCGAGAACCAATAGTGGCCGCACTGTAGAGCAGAATGCCATGAGTCTCAGCAGCGCGTCGAATTCGCTTTCGCGAATTGTGTCCTCAACTACTGCCAGTCCGGATGTAGTTCCAGACGAAACTGAGACGGCACTTGTTGCAGTAACGGAGGACAATGCTGGACTGGATTCCTTGTCGCTCGTTCCATTTTTTGACGCAGGCGCGCACGCACAAGCAGCTATTCGTGCTTTCGGCCGTTTTCGCAACCCAGACGAGATGACGAAAGCGCTTGCGAGTAATTACCCCGCAGATTGGTGGGCGTTTGATGGGTCTCCTTCCTCGTGGCCCGCCTTTTCGGTGGTGATGGTCCGCGTCGGCCGTTGCGGCACGCCTTCTCACGTGCGCGCCGAGATGCTACAAAAGCAGCGACTGACATCAGGTGATGTGCGGCAGCAACGGACGCCGGGAACGTCCGGCTTCGGTGACATTTTCGAAGTGCTGCGAGAATCTACAGACTTCTGGAATCCGCTGGAAAATTGCTACCGCGAGGATGCGGACACTGCGAAGGCGCTCGCAGCGATCCGCGCCGCAACCGCTGAAAAACGGATTGCAGAAACGGGCATGGACGGCACGCACTTTGGGTACATATGGCGCGAAGTGACCATCCCGCCTGGGCGTCTCTGGTTTGTAAAGCCGCTTTTCGGGGACCAGAAAGTTGACCGTGCGGACGCCGCGGTCGTTACTCCGATCGAAGCGGCTCCAGTTTATGCGACTTGCCGCCACTGGCCTGTCCGCGGGATCTCTGCTGCGGCAGGGCTGTTTCGTCGCTGCATCGTCCTGGGTCACGTTCCGGCAAACTCGCTCGGGTACGTTATGCGGGGGACAAATTCGAACGTAAGTTCTTCGACGGCCATTCGGTTGTACGAGGCTTTTCTCACCATGCGACAGGACCAAGCGATGAACGAAGTCGCGAGGGAAGACGAAGCGCAGGGAGGTCCGTTGGAGAATCAGCTGTACAGCGAGGAGGACTTCTCGCCTGGCGAGGTCATGCCATTCGACCCAGACGCCCATCATGGCAATGGCGTAGAAATTTTCCGGCTTCCGGAATCAGTGCGTTCGCAAATTCGAGCGCAAAGCGGGGCGAAGCAGGAGAGGGACCTGGTGCAGCACCTGCAGCAGCTTTTCGCGCACGGCAGGCACATAGTCCGTGGGCGCAAGGGCATCCGGCGGGAGGAGGCCGCGGCGCGGCCGCTTCAGGGCGTCACCATCGGTGCAACGACCAAGCTGTTCGACAAGACCTACCGGAGCCAGCTTAGCCGCTTCACGAAGCATCCGCGCGGCCAGTGGTTTGCGCATCTGCTGAATTCGTACCACGCCAAGCTGTGGAGTGGGGTCAAGCCGTCGGTGACGACTAAAACTCTCAAGCGAGCGCGCCGGCAAGAACAGGCACGGTTGCTGTCCATGGCAAGGAAGTACACATCAATCACAATCAACGCCAGCATCCAGACCAAACTGCACAGGGATCGCGGCAATGTGCCGGGTCTATACAGTATGGCGATCTGCCTGGGAACCTACACTGGCGGCCGAATTTTCGTTGCCTCGGACGACACGAAGGGTGCCAACCTTCCTCCGCCGCGCCGGATAGATGGCTCTCGTGCCGTTGGCGAGGCGGGGACGCTCGACGGAACGGCTGGCACATTCTTCGACATTAACCACACTGCACTTCTATTCTCGGGCGGCGTCTTGCACGGCACCGAGGCTTTCGTGGGGAAGCGGTTTTGCCTCGTGTTTTACAACTACAACAGTGTTTACAACAGCGTCACGATTGGAGATCCAGATGGTGAGGCAGCACGAGCAAAGTTGTTGGAAGACCTGCGAAGAGCCGGAGTTCCTGCGCCGTCTGTGCAAGAAATCGACGGCAAGTCCGTGGTCGAGAGTGTTTCGGATAGTGAAGAGGACGAAGTTGTCATTTTGTCGGACTCTTCGGACGACAATGCACAGACAAAGCGCACGCATTCCGAAACTGAGGGCGCGAGCAAAACAAAAGCGAAAAAAGACACGAAGAAAAGCGGCACGAGTAAAACTCAAAAAACCTCTTCAGGAGAAGTGCCCGAAGTTGCAGCTGTCAAGGCACCTGGCGCTGGGGCACAATTGCACTCGCACGAGGACTTTGACGATGAGCGAGCGGATCCATGGATCAAGGTTAACAGCTTTGGCGACGTGCCAGATTCTGCGCAGCGCGTCTACCTAGACTTTTTGTCGAGTGCTCTGCTCGAGCAGTACGGAGAGCCAGGGGCGGGAACAAATAGGCAGGGACAGGAGGAGCCCCTGCCGCTAGTGAATGACTAAAATGACCGCACCTGCAGGAAGCGACAGAAGGTGTTGGCAATCCATCGAGTCAACAAGTGCGTTTTTATCTGAACCGAGAACTTGCTATCAATCGCCCTTCCGCGTCGACAGTTACTGAAAACATCATCAACGTCCCCGCACCTCAATATGTTTTGATATCGTTTTTCCATCTAGTGTGCCGTCCTCAGCTCAGGTTACCTGGAAGGCAGCTAAGGTGCGTCGCTCCTTGGATTTCTCGTGATGTAATCCGGGATTGCGAGAGGCGGACGCGGTTTCTTTGTTCTGAACTGCATTGCGGACCTCTGCTTTACGCGGAAAGAGTTGCACTCCGAGTGAAGCGTGTGAGAGAGCGAGTCAGTGGCTCTGCGAAATTAACGAAGGCGCTGTTTTGCGAGCGTACGAAACACGTTCTTCCAACATCGCCGCAAAGCAGGCAGAACAACCATGACGCGGCCGTGGCCGTTCTATGTCCGCGTGCAAAACATCATGAAGACTCGCACGCACCCACCCCACCCGGCCTCGGCAGCATGAGCAGCGGGGGCGCGGGCAATAAAGCCTCAGGTGGCAAGGCGCAAGCTACCACAGTCGTTCCTGATGCCGACGGACAGAACGCGGAGCCCGGCGCCGCGTCCTCCGTCGGCGGGCCCAAGCAGCGCACCCTTGGCGGTCGGGTGCGTCGCTGCGTCAAGGACGGATGCTTGCAAATTCCGGGCGTGAAGTACCTGCTGCGCGAGCTGGCGGAGTGGTACGAGGTGGAGTGGCGGTTCCGCCGGCGGTCGTATCACCTGCATTTCTACTTTCAATGGGTGTCCTATGGAACTGCCAGAATCGAAATTGACAAAATCGAAAAATTTGTGTTGCATAAAATGCATGACGCGAAATACGTGTGTTGCAGAGCAGGCAAGTGAGGCCGATTTAAGCCTGTTTGGGGTTATAGCTCGAGCTGCTAAAGCAGCATGAGAGAACCAGTCTTCTTTGCCTAAACAGCATTACAAACTGGATTTAGGCACCACCAGGATCATTTGTGATGCGCCACCTAGAAACTGGGTTCGAACTGGAATCCATTTTATGCATGGCAAATCATTTCGATTTTGCCAATGTCGATTCTGACACTTCCATATGTCCTACCTGTACTTCGTGCTGGCTTTCTTCTTCGTGATCGCCCTGGTCTTCTTTGACTTGGCACAAGAGGTGGACCTCGAGTGTCCGATCAACCAGGCCTACGCAGATGTCACCGAGAACGAACTGACCGTGCCGCACCTATGCATAATGGGCCGCTACCTGTACCGCGAGAAGACGGGCAAGGCGATTTCTTGTGACGGCGACCAGTTGGCGTTGCATGCGTGTCCGGGCAGCAGCAAGCTGCAGCTACGCGTCTGTTTGACTGCGCTCACCATTCTCGCTTTCCTGAAGCTCGTGTTGTGCCGGGCGCTCCGGAGCGCACTAAAGCACTTCGGCAACATGCCCTCCGAGCTGATCCAAGTGGCACACCTGCGCCGGCAATCCTACAGCGGCATGGTGGTCGACGCGTGTTACGGGATCACTGTCAATTACTACAAACAGAACACAGTAGGCCGAGGGAAGTTAAGAAGTCCGAACGAACATTGCCTTTGAAAGGTGCCGCATCATTTTCAGCGTCGCACTACGGATAAACATCACAGAATATCATGATCTGCTGGGTCGTCCTCTCTGGTTGTACTCAGACAGCTTTCCTTGCAAGTAACTCTGCATCAGTTTCACTTGCGATTTCTTTCACCCAGAGTCTATGCAGTTTGAATTTTTCCCCGGTATTAGCCACAAGGCGCGAACCTGTTCCGGTTTCTCGGGTTTGTGGAGTTGCTGTTTCTGGTAACCTACTTGCGCATGCTGTACGGGGGATTCGCGTTTGGGCTCTTTGCCGAGATGGCGAACGTGGCCGAGGATAGCCGGCTCACGGACCAGAGCCAAGCGATGCAAGCGTCTGATGCGTTCTACCTGAAGCTGCCGCCGACCGACGCGACGTTCGTGCGCGGCGACAGCACGCACCTGACGGAGGGCAATCTTTTGTTTGGCTCCACACAGTACTGTCGGGGGGACCTGGCGCAGACGCAGCTGTGCCGGAACGGAAGTCCCTTCTGTGCCCTGTACCGCATCGCCAACTGCAAGTACTTTTTCGCGCACTCCGTCTCGGCCTTGCTCGCGCGGACGGCGGCGACGGGCAGCGTGCCCGCGATCGACGCGGACTCAATCCGGAACCCCGAGGAGTGTTACGACACCGAGGTGTTCGCGCCCTTCAGTGGCAATCTGGACGTCCGCTGGTTCGCCTCGGATACCTGCGTTCGCAATTACGTGCTGCTATTGGATTTTCGGGACAAGGTATGCGAGGAAATACTAATTCTATAGATGCTGATGCGTCTCTGCCTGCACTTTACTGCTGGAATCGCGCGACTCGCACGTTCAGCTCAACTTGAGGAGAGCGTAGGGCGCCCTGATAGACAGTAGGTTCTTCCTCACCACACGACCAAAGCACGATGTTGTACAGTAGCAGAATAGAATCTTCAATGATGAGAAAGCCTATGCATTCATTGCGACTCTCTTCGCAATAAAATACCTTCTACCTGAATGTCGTACACGAAGAAGTTCAAGAAGTAACAGAATTTTTATGGTAGGACCTCCATGCAGGCAGTGGCAGATTTGCATTCGATACGAGGCCAACGTGAATGATTTCCGCCTCCTGGATGTGGAGGGTTCCGATATGTCCAATCGGGACCTGCTCTACAGAGCAGACGGTGCGACGGTGGGCACCAGCGGTCGCGCAACCAACACCACAGACACCGCCACAACCACTGCGGTCGTCGAGTACGCGGGCTTGTGGGATCCGGTGTATCTGTGGAAGGACATATGAGTCGGAAAAATAACGCCAGCGTGCAAATGCCCGCGCATTTTTTTTGCATCATGCAAGCTCGATAGTTGACAGAAATTGCGTTGTTGGTACTAGACTTGCTCGCTGGATGACGATACTATGCCCATGGGCGTTCTTGCAGAGTCAGATTTTTTGTTACTAGATTTGTTGATTGAAGTCTATGTCAAAAGAAGCTTATGTACCATGTGGCCGTATTTTTCCCGTGCGATAGTACATGGACTATCCCCAAGCGGGCTACGAGAATTTGGATATGAAGTTTTGGCCGGTTTACGAGTGGTACTGCTCGCCAACGGCGAAATATTGCCCGTGGGCCTCGAATATGGTGTCGTTGGTGTGCAATTGCGGGGAGGAGATGAGTACGTTTTTGCGTGCGGACGTCTGGTTGGGATTCAACAGCTACTGTAGCAGCATCAACACCCAGCCACGCGTGTTGCGAGAGAAGAATCATGTAGTTGCTTCGAAAATGGAGGGGATACTAAAGCCGCAGCGCTCGTTGCAAGAGGATGCGTTGGTACTGGGCAGTAATCTTCCCTATTCCTTGCCAATATCAAATGCGGAAGAAGCCAACATCTCCCTCGACGTGGAAGGTGAAGAGAACCACGGAAGAAGAAGGGCACAGCCTGCGCCTAGCTCGGACAAACCGAAGCTGGAGGCCTGGCAGCAGTGCTGGTGGGGGTATGTGGGTGTGTACTACCACCCGTTTTTCTTTTCCGCATCCGCCTGCGGCCACTCCTCGGTGTTTTATGACTGGAGCGCCGCCCTGGGCATCTCTGCCTTTGCGGTTTTGATGCTCGCTTCCACCGTGAACGTCGTCTTGTTCAGCAAATCGAAGGTGATGCGGTTTCTCCTGCGCTCCTTGGGTTGGAAGATCAGCTGGGATGGCACCGAAAAGGACGCTCCGGGCATCGAACCCTGGGCCTACAGTGAGTACGATGTCGCACAGCAAAGTGGCGGCGGGCTCTGCAGCAAGTTTTGCTTCAAACCCTTGCTGCGGTTTCTCGGGCCCTAGCTGTTTATCATCCGTATCTCCGTCTGATTCTGAAGTAAAGTTTCCTATACCATTTTGCGACATTTTGAAGGAATGTTTTGGATTTTGAAAATCACGACTGGACTGCTAGCTTTTGCTGTCGGGTGTCCCTGTGGTGCAAGCCGCAAGAAAAATTAGAAAAATTATGACGACTATTGTAGTCTCATGCACCACTTGCACTTTTCAGCCGGTGATCGCGGTAGCGGCTGGTGTGCAAGTGTTCGCAAAGTTTGTCAGTGAAAATCTTCCCAGCTCCAACTTCGTTTATCCGGAATTCATAGAGCATGAGACTGAGATCAAGCAGAAGCACTTGCTCGATGTGACGATCTATAAACCAAGATTTTTTAGTAGCTTTATCGTGTCTCGCAGCAGCGCCTTGCGTTCTGACACAAAGCGGATCCTTGTTTGCTTTTATGATTCGAAATGCATTTTTGATGCGGCTTCTTTCGGGTCCTTCTCAATAAGACTTTAATGTTTGAGCAATGTGCAAAGAAACCTAGGCTACCCAGGATTTGCATTCTTTTGAGTTCTTCCTGTAGAAAAATCATTCTTTTCCCCACGGGAGGGTCACGTTTCGCTTCGTGAAAATAATTTTCCGATCGGTCAAGATCGAGCTTGGGCTTGCTGAAGAGGGTCAGCAATTTAGAATTCTTGCATAAAAATGTGTACTACAATCGGCAGCACCAGTACCGCCCGTGGCGTCCTTCAGAAGACCGCCTTCGCATTCTGTGCCCTCTCCACCTTTTCGGGAACGCACGGTGTGCGGGTGTCGTCGCCGAGGCGCAGTAAAGTTGCTCGGAGCGCCGGGAGAAACAGCAAGACTGGAGACAGTAGTGTATCCGATCCCGCCTCCTGGAAACCGACACTGCAACCCTACACGCCAGGAGAAGTTTTCACAGCCTTTGCAAACAATGATGTTGAGAGCAAAAGCAGCGACGAGGTAGCTTTTTCTCCCCCGCCCTGGGTCGACGAGGGCAACAAGTACAGCCATATCGGTGGAAACTTTTCCCCACCCCCCGGACTTCCGCCGCCGCCCGGCCTTTTTGCGCCACACGACCGGGATACTACTAGTTTTGCGGTGACGCAGGAGCCGCTCCTGATCGACGAGGCTGACCTTGTGTTTCCTCCGGGCTTGGGGCTGGAGAAGGACGAAGGTACGCCAGCGCTTCACGTGGCAGGTGAAATTCCGATTGTCGTTCCAGACGAGCCAGTTGTTACAAAAACGCAGGAGAAGAGCACAAGGGCGAAAAAGAAGGCGCTACCCCCAGTACCGGTTTTTCGAGCGCCGCCACCGTCGATAGATGCGAAAACCACGGGTGACACTTGGTCTACGTTCCGTGCTATGAGTCTAGAGCCTTCGTACGTGGTACCGGCTGTATCCTCTTCAAGCGACGGGGAATCAACACTGGAACCAAGTGAAACAGGTATAACCTGAGTCGTTGATCGTAGACTGTAGTGCATGTGGCTATATGATCACTGTTGTCTTTGTGTCGACGGACTGTAGCGCGATTTGACTTTGAAGCCCTAATGGTGTAGTTCCGCGCGTCCAATTATGCACAGCGTTCTACAACTCCCGAAATTTTTGTGCAAAAATTAACAGATACACTTGCGACGTTTTCGCGGATGACCACCCCGGCCCTCCCGGAAAGCCACCAGACGGCCCAAGCTCCGACTCTGGTCCAGTCCGCGAGCAGCTCCACGACTAGCCCCGCTAGCAGAACGTACGCCCAGGCGGTTGTCGCTGGAACTACAGGGTTGTCATCTCCCACGGGCGAGCGGTCCTGCAGAGCGGGCGGGGTTCCGTCGCTCACGCATTTGGGCCCACAGAGCGCCGCGTTTCCGCCGCTCTCGTCCGCCGCTGCGGCGCAAAAGGCAACGTCCTCGCCCAACACCAAGGCGGCGAAACGCTTCCAGAAAAACCTGCTGGCCTTCGAGAAGAAGATGCACGATCTGCACTACGAAACGGCGAAAGGCGTCGTTCTGGAAAAGCGCGACAAGCCGTCCACGCGGCGCGGGTGAGTACAACTGCGGATTCAAGTATTTCCGCTAGAAAATAAGAGCGAGTCCAGTAGTTTTCGGAAGACCAAGGGGTCGACTGACTAAGCTTGCAACTACACTTTTCGGTCAACAGACGGGGCGTTTGTCCAAGATGTCTTTTTGGTTGTTTGACGTTCTGATGTTTCGCTTTTAAGTACTTATTTGTTTTGATGTTCCACCAGCTTCTTCTCGAAGAGGACGGAAAATAAACTAGGAGTGTCATGATTGACAGCACAGATGCATTGGCCATAAATCAATATGACGTACCAGAAATGCAAATTTTCAAGAAGCAAGTGGTCTGCCAAACCCAAAAGACGTCGTACCGGCAACTAAGTACCCTAAAAGAATTTTTATAAATGAACTGCAGATTAATTTTGTGCATTGCATACGAACCCAGAAAAGCAATTGCAATTCTCGTCTGCATGCTCCCGGTGTTATCTTGAGACAGACCGTGCTTGCAGACACACGTCAAGGGCCCCTGCCTTTGAATTTAGAGTGTTCATCATACGTGGCTGTTTTTTCGTGGTGCTAATTTTCTTTGTTTCACTGTTCAAGTGTGTGTGTGTGCCGATTGAGTTTGCGTGAGGCTAGCCCTAGTTGTGGTTTATGGAAGCAAACGTGTACTTAGAAGTCTTCAAAATTTGCAAACACAACATGATAGAACTTGAGTTTATTCGCTTGAGTTGTACATAAAAAGCTATTTGAATTCACTACGAAAATTTAAATTTCACCTCGGGTTTGGGATAAAAGAAAATTTTCCGTAGCCATTTTGGCTCAAGCTACTTGCAGTTTCTTCGCCGCTCCGTAGCCTTTCTGGAAGACAGCAGGAATAGGGCATGTCCGCCCGCGTGGACACCGAGCTGCTTGGGGGGGGACGAGAACAAAGGCATGGACCACATTGTTGATAATTCAGGGCTTCATGATCTTCCCGGAGGTTTTTCGAAGGTTGTCGGCTCGTTGTTTCTTGCGGCCTTTGCTATTTACGGCACTGGCAGTGCCATCGTGGAACAGTACGTGAGTGCGACGGGGGGCGGGGCAAAAACTACGCCGGACACGACGTTCGTGGTCGGCTGTCTCCTCATGCTGGCAAACTCGCTGGTTGTGCTGATGATCGGAATTTTGCTCGCTCTAGCGGTCTGGAAGAGCAGCGTAAATGGGGTGTCTCGTCCTCCCGCACAGGGCCAGGGATCATTACACGCCCCACTACCTCCTTCGAGCAGCTCCGCACCTGCGCTGGCAGCTGTCACGGACTTGGTTCCGCCGATGGTTTACGTGTTTGCCCGTTTCCTCGAGGCCATTCTGCTGGGTTTCGGCGCGGTCTGCCTGCTGGGCGTCGAGTCCCTGTTTGGCCCCGCCAGCAGCCACTCCGGGCAGGACAAGGCGACCCTGATTCTGCTTCTGACCAGCTGGAACTTTTTTTGCTACCAGCTTGGCATGCTGGTCTGCGGCGGGGGGTCCGCTACGCTCTTCTGGTACCTGCGGACGTCGTCGAACTTCCTGCTTCCTGTTTCCTTCGCGACCTTTGCCTGTGCGTCCTACGCTCTTCTCGCGGTTGGTGCCGCGTGTGAGATCCTGAGGGTTTTCCCTGGCGTTGGGCTGTGGCTGTCTGCCCCGGGGGCAGTGTTTGAAATCGCGTTCGCGATGCGGCTACTGACAAATGGACTCAAGATCGAAGTAGCGGATGGTCGCTACAGTGTGGTTGCATGCGCAACTGATTGATCACGCCGGGCCGGGAACATAGTGTGCGTCTAGAAATTTGGCCCCAGGTCATATCGCGACGGCTGGAGGAAGCAGCCGGTCCTGGTTGGGCTATAGTGTGGACGCGAGGATCACTGCGGGATGAGCTTCGCGATGCCTTGCAATTTTTCGGGATGGCTCCTTTGGTCGGGATGTAGCACATTCATTCAATTTTTTTCCCCTACGACTCTCGCTCCCTAGCGAAAATTTTCTTGCCGGTACTCTCCCCGGGATCCCTTTTCCTTAGCCAGGGGACACGTCTGTCGCGTTGAACTATGTGAGGCGAAAACAACAAAAAATTAGCAGAAAAGTAGGACTTGAGTCTCGGTTGAGTATGAGTTGTTGGATTCATTGCGAAGAAGGGTAAGTAGAGCAGCCTTGCCTTGGGTTTGCGATAAAAGGAAATTCCTGTACTTCTGTTCTACAAGGAACTTGTTTGCGTGAAAAACGTATTTTAAGTGTCTGGTGCAAGAAGAACTCCGTACATTGTTCTCTTCTCTAAAAAAAAGAAACTGTTTTATCTGGGGGTGCTTTATCTCTTTTCTTGCCAAGTAAAACCAGCTGCAGCTTGCCCTAGAACCATATCCACAACATCGCTCGCGCTCGCCGCATCCAGGGCACATAAGCGACTACTTCATTTTCTTTGCACTACATCACCTTCGTTTCTGCAAGAGTGCTGCATTAAGATGGTGTTTAACAAGAGCGGCACCACCGGAACACCCTCCCCGACCCGACGCAGCATGGGGTGCTTTCTGGCGGACCATCTCTCCGCCGCGATGGTGACCGTGCAGGAGCTCGAGGCGCACGCGGTCAAGGACTCCGTGAAGGTGTTGGCGCGCAAAGTTATGGTGTCCATCCAGGTGTTGCAGCATCGCATGAAGGAAAACGCAAACAGTGAGCACATCCGCAAGGCGTTCGAGGACGCGTGGTCGCAGATTGCCCGTCTGAAGGAGGAAATCGAGCGGCAGGGGACGAAGTACGAGGTGCTGAACAAGCTGAGCGGGGTGCAGTTCTACCTGCAAGATTTTCAAACCAAGTTTGTGGACTACCTGACCCTGGACCACGCGCTGCAGTCGCTGCGCGACTTTGACGCGCACCTGCGTTCGGTGTACGAGGAAACGATCACCCGCGGCGCGGTCGTCCTGACCCAGCGGGAGCGGCTGGACCGCGGGCTGACCGTTTTGGATGCAAAGGTGAAGGCCGCGATGACGCTGCTGCAGACCATGAAAGAGCAGTTGAAGACGGAGTCGGTGGAGCGGATGGGGCCCAAGTTCCAGGCCGCGCTGCAGCACGTACAGGAACTGTGCAACGACGTGACGCAGTTGAACCTGCTCGAGGTGACCACCTGTGCCACCACCACGGCCTTCTTGTTTCGCGTCCGCGAGTCCCTCTTCGAGCGGGCCAGCGCGGCCAAGGGCTTCCTGAACGGCTTCCAGGAGCGGGTGTTCACGCTGGCGCCGCTGGACCAGGCGGTCCTGGCCCTGCAGGACATTGCGGACGTGGTGCACGCCGCGGCGGTGGAGGGCAAGGAGTGCTGCCTCATGGGGCTGGAATTTTCCCGCCAACGGATTTTGTCGCTGAAAGAAGGCCTGCACCAGAACTTTCTGGACCAGGACGGCGAATGCATCTACAACCTGAAAAAGTACTACTTCGAGTCGCTAGAGGCGGTGCGGCAGATTCAGTACACGCACGCGCTGACGAACCTTACGGAGCAGAAGCGCGAACTGCTGTGCCAGAAGGTGAAATTCGTCTACGACACGATCGAGCAGACCGTGACCGTGAACAAGCACCAGCTGCAGGGGTTTTGCTGCCGCGTGAAGCTGTCCGAGGCGATGACGCTGCTGTACCGGGTCCGCACCCAGATCTTCGGCTCCCTGCAGGACTTCGGCGCGACCGGCTCCACCAAGGTGAATGCCGTGCGCGAGAAGTTTCGGTCCGTCCTGCAGCTGCTCGAGCAGCTGATGGTGGAAACGGCGAAGAGCGTATGAGAGTGCACAACTCCCCCTCCCCGTCAATTGTCATGCGAAATACTTATACCAAGTCTACTTTAGGTTCGTTCTGCATCATGACAGATTTTCGAACCTCAAACAGAACCAGAATCCGCGTAGAGAAGATTTGTCATGCGGAAGCCACATTTCGCTCGATGTTTGTGTTGCTGCTCATGCCTTTTAAATAAGGGAGAGTTTATCTTGCGCACTCTCATAGAGCGGGGTCCTGCTGCAGAAGAACTCGAAGGAGGTGTACAAGCAGGCCTTCGCCGCGATTTCGAACCTGCAGAAGGAACTGCTGGCGAGTTCCCTGTCCGAACCGCTGGTGGAGCAGTTTAACGAGGCCTACAACGCCCTGACCGTGGCCGCCGTGCAGGACAAGGCGTTGTCCACGTGCGTGAACGTGACGGTGAATGCGGCGACGTTTGCGCAGCAGAAGTTTCCCAGCGTGGTGGAGATGGGCAAGTCCTTCGTGCAGCGCGCGCGGGCGCTGGACGACCGCCGGTTCGGTTCCGGGGTGCAGACCCAGTTTTCGAACGCGATCACCCGGGTGCAGGACCTGGACCAACGGTACCTGAACGGCAAAGCGTATCAAAAGGAAAAATCCCCCCTCCACATATCGAAACGAAATTTCTGATGCTGGATTTGCGTACACAAATCAGGCGTGTCTTGCTGGAGAGGACTGCAGGCATATACCAAGCCTGGGTCGAGAGGTTTTGACGTAGGGGACTAGCATGACAGACGTCGGCCCTGTAAGCCCAACAGCATCACAAACCGCCGGCATAATGCGGCGGACCCCAAGGCTTTGCCTTCTTGCAAGACAGACAGGATTTGTGACGTCAAATCTGCATCAGAAATTTTTAGGCGAATGCGTTTTCAATATGGGGAGGGGGGGATTTTTCCTCTCAATAAGGCGGCCTCCACGGTCTACCGCGCCGTCGCGCAGTACGGGGAACAGGAGCAGCAGGCGACTGCGCCTATGTGGCAGGTGGAGCAGCAGGTGGGTGTAGCGCCGATCATGGGGAGTTGAAGAGGGAGCTGATGTTCATTCCGATGAAGTTCAAGTTGCGGTTTCTACTTCTTTTACCGATTATTCACGTACGTATATTAATTTTTACAGGATGTAATTCTGTACAGACGACAGTGAAGGAACTAATGAACTTTTATACGTGTTGTACGGATATGGTTTTCTGCTCACGACCGAGGGCAAGAAATTGAAATCAAGTTCCTTTTGTGAAAGAAATTTGCATATGTGTAGTTGAATAATCTATCGCGATCAAATTTTCCGGATTCACTGACGAGCATGAAAGACGTTGCACCAGCGGCGCAGTGCTGGTGTCAGAAGATCTTTCTGGCGGGTCTTGCACGAACAGAAGTTTCTTTCCGTTTAGTATGGTTTGGGAGCAGAGGTAATGAGGTTTTCGATTCGGCTTGGTGACTTTCACTACACTGGATAATCAAAATGAACTGAAGGCCACTGCGGATACAAAGCCAGTCAGCCTCTGTTTGTAACCTGCTACAACTTGTTTTTTGTAAATTATAGATACGACCACGACAGCACAGTTCCGTTGCCTACGTACCGTCAATTCATTGTAGCATGACATAATTTTCACACTTCTTTTCCAGAGAAGAGACACTGCGTTTTCCTCTCTATTCCGATGATATTGCCTTATCCGGGGCTCTATGGACAATTGCTTTCGACACCGAAAAACTGGCTACGTTTGAAATATGATGACTGACTCGCGCCCGAACTGCGTTGCGCTACAGCTGAAGTTTGTTGCTTGACAGAAGATTTTTTGTACCTATGAAGAATTGTTATAGAATTTATCGGGGTTATGAAATTGACACGATTTTTCCAGTTTCTAAATGAAATTTGTCGCGTTGTTATAATGATGTCAATCTCCTTTTTCCAAATGCAATAAACCAATGAGCTATGCACTCTGACCAGATGCGTGTGTGCTTCTGACTATCGCTCCGTCTTCGAAATATCGAAGGTCGCAGATGCAGCGCTGCAAAATTTTCCACCGACACAGGAGCTCGCTGTTGGTCATAGTCAAAAATCACTCTGCCTTTTGTAAAACTCCGTTGCCTTTTTACTTGGTACATTACTTACAAAAAAATCAGAATCCGATGTTGACTTCCTGTCAATCTTGATAGGTAAGAAACTGAAGTGTAGTGAACTACATCCCGTCTGGAAAGAACTATGCGGCAGAATTTTAATCTGTCGTGCTTTTTCTTTTCGCTTTGTAATAAAGTTATCTTCATTTTAGGGATGTTAGGACATAATTTGCTTCGATCTTTCGCGAAGTGCTCCAATGGCCAAAATTATGGGGGTAAAGGTATATCACTTGGGGTGCTTAAGCTTATATAGATGAACCTGCTTCGTTGTCGCAACATGCGGCTCTCCATGCGAAACAAGATTGCCACAAATATTTTGGTGTCAACATACCTAGAATCCATTGACCGTATATTCATATACACAGTGAGGATCGCGGTCCGACTCCGATCGCATTCGACGCTGCTGTTTGAAAGCTGCGTTCGTAAAAAGCGCACTTGATCATGGAGCCGCTCATTGGTGGTTTCTGCAGAAAATGTGCTGGCAGCGTCGAAGGTGGGAGTTCTTTCTGAATGAGAGCTGTAGATGTAAGCCGGACACAATAAATTGCTGCTGGAGTTTTTTTCCTGCGCGGTCATTCGTATCTCTGTACCTTGAGGCCATTTGCTTTCGCGGATCTGCCAGTAGACCCGCATGGGTGCAGTCCTTCAGCGACTCAGGAAAGAACTGAAGCACAGCGCCACGGGTCCTGGCAATGACCGGAGCACTTCCGTAAACGAATAGAGTACCGAGCTTTTTTTTCCCTTGGTTCCATCGCTTAAGCACCTGTACGAGCAGCACGTAATATTATATTCATTTCTGGTAATTGGAGGAAATACCACCAGATCTGGCGATGCAATACGCTGATGCGCTGCTCAATCTCCACGTGAAATTGTAGCGTCAGCCTTTTTTTTTGCTTTGTTTCTTACTTACTCAGCCTGAAGGACCCGTCGCTGCTTTGCGGCCGAAGGAAAGACCTGAATTCTTTTTCTGATGTGATTTGTTACAGCCCGTTTTCCTGATTTAATGTTTTCTCTCGGATTTGTTCTGAATTTGTGATCAACTTTGTCCAAACGTGTTCTTGTGTTTCCGATCCTTGTGATGAAGAAGAGTCTCTTCAGGAGCGGCCTCAATCGGCGTTAGGTACGTTGCGCTCAGCCCTGCTGATCTAGACGCAGAAAACCAATAAGAAATTGACCACAACACAGTAAAACAAGAAGGCGTCTAGAGAAGCGGGCCGAAGATTTGGACACATTTAGGCGGTATACCCTTAGCAGGTCCGCAGTAGAGGGGACGAGAGTTCTCGCCCGTTTCCCTGAACAAACTAGCTGCACCAGGAACCTAGAGTCATGTTGCGAAGAGCCAACTTTTTCCTGGAGCTCGTCCTGCTCTTTAGTGCAGCAGAGTTGCCAGTCATCACTTCCGCTGTGGGGTTGAAGAAGCGGACCGGGCCCACTGATGCTGATCTCGAATTGTACTCGACTCAGCTCACAGAGGAGGATGACGAGGAGCTTATCGCGGTTGAACCGCTGGCGGGGCGGCGGCGAGGGGAAACAAGCCCTTTAAATTTTGAGAGTCTCGCCGCCAGAGCTGGTGCACAAGGCTCGTCCTTTTGCGGTTCCGGCTCGCTCACGGGGAACCGGAAGAGGCAGCTGTTTTGCGCGTCGATCGTTGCGGCGGCCTGCCTGGCAGTGCCGACGGTTCTTTCTCGGGTCCACAACCCGCAGCCGGCGCTTTCCACATCGAGCCTACCGCCGGAAAAGCAGCATAGACCGATGTTTTCCACTACAACCCCGCCGTTTTTCGCGTATCACGCAGGCGTGCCCACCACGAGCAGCGTTCTCCCGTACGATATGACAAGTACTACGTGGTACCCTGCGTTTCGTGATACAGAAACCGCCACCTCGACGCCCATTTTGAACGAAATGGCGGCGCCGAGTGTCTGGTCGCCCGGTGTGGACCCGACAACGCAGGAGATGATACGAGAATCCCGCGTCGAGGGGATGAATGCAGGCGCTGCGGCGGCGGGCACTGCTTCCGCAGGGATGCCCTTATCGGATGACGAGCTGGGAGACATGGTGCAGCGAGCGCGCATGGAGGGGATGGAGAGTATCAATAATGGAGAACAAAGTAGCGGTGACGGGGACGAGCAAATGGGCAGGGATCCGCGACGTGGTGACACAGGCGGTGTCGCACGTCGAGGACCCACATCTGGAGGAAGTGAATCAGTTTCATCCCAGTCGGCGACGGCGGCGCCGGAGACAACTCCTGCCGGTACAGCTGCTGGAAGTACTATTCCTCCACCCGCCGTAGTGGTTCAGCAAACGGCCTCCGCTGGTGCGAGCGGCGGTCCGCCGCCTGGAACGGGGCACGATGGGTATGGAGCTAGTTCTGGTGAAAGAGGTGGAACAACATCAAGGGCCAGAAGTCGTGAAGGAGGAGTGGCAAGAACGAGTGGAGGTGCTAGAAGCAGTACAGAAAGCATGCCGCAAACGATGCAACAGTATGACGGAAGTGCTGACGGCAGCGGAGCGCCGGAAAATGTGTCCGCCACAACTCAAGAGGACAGTATCCCAGACCCGCAACAGTGTTTCCGCTTGTTATATTTGCCGGAGACGGCCCCGAAGCTGTGGAAAGCGCTGGAGCAGGACTTTTTCGACAATTATTTCAGTTTCTTCTGTTCTCGCGAGGAGTACAAGATGCACCTGGGGGAATCCTGGTACGATGTGCGCAAGCAAGCAACGTCCCACAGCACTACGATCGCACCGCGAAGACGAGCGGCGGCGCCTTTGGGGAACTTGTTGGAAAATAAGCCGAAAAGCAAGGCGAGCCCCTCGTTGGGAAGAAGTTCTTTTCAGTCCGAGATCACGAGCGCGGAAGAGCAGGGAGGCATTGTGCCAACCTACGGACGGCGGCTTTCGCACGTGTTCATGGGAAATCCTGGTTCGGTGGACGACCGTTTTACTGCCTTGATGGAAGAGGAAATAGAATCGACCGGGGAGCCCTCGATTGAAGAGCACATTAGCGGCTTTTGCAGTCGGTTTGGGGTAGGGGTCAACTTGAAAACCGCAAAACTGCGAGAGCTAGCTTTCCGGGCGGAAGCTGCAATGTTGGTATAGCGGATAAGCTTTGTTTTGTTGCAACGCTATGTGATGGTGCAGTGTGTGTATGAGTGTGTGGACTAAGATCGACGAGATATGACGTTTAACATGTACTACAATGTTGGTTGTCGCAAGAAGTAGGCGATGATTTTTGAGCTACCTCCAATATCGCTCACAGACTCTTCGCAACCTGACAACGCAGTACCAGCGTGCGCGAAAGAACCGCGACGCATTTGTCCGCGCTGCCGGCTTTGCACGATTGACGAAAGAGACGGAGGAAGAGAAGCGACCGTTTACTTTGCGACGGAGCGCAAGTATGAATTCGGATTTTTTCTTGCAGATGATGAAAACATTATATTCACAAAGTTGGAGTCAGTTGTGGAATGAGAAAGCTGCTTCTGAGACTAGTTCACAAAAAATTTGAATTCAGGCCCAGGGACTGCGATTGACACTGAACCATCCTCGAGGGATGAGTTGTATGCACACGAATGGGCAGCGGAAACCCGCGACGCTCTGATGGAGGTGCGTGCCGCACAAGTGGACCTGGCATCCGTGCACCAGGAGTGTTTAAGAAGCGCTGACACGAACTTGATGCAGCTCTTTGGTGGTGTAGTCCAGCAAGACATGTTTCATACCGGGGCTGACGTAATTGTGATTGTTCTTTTTCTATGTTTCATTCTCTATGCAAAGCAGGTTCCTCATCATCTCTTCTCTTGCCGGAAGTTGGAATGTGTTCTTGAAAACAGAGAAATTGTAATAACACATGAAGATAACACAGCTGCCTCTCGGAAATGAAGTGCGGATGGAATCCGGCTGCCCAGAGGTGAGCTGGTTCTCTCCGCAGGGCCACCAGTGGATGCGGTCCTCCACGGAAACCATGTTGGTTTCTTACCTCGAGAATGCGGTCATGAACAGCTTTCTGAGCCAGGGAACGGACACTCCCTCGACGTACCTGGGCGACATGCTGCCCTTCTCGCAAGTGATGCAGTACCACCCAGTGCTACCGGACGGAAGCTACGGGAATTACGTCAGGCCGAAATGCAGCAGTAGTGGCAGTAGCACATCAGAGCAGGGAAAAACACATACACAAGCAGGCGAAAAGAGCGTGAAGAAACAATCGAAAAACCTGTCTGGTTCAAAAATATGCGACGAGTCAAAAACGGACGTTGACTTGCTGTCAATCATACCAATGGATTGGACGGTAGCGGATCCGAGACGGGAATTTGCGTTTGAACCAGACCTGTCTCATGTGGATTCTCGGCGACGGTTGGTGAAGGAGGGCAGCACCTCAGCGCCGCAATCGCTCGCTTTCCAACCCTGGTCCACGGGGCCAGCGGAGTCGGTAATCGGCAGCGCCTTGGTTCGCAACCCGTTACGCGAGGAGTGCGCAGACAAATGGAAGGTCGCGAAACCGGATTTGGTTCCGCATGTCGGTCAGCCCCTACAGGTAGACGGCTTCACGGTCGCTGGTGCCACAAACCTGTTGGTGAAGGCCAACCGCCATCAGGTGATGCATTAATGCAGGGAAATATTTTTAGCAAGAAATGTAAATGTCGTAAGGAGAAGATGTCAGTAAGAAATTTGTTTCTGCTGTAGCGGTTCTGTTGCGCTACTTTCATACAGTAGTCTGTCAAAATTCAACATCCATCTATTAGAGAATACAAGTTGAACTTGCTTCATCGGCATAGCCACGATAATTTTGTAATTTTTTCATCGATTTTGTATTGCCATTGCGGTCGACTTACGACGCAATTTTAGATGAAATGACGAAAGCAGCAGCACCTGCACTCCAGGTTGCTGCCCTTCTTTCTTAACATAACTTCCTGTTCCTGAAAAACTGAAAAGAAACTAACCTTTATCAGAGAGCTGTAAAAATGTAAAAATACGTGAGCAGCCGAGCTCGTATGCCGAACCCGAGGCGGATTGCATTTGATTTTATCTGCCAAAACTACTTCTTGTAATTTGTATCTGAGACAGCTCGAGGCAGCGAACAGGAAGTTTCTGAGACGTTCGTTGCCGGATCGTGTTCGATAGGTTATGTTGCATGGACGGACCGTGCGGAAAGATCAAGATGTTAATTTTTCTCTGTCAGAAATCGGTACTTTGATTTAGCTTCGCTGCATCAGTGATCGAATCGAACTCGAAGGAAAAAAGAAGATGCTCGGTTTTTGTTCGGTTGTTACAACGCAGTGCTGCGACATGGCTATGCACGGCCACTCGAGAACATGCCAATAGTAGATTCGGTCAGAAAAGAGAAAGAAGTTCTCGTCGTGAACAGCGCTCTAATTCTGTTGCTATTGCAGGACTCCATTCGCGGGGGGCTTCCCCGTGCCCGCATTTCGGTACGCATTTTTCGTGTAGAATGTGTAATTAGCATTGTGTAGTAGAAAGAAGAAGATATTCAATCACATAGTCCTTAACGTAAGTGTTACCTTCTTGACGTTTGGGCTCTGTATGTTTTTTCTGTATTGAGTAGACGGCCTTGTGAGGAATTTGTCTTTTCTGTTCACGGTTCTGAGTGCAATATCTGCGACGTTTATTCGTACCTCTCTTTCAATTTCAACATTTTCATCCTGCTAGTTTTCCTTATCCTTTGCGGAAATAGACATGAGTTTTTTCGAGCAACTGTTCGGAGCGGATAAAGAGACCACGACGGCCGCCGAGCAGAGTCAAGCGGTGGACCCGAAGCTGCTGCCAGTACCCGCGATTCGCATCCGCACAGACTACGCCTTGCACAGCATCGAAAACCCGCGGGTGCATCCGTCGTTGAACCGCATAAAGATCCAGCTCACTTCTGCCGCGAGTTTCACGAATGTTTCGAGCTTCGGAGAGGATCATTATGTTTATGGAGGCACAACCAGTGTAACTTCATCGTATGGGCCACCTTCTCCCGAGCAGTCCACCCCGCGGGCGCGGCGTCGGGCGGCTTCGGCGGTTACCCCGCAGGACCGTCGACGGCCGCTGACTGCGCGTGGCTTCGTCGAGTCCCGGGTTGCGCAGTCGCGAGCGGTGTTGCGAAACCTGACCCCGAGGCCAGGCCAAGCGCGACCGCCGATAACCCCTCGGAACATCACTCCGCTAGCGATTACGTCTACTCCGGCGGGTACTGCTGGAGCGGCCAGAAATAGCAGCATGAGCGGTGTTTCGAGCCGCGGTCGCGAACGCTTGGCGCACCAGCCGGCACTGCACAGGCCGCTGCCACCCTCGGGCAGCCGGACGATGTCTGCGGACCGGTCCTTTCCACCGCCAGAGCTGCGGCAGGTTTACGCGCGTGCGCGACCCGTGCCAACCCGGTTTTTGCCGGACCGCCGGATTGGATGGGCGCCACCGCCGGATCCGAAGTTGCCAAGGGGGTTGCTGTTCCACGACATAACCGGCAGAAACTCCACACAGTTCTCGCTGCTGTCGGGACCCGGGCCGAAAGAGGAAGCGACCAACGAGGATTCACCTGGAAAAACCGCGGCAGCGCCGGTCGAACATCCAGGGACATCAACACTGACGAAGCAAAGCGCCCCAGACTTACGGGCTGCGGTCCAGGACACGCCACCATTGCCAACGAAAACACCAATTTCCACCTCGGTCAAGAACACGGAGAGTAGCAGGAAGGGGCTTCATCCTGACAATGATGATGAAACTGATGGAACTAAGTTCCACCCCGTCGTGGTCCCTCCGCCCTCACCGACCGACCAGGACTTCATCACGGAACTGGAACAAGGCTCGGTCGCAACGCTATCTCCGCGTCAGTACTCCGACTTCGAACATCAAATCGTGGTTACGACAGGAAATAATACTGCACCTGCACATAATATTGGGAGCAATGATCAGGCTATTGCACCAGCTCGAAGTCCACCCGACTTGTCGACGCGGGAACAAACGAAAGAGCCTGCGGCTGTTGAGGACGACGAGGTCCTGACGCGGCCAGAACGCAGTGTGGAGGTAGCTGTCACTAGTAGTACCCCGAAGCAGGAGGGCACAGCCGCTCCCAAGACCGTTGTCACTCCGTTGTTCACGTTTGCTGCACCGCGCAGCTCCGCGCAGACTACATTCCTTGACTCGGGAGAGCTTGGGCAGGTCGGCCTTCTGCAAGACGAGCAGAGTGGGTCTTTCACAACTGGCAGATCAAAGAGGAATCCCGCAGCTGCCACCTCGGCGCCGAGTTTGTACAGCGTGGGCAGCCGGGAGCCGACCGCGAGACTTGTGCCCCTTCTCACCGTTATGACTCCGCGAGCCAGCTCGCGGACCGCGGCGGAACTTGGAGCACGGTCGCCGGCGACCAGTCGCAAACCGGTGCGGCCCTCCATCGTGCAGCAGCGCCCCCCGCGCCCGCGGCCTCGTCCGTTGTCTCCGCATGTTTTTCGGAACTTCGCTCCAGCGCCAGTGCGGGCGCCGCCGCAAGAACGCAGGCCGAAGTCCGCTAGTCGAGGAGATCGCGGCAGCACTCCTCTCGTGATTGAGCAACGGGATTTCGACGAAGCATTGCGGCGGCGTGGGCGCGGGTTTGGCACCGCGGACGACCGGGTGGTTCTGGTCAGGACGAAGGAGAGTACGACTAGGCTGGATAAAAATGATTTCCTGACCCGCTACAAGCAAGAAGAGGCAAAATTCGACAAAACGCATCCGCTCTCCGTCCCGGCGTCTTTTCTGCCAGCCGATTTGCAGACCCATCCCTTGTTTCCGGTATACGTTTGCTGCCGCGGCCTCGTGGGTCCTGCCTTCTTTGACCACACGAAGTGCGACGATGCGATGGACACCATTTCGCAACTGCAAATTTGGCAGGAAGACGCGGACGGCAAGAGCCGGCGGGTTCCCAAGCCAGTGGAGGTGAAGTTTCTAATTTCCTACTACGAAGATGCTGATCCACCATCGGAGGTCGATCGTGTTGAGAACAAACGTGTTCCAGAAAAAAGCGTCTGCCGCGGGTTCGCGGCGGAGACCGTGCAGCGGGTCTTGCAGCTAAATCAGCAGTTGGTGCATCCGGTCAGCAAGAAGGCGGTGCCAGAGCACGTGCTAGCCAGCATGAAAACACTCGTGGACGCTTTAGTCGCCGAGGACCTGCTCCAGCCCTCGGACGAAAAGGCGCCCTGGGACTACACCTACGCGGACATTCGCAGAGACGATACCGGCACGAAGATCCAGGACTTGGCAAAGGACGTTTTTCGTTCTTTTTTCACCGACGCAACCGTGGATCTGGACGAGAACGTGTTTTTGCGGTTTTCCGTGTCCGAACTGAAAAAACTGTACGGCGCTCTGCGGACGATGTGGCATCAGAACTTTTCCCCCGAGGAGCAGATGGAGCTCCGCAATAGCGAATTTGCGTTTTTGACGGGCCACCCGCCGGCGAAATCACCGGCGGACACACTGCTCGGGTGGCAATTCTTCTTGTTGCGAGAAATCGGGCTGTGCCTGCGGACCAACGAAAACGCCGACGTGCAATTGAAGAAAAGGTGCATGTATTTGGTTACCGCGGCGCTGGTGCAAGTCAGTCCCACGGTCCGGGAACGCTACTCAGATCACGTTTTTGTAGAGGAACTCATGCCGTTGCTGATCTCCAGGTCTGACAGTGGGGAGTCCGTGTGACGACCTTGTTCGATCTCGGCATAGTGCCAGGAGGGCCATCAAAGTACTAGACAGAGTTTTTGCTGCCGATAATTTACAACGTACGCTGGTTTCTTTGTATTAAAGGTGAAAAGCTGCCGCGGAGTGATTTTCAGTTTTGAAAAAAACGGTTTGAACATTTGTACGTTCATTTCCATCATCACATACATCCACTTAAGTACTTTGCTTTTGTCGACGTGCTCGCTCTTGTCATACATACATCGTGCATGCACAGATTTTTGGCCAGATGATGTTTTGGTTTCCATGAAGTGGTTACAACTTGCCTAGAAATTGTCGTGTAAGAAAAAAATGCAAAATATTCAATCGATGATGCGTTCATACGTTTGTTTCTTCAGAGCTACTTGATGTGTCTGCACGGAGGGTTTTGCGTACTGTTAAAGTTTCCTGATGGAAAATTTTACAAACACAGCCGAAAGTAGGAAAGCTACTGGTGGTCAATGCTGACGCTTACTTTTATTTCTGTTCCTATGGTGTGTCGAGTTGTGCGTTTGCCTTTTTGTGTGTAGGTCGGCGACTGCGTTGTTGGTTGTTGAGTTGGGAAAGAATTTGTTTGCGGTACACGTCGAAGCAGTCCAAGCCGGCTCGACGTGTTGGTAGTTTCCGAGGTAGGCGCTTTGATGAGGCCAGGGTGCGACGAACGCCCTCTGTACCCTTCACTATGAGGCTTTGTTCTGTGACACAAATAACTTACGCTTCCTCCACTCTTCTGTGCTTCTTCCGGTAGAATATTTCTTGTGCGTTTCAAAGAAAGGTTGCCAAGCAATACGACGTCTGCGTGTGAGAGAGTTCTTGCAAAACAATACAACTGCAATTCGAAGGAAAAAACTTGTTTCATCTTCGACCGTTTGGTCGTCGTGGCTGTCTTTGTGTGTCGGGCTCTGTCTGCTTTTTGCGGCTGACAGCGCACGACTGACTCTGCCACCAGTTTGAAAAAACCTGTCGTTTTATTGCGGCATCTTCGGGAGAAATTTCCGTAGGACGAGCAGCCATGACGACGGTGGCCGTGCCCGAGCTGGATGTGGAGGAGAGCTCGGCCCTTTCCGGCGAGGACAACGAGTTGGACGCCATTCCGAGCTATGAAATGCAAAAATGTCTGGGTCTGGAAACTTGTGATGCTAAAATGTGCATGATGAAGACTTTCTGAATGCAGTCCGGCATGACAACTTCCCAAAACGCTTTCTCATAGGCAATCCGCATGAGAAACTGCGTTTTTGCATGACAAAAAGGACTGCGACTTTTGTTGGTTATGCAATACAGATTTTCTAGGTATGGAAAGCTAGCATTACAAGTTCCAACCTTCCAGACCCAGACCCAGATCGTTTTTACAATCCATACGAGCAGTTTTTTCGACGCGATCAATGCCGCTAGCCACATGGATTTCGGTCTGCCGAGCGAGCAGGGGCCTCCGACTTCCTCCGATCATGGCATGTTTGTCGACAAGCCCGCGGGAACCCACCATGGGATGCTGAACCACGCCAGTCACAGCCATCCAGGCCCGCCCTCGACCGCGGCATCCGGGCGGACGTTCAGCACCTCCAACGGCGGTTCGGTGACCACCGGCGCGACCAGTTTTGCGGGCACCTGGGCGCCCGGGGGCGCGGGTCCGGCCGGCGTGCCGCACCCGGGTAGTGGTGTTCCGCCGGGGACAAACAGTCATCATGTCGGACCAGCACATCAGGACCCGGCGCAGCATCATCGTGGTCCTCAGGGTGGTCCACCTCCTCCGGCTGACAATTACTACTACCAGCAGGTGGAACACCCCACGGCGCACCCGCACGGTAATCTGGATCCCCACCATCCGGACAACTACGGGCACGAGCAGAACTCGTTTCACAACATGCAGAACAGCGGGTATCACGTGATGAGCGCGGATGTTTCCGCGATCCACGACACCAGCCGGGACCACTTGGAAATGTTTGACAACCAGGACAACTTCCAAGACTTTTCCATCCTGTCCGGCCCGGAGCACGCGCCGCCGATGAAAGGGGGCGCGCCTCCGCCGTACTACGGCCCGCCGCACCACGGCTCGACGTACAAGGGCGGTGTGATTCGTCAAGGAAAGTATGGTAAGTACAAAAAGGCGGGCAGCTTGATCAATCCCGGGAAGGGCGGCAATAGTGCGGTGCCCTATCAACAATATCCCGGAGGAGGGAAGCAGTCGATGAACAAGAAGGGCGCGTTCCAGTACGAAGAAGAGTATGGCGGAGCTGCACCTCCAGGTGGTCATTACAAGGGCGGCATGAAAGGAGCTTTTCCTCCAAAAGGATCGTACAAGGACAAAAATAGCGGCGTGTACAAGGGCGCCGGTGGTGGGCATTATTACCACCAGGACTGGAGCTACAGCAAGGACAGCGGCAAAGGCGATCTGATGCAGGACCAACAGAATTTCGATCACTACGGGAGCAGCAAACACGGAAAGAAGGGGGCTGCCGTCCACCAGCACCAGTACTACAAGGGAGCGGATATCTACACCGGTGCGGATCAGCCGAGGTACGGGAAACAAGCGTATTTGGACCCCTACGACCCGCAAATCAACTACGGATCGGCGGCGTACGCACGGTCGCCGGACGACGAGTCTCAGCTGGAAGGGGGATCGGAAAACGTCCCGGAATGGGACAGCTCGGGGCACATTCGCGACGACCACTCGCCCGACTACACCGCCCGGGGGTCCTCGTCCCTGCGGCCGCCGGCGCCCCCCACCCCGAGCGAACGGACAGCCGGCGGGAAGATGGGGAAGGATTCGAAGATGGAAAGTCTGCTCGGCGACCTGCTCCGCACCTACTCGGGCACGAAGACGAACGCGAAACTGACGCTGGAGAACTTCGGGCACTTCCAGCAAATGCAGAGCCAGAACGGCCAGCAGAGCAAGAACTGGTGGACCGGCATCAAGTCCGCGCGCGTCCGCGCGGCCTACCGGGACCAGACCAGCGGCGCGAAGGGCCGGGGCAAGTGGGGCAAGGACGGAAAGCCCACCGCCAACCCGCGCCAGCCGTCGCTCGCGGGCAAGCAGCTCAACTCCGGGCTGCTGTGCTTCTGCGTCACCACTGCGCCGGCGCTGCCGAAGGGGGGAAGCACTTCTGCAGGAGCTCTGGGACCGACAAAAAGCACGGACGAAACGATAACCGCAGCTGCTGGTAGTGCAACCAGCACGACTGCTCCCCCTCCGGAGCGCGACCCGCGGATGTCGACCCAGTTGACGACGACCGATGAGCCGGACACGACGGTGTACATCCTCACGCGCGACGAGATTTCGATCATGTCGGACGCGCTGCAGAGTCTGTACGACGACCGGATTTTCCCGGGGGAAAAGGTGCTGAAGGCCCGCCTGCAGCAGTATGGGGCGCGCGAGATGCTGCTGGGCCAGTTCTTGACGTTTTACGACGCCATGCCGGGGTACATCGTGCAGTGGGAGAAGGACGAGACCGAGGAGGACGACAGTGCGGAGAAGCCCGACTACTACAACGTCGACGAGTGCCCCAACGTGCAGTTTACCCGCGTGTCGCTGGGGTTCCGGGGCTGGATCGACCCCAACTCTCCCGAGGAGTCGTACCCGGACGAGCTGTGGCCGGCGCTGACCGAGTACCTGGAGAAGCGCTTGAAGGAAATGCCGGGCGACATCTGTTTCCACCGCGGCCGCTACGGCATGGCGCAGGAGCTGCAGAACCGCACTCTGGACTTTCTTCAGGGGTACACCATCGGCGAAACCTGCCACATCGTCGAGCGCGCCATCCAGCGCAAGGTGCTGGCGTACGAGAACTCGATGCTGCTTCCGGTGTCCGCCTGCTGCTCCTTCAAGAACGCCCTCGTCGGGGCGCCCAACGCGATCTCCTACCCCGGGCCGCTTCTCGGTGGCGGGGACCATGCGGGGGCCGAGGGAGGTGGTGATGTTTCGAACGCCGACGGCACGCTTGCGGGCGCCGCCGGTGCCGCGCATTGCGAGAACCCGGACATGTACGTGCAAACCATGGCCGAGCTGCAGCGGTACATCAGCGTCCTGCTCGAGGCGTCGCCGACCGGATTCAACTTGTCCGTGGTGAAAATCAAGATTCGGTCGGTCTTCCAGAAGATTCTGTCCGAAACCGTGTTCCACGAGACGAAGCTGCTCGATCTGATGCGGCGCCCGGATCTGCAGAAGGTGTGCCGGATCGTGAAGCTGAACAAAGGGTACTGGATCGAGCGGGTGCCGCTCGCGGAGCAGGCGGCCCACGACGCTGAACGGGAACAGGGTAGTTGTACACGATTGTCTGCAGAGGAACCAACGTCGACGACCCAAAGTGCGGGGGCTGGCGGGGGCGCGGCCAGTTGTGCGGACAAGGCCGAGGAGGAGAGCGAGGATATTAGTGAGCCCACGAGCAGTCAGGAGCTGTACAACAACTTTTTGCAGATGGAACAGATTCCGATGGAGCACACCGAGACCGCGCGCGAGGAGGAAGAGTTCCTGGAGGCGGAAGAGTTCCACGAGTAAATGGGCTAGGTATTAGCGACGGAATTGGGAAGGTCATCTGAAAATTTCGCTATTGTTTGTCGCTGTGATTTTGTTCATCGTACCATGAAGTTTCGATGCCGACGTACGGAGCAGGAGTCTTAGCAAAAGGAAAAACTAATTAAAGTAGTTGTAATATCAGACGAGCTCCTATACCTATGATAGTTTGGAAGAAAGCATTAAAAGAGTTGCATCAAGAAAGTCGGAGAATAGTTTTTGACTACTTCAAAAGTTGTATTTTCTATACGATCTTCGTATCGTTTGATCGAGAAAGTAAGTGATAAGTTCTCGCTTGTCGTTTGGTTTCAAAGCAAGCCAAATTATCTGCGGAACTTAAACTCTACGCTGTACCACCACAACGGGGAAGAGCTGATAAATTTTGGAACTAGATGAAAACTTTTTTTCAACAACAGCAATCGAGGCAGCCTCCTATCGTAGCATTAATATGCACTAAGCACCCAGTGCGCCGTATAACCATAGACGGTTGCTGCTAGTACTTGATACAGAAGATCTATCGATCATTTATGGTTTCACTACATCATCAAATACACGATTACTTGCAAAAGTAACTTCACTGTGCATCTTGACTTTTCACCGCCAACGGCAGAATTTCTGCGACAAAGAAATTTGAGGTGTTGTGTTTTGCCGACACAAGCAAATTGTTTCCAAGCAAGTATTAATTAGCCTTTCCCGTTTTCTTTTCCGAATTTGATTCAGTACTAAACGATGAACTCAAGGAAGCACCTTTTAGTACTGAAATTGCAGCACCACGAGCCTCGTCCAGGGCTAGAGAAATGTACCATGGTTTTGGGATGAATAGGAAGGAAGTGCTGCGTTATTTTGACAGTACGAAGAATTTGCTGCGGAAAGGGGCTTCAAAGGAAGCCCTTCGCAACAGAGAGAGCTTGCAAAAATCACCTGTGTCGTTTTAGCGGAAGATCCTCGCTAGCAAAAAATTTGAAAAACCCAAACAGAAAACGAAAACCCTGTCTAATGTTTTCTTCTTCGACAGTTTTGGTTTTCTAGGATGCAGCGGCGCTTTGTTCCTGGCACGCAGCTGTGATCGTCACAAGGATCCGAGCTTTCGTTCCCTCTGCAAAAGAGTCGAATCCAGCTTGCTGCCTCCAAGTGGTCGCGAGCCCAGGTCAGCGAGGCGAAGTAGTTCTTTGAAATTCGAAATCGGGCGATGTTGATCCAACGGACCGGCGATAACTTGCATTGAGGTGGCGTTTACTGTGCTGCGAAAATTCTTGCCGTTCGCTTTTCAATTTCGGGAACAGGCTCCGTTCAATTTTTTTGTCGCGAACAATCTTAGAGAATACAACCACAAGGAGCCAGTCCTCGCGAAAATAAGTACTAAGTGCAGTGGCACAACTCACAGGAACTGATAAAGCCGATTGGAGGCTGCATGTGAAGCTTGTTGCCACAAACAACTGCACCGCTTCTCCTTTGTGCGAACAGGATGAAGTTCTTTTCGCTCACCGGACTGCTGCTCCGCTGGGTTGCAGGTCTCGCCGGCCCACACCAGCTGCTCTTCCCCGACGATCGCACCCAGATTTTTGCCTCTGCTGCAAAAACCGTTGATGAGTTTCGTTTCAAAATGGGGTCACTGCACATGATGGGTCCGGACCCGACGAAGCAGCTGGTGGGTGACATGGCCAAATCGGTGGTGCTCGTACAGGGACAGCGGTTCTACTCGCGGAGTCACGAATGTACCGGGGTCATCGTGGGCCCGTCGCTGCTGCTTACTTCTGCGTACTGTGTCGGGGTAGACACAACTGCACTGGAATTGAATAGGGATGGTCGTGTGCTGGTGTCCGAATCTGCGTCTGCAAGTGGAAAAAAACTATCCGACAATAGTAGGTGCGAGGCGGAGGTACGGCACGGGTCTTCAACCTCTTCTTCCTCGGTCTTTGGTTCTCCGTGGCAGAGCGTTGTTCAGTATATCTCGGGATCTGCTGATGGTGCGCAGCACCGAAATAACCAATCAAAGCACGGTAAAATAAATACAGCACGGGGTTGCACCAATTCCGGCACAAAGCACAATCCAGCGCACAGCCGGGCTAGCTCTCATCGAGGGTCCTCGCCGAGAAGAAGAAATATCTGCTCCTCGCGCGGGCCCGCGAAGAGCCTGACAATCGTTGCCGGGTCGAAGCTCCAAGTCGCGTCCAAAGATGACGTTAGTGCTTTTCTTTGGGACACGATGCTGCAGCGTGAGGGAGAACTGATCCAAGAGCCGACCCTGCAGGCACACAGGTTTGATTTCTCTCGTGGTGCCGTCAGCGACCTTGTCGTCTTTGCGGCTGAGGATTTGGTCGTTCTGGACCTAGCGAAATATAATCGACGCTCTACTTCTGACGAAACCACATCTTCTGCAAAGTCGTCGACGGATAAAAAAGCAGACATTAACCCAACAACGGTGTTTACAGCCAGTCGGACGACGTCGCCCGACGGCAGTCCGAGCCAACAAGGGTCCTCCAATCGTAGAGACCACGATTCTACTCCTCTTGCTGGCCAATTCGAACGACAGAGCTCCAGCGCCAGCTCAACCATTTCAGCGGGCCCTTTCGTGTTTGGTGCCGACAGCAGAGTTGCTGTTGTGTCATCTTCAGGCCGAAGATCAAGTGCCTCGCAAGAACTGCATGTTGCGATCGGGATGCATTTTTACTACGCGGCGGGCAGAACAAACAACCACGCGGACTTGTTTTACGCCCAGGATGACGACGAGTCCTCTTCTTCCGACGAGATGCTGTCCGACGCGTCGAAGCAAATTTTGCTCTCACCGCTTGGGCTATCAAATGTAAAAATGTCTGGGTCTGGAAGAATGCAACTTGTCATGCTAAGTCTGAAGCATGCAAAAATCTGTGTTGCATGATTACCAAAAGTCGCCCAGTTTTGACCGAGTCGGGAGGCAGTTTCTCATGCAGGATAGGCATGAGAAAGATCGCACAGAATCTGTCATGCTAGGTCCTGTATTCCGGACCTCATGGGTCATGGAAAAGCTGCATGATAAATCGCGCATTCTTCCAGACCCAGACATTTTTACTTTTGATATGCGCGGTCGGGGAACAAATTGTACGGAAGTGGCAAGCAAGGCGGCTCTATTGAGAGGAAAAATCCCCCCTCCCCATATTGAAAAAGTATGCTTCCAAAGATTTGTGTTGCGGATTTGAGGTCACAAATCACATCTGTCTTGCAAGAAGACAAGCGCAGAAGCTTCCGCCCCATTATGGAAGCGATTTGCCATGCTGGTGGGCCTGAAGGGGAGTCGTTTGCCATGCTGAACAGCTAGACACATGCGCCTCTACCTAGCCTGGGGATCTGGCCGCAATGCCTCTCTGCAATACAAAGTTGATTTGTGGCCCCAAATCAGCATCACAAATTTCCGTTTTGATATGGGGTGGGGGGATTTTCCATTTTGATAGGCTCGGCTGGTGGGGGTACTTCTACACCAAACAGCATGACTATCCCCGAGAACGCCGGGCTGTTGAAGATGCAAGAGCTCAGCGTGATGGTCGACGAAGACGAAGGTGAAGATCGTTTAGTGCGAGGACCCGGCTTTGGAATGAGATTTTCGACGACAGTCGGAGATGATCAAACAGCATCGGCTTCCGCATTGCAGCGGTTGCGAAGGCGATGCTGTGCGTGCGGCCGGGGAAGCAGGACGGGATTCTTGTGGACGACCTCAGACACATCGTCCAGAGAGAAGCAACTTCCGAGAATTTGCTCCCAGTTCGCCACGATGCATGCAGAATCGGTGGGTGGCGAAGAGGAAGATGCCGGAGGCGTTTCGTGGGACGGAACAGCATCTAATTGCAATCCTGATAGTAACGGGCGGCAACACGCTGATCAGGATAAGGATTGCTGTACCTCCGATGAGTGGACGTTGAGGACGGAAGAATCCGAGCAGGCCGCGCGGAAGAAATCGATGCACGAGAACCTCGGTTCCGCTGTGTTCGATTTGTATTGGGACGAAGCAACGGAACGGTACAAGTTTGCGCTGTCCGGTGTGCGCCTCTTAGTGCCTGTAGAAAATGTAAACGCCGGGGTGGGGTCAACATCGTCGTGTGGGTACTATCGATCCCAGATGGGAACCCAGCAGGAGTACGTGGATCTTCGAACTACGGAGTGGGCATCAGCCGGGCTTTCCGCAATCCTCGGAACAAATCCAAGCCCCGTTGGGACGGACTCGCTAGCGCCGTCGTCTTTGGACGGCACGCCGAGTGGCCGCTGCGCCTTCATCGGTGAGGGAACGACCTCGCGAACGACCAGGCCAGCGAGTTTGGGGAGCGATATTTCTTCTGCCGCGGACCAGACCGAGGGCTGTACGCAATCTTCTTGCGACCCTGTGATTGCAAACACGCTAGACAGCCCGGAAAGCCTCTATGCCGAGGAGGATAACGATCAAGATGAGCAAAACAAAGAGAACACGGACGGCCTCCTGAGTCCGTTGATGAAGGCACTGCAGGCCCTGCAAGTCACGCCCGCTGGAACGCCAAAAATTTTCGGGCTTCGCGGAGAAAAGAAAAAAGCCGAGTAATTGACGCAGTGCAGATGCCGCGCCAAAGCCAAACAAAGATTGGATGCTCCGGCCATGCTCTGCGCGACCCTGGATACCATCGGAAATTCAAATTCTCGCCTCTCAACAAATGTAAAATTCGAAGTCAATTTCAATTTGAGAACAAAGAGCTTGTTCGCAGAATTCATTGAGAACTTTAGGAATCAATAAGAACGAGGCGAGTAAGAAGTTTTCAGATAAAAAAGGTAGCATCGAACACCATTCACCAGCTCAAAAAATGCATACCCATGTCCATGTTGAAATATGAGGCCTGCAATCCTTTGGAGGTTCGCGCGTGCTCCAAGACTTTTACAATATAACCTCTTTCATCACTGCAAAACAGCAAACCCAATTTTTCCTAAATTGATAGCATTACTTTGAGAATAACGCGACTGCGGCGAATTTCAGAAAATGATTGTACCTTAGTTCTTGGCTCTGCAGACAACTTGCTGGACATCAAGTGCAAATCGTAAAACCATTGCATGCATGTTTTTCAGTATTCCAAAGTTGGTTTTCACAAAAGGAAAAGTTTAAGTTTCCCTTTCATTCTGTCAAGCTTTAACCCGGGAAAGTAGCTGCCATCTTAAGTATGCGCAATTTTGTGGTTCGCATTTGCAGAGGAGGAACAGAATGTGGTGCAAGGAAATGGTTAGAGGTTCTCAATGATCGGGCATCTGCTGTGATCCAATTCCAAGAAATAGAAATGTAGCTCCTGAAAAAGGCTCTTTGAGATCCAGGAAAGGCTCGGTGCACCGACAGCGCTAAAAGTCCGATCCTCAACAAGATCATGCAAAAACAAGGTCACAAGCGGAGGCCACGATCTAAGTCTTGTGATCCGAAGAACTGCATGATTGATAGAAGTCGAAAAATACAGCGACATATACCAGTACGCGGCCGAGGTGGATGGCTGTTGTGCGGCTTCTCGAGAAGCACTTACACCTATTTCTAATGCTTCTCCGGTGTTGTACTTGCTGCTTGTCCATAATAATCTAGTACTACGGCTATTCTCCTATTCCATCGCAGTAGAGAACCATGTGCTAGATATCGCCTACTTAGTTCTGCCTTGTTACTCGATCGAAGCTTGTTCGCGGTGTGTGGTGATAGCCCTGTAGTTCCGTCACCAAAATGGCCCAGGCTGAGCGGGTTAGCCTCGTGAGTCAGGGTTTCCGTGGCCCTTGCCTTGCCGGCGCGTCCGGATGCGTCTCCGGAAGGAAAGTGCAGTGTGTTTCCATGGGCCCAGACGTGCACTTCTTTGAAAAGGACACGGGGAGCTTTCTGGGCGTTGCGCCGCAAGTACTCGGCAACGCTAGTGAAACGAAAGACGGCTGCACCTTCGAGTGCGACCGGCAGGAGCCATCGACAGGAACAATTGCCCATGGGGTGCAGCTTTTTTCGTACGGAGCTGGTGTCAACAGCTCCACAGAGAAACAGGATGCGCAAGAAGGGGCTCATCAACGGACTGTGTTGCTTTCTTGGGGTGAGGACCGGATTGCACTCAAGGGTGTGACACTTCGAAGTGACGAGGCGATGCGAAGTAACTCTCTCTTGAGTTATCGTACATCAGCATCAGCGCCTAGCGCGAAGACGCCCTCATCTTCCTCGTCCTCGAGCGGTGCAGCGACTCTGCTTTCCACCAGATGTGGTCACGTCGACGTGGATGCGCATCGAAGCGCATTGCACGTTTTGGGGAAGGAAGAATGGATTCTGCATTGTGAACTCGACTTATGCAGCAGCAGCGGTAGAAGTCGTCCTGGCGGCAGCGACCTGTTTCGACTTATCGTCATCACCGCATTGGGCTCGATAAAAAAGTTCATTGTGGAAGTCGTCCCTGAAGTACAACAATCCGTGTGCGAAGCCTCTCGTGGGTCATGGCGGTTCCGGAAAGATGAAGCGTCCCCGCGTCACGAGGCCGCAGACGTCGTTTCTCACTCGGTCTCCTATGCCGCGGACGTCGTGTTTGTGCCAGAGACCAGCACTGCTGAAAGAGGCGGAGGAGCAATGGTCAAAAGTACAGGAGGATTCTCTACTTCCGGCAAGAAAAATCCGAAGCCTTTCTGCGGCGGCCCGTTTGGCAAGATATTCACGGTGTGTCGACGAAGCGGAAACGCGCGCCCAGCAGAGGTCGGGAGCCACCCGAACGCGGCGATTTTGGACGTTCACGCGGTTCCGGAGCTGGACGGCAGGGTGGTTTTGTCGGCGTCCGACGACCGCAGTGTGCGCATTTGGGGGGAAGACTCTGATGAAGATTCAACGGGAATAAAACTTACGGAGGAGGGAAATGACGCTACAACAGCGACTGATGTGACGAGGAGCCGTTGGCGGCTGCTCGGGCAGCTGACCGGCCACGGTGGCAGAGTGACATGCGTCCGGACGTTTGACATCGGTGGAAGTAGAAGTAGGGCAAAGATGAACAACGATGGTTCCAAGAGCGACCGCCGCTTTGCTGCAATCTTCCAGGATGATTTTCTGACGGTAACTGCTTCCGAAGACCAGACCGTGAAGGTCTGGAGGGGTTGTACGTGCCTGCGGACTTTCAGTTTGACCGCACCGGGCCGCTTCTGCTTTTTGGAGCGCGCCGCAAATGAAGCCTCTTCTTTGGAGCTCTACGTGGGCTGTGACGGTGGTTTTCACAAATTCACATTCAGCTGCAGCTACCCTGGCGTGTCGACAACGCAAGAAGGCACGCTTACTGGAGATGGCGCTCCGGAAATACTTGGAGAACGAGCTGAGCCCTGCACTGACTTGCTTTTTAGCATTCCAGATGATTGCACACGAACGCAAGATGCTTCGAGGACTTGCACAAAACAAAAGGATTGGGTCCGCGACATTGTGCGACTCGGCGATACCAGTGCGTATCTGGTTGCGACAAACTACGGGCGACTTTTTTGTGTGAACAGATCACCTACCGTGTGTAGCAGATCACTATCGACCGGGGCCGAGACAAGAGAAGACAATCCGTCCGATGCGTACGAAATGTTGAACCTTCCGCACTTAGCGTCGTCGTTGAACAAGCAACCGGAGGATAGAAGTGCCAGCACCGACGGCGGGAAAGTGCAACAATTTGACCCGTCCGCTGGAACTGCGAGAGACGGTACTGAGGTACAGCATCCGGAGGAAGGACCTCGACCAAGGATGCAGTGCACCAAAATTTGTGACATGCGGATACCAGCAGCGTCGTGCGGCAACGACGGTGATCAGTTTGTCGTCTTTGCCGGCACTGCCTGCGGTCGAATTTGTAGTTTCAATTCACCAGCAGGTGTAGAAATGAACATCGAAAAGCGGCCCTTCTCTGAAGTCGATTCTGCTCGCACAATGCAAGTCGCAGCGTGCCCTTTCCCGCAGAAGGGACGCGTAGTCAATCTCTGGCCATTCAGCCGCCCGCTCGCAGCGACTGGCTGTGACGAGACAGGCGGTGAAATCAAACACTTTCTCGTTGCTGCCGCCGCCAGTGCTATTGCAGTGTACGAAATAAGGGTTGGAGACGGAGAGCCAAGTGTCAGCAATCCAGGCGGCGACCCTTCCACTTTGTCGCTTTTGTGGCAGCAGCCACAATTGAAAGTGCAGGCCTGTTGTCTTGTCGAGTGTGTGAACGTCGAAAGTCAAGGCAAACCTGCCTTAGTCTTTGTTTTCGGCGATGACCAGGGACGTATGCGGTTCTTCGAATATTCAACGGGTGCCCAGCTTTTCGAGCAAGGAAATGCGCACGCGGGCAAGATTTTATCGTTACACAGAGACAAAAGCCGCGCAGGCTCGTTCTACTCCCTTGGCGCGGACTCGACGGTGGCACAGTGGCGCGTGAGCTGTCGCAACGAATTTATCGTGTCAGACTCATCTACAACTGCGTCAAGCAGCAGTGCTGATGGGAAAAGAAACCCGGTTTTCTCTTTGGAAAAGGTGTTTTGGTATAAATCCTCGCAGATTTCGCATCTTTACTTCCATGATGCCGCCGGTGGATCATGTGTAGAAGGTGAGCAAGAACAAAAAGAACCCCTTCTGGCGGGCTTCACAGCGGGGGATTTTGTCATGGTGAGCGGCTACCAGGGCGACGAGCTGGTCAAGGTGAACTGTGGCGGCGCGCGACGGGCCTTCTGCATCTCGAGCGAGGAATTCGTTTACACTCAACAGGATGCTGTGTATGTCAAAAAGATCCCAAAAGTCAACACCTTCTCGCAGAAGCTGCTCAACGCCGGTGTCGGGAAGGAAGTTTTGGCGCTGGCTTGTCCGCGAAGAAGCATGATCGCAAGATCATCGTCAGCGACGTCACAGAACAGCAACCCTAGTGAGGAAGATGTTTTATTTTCCGGAGGGGAAGAGAACGTGCTTGCAGTACACACGTTTCGGGAAAGCGGTGAGAGTGATTATGGGGCAGAGCAGCGAGAAGAACATGTTTTTCACAGCGAGCAGAACAGCGTGAAGCCGATGTCTTTTTCGTCATGCGACACGGAAATTTTTCACCGACAGGCCTCCGCTGTGAAATGCATGTGTTGCGCAGAACAACAACAAACAGAAAGTTCTTCGAACGGTGGTCGTCGTTCTTTTCTCGTGACCGGTAGCGCGCACGGCGAACTGAAAGTTTTCGACGCAACGGCAGCTCCGTACACCCTGAAGTTTCACAAGGTTCTCGCACAGGACCGCCTGCTGGCCATCGACGCCAGAGTGGACGGAGAAAACCTGCTGCGCTTCGCAACCACCACCTCCAGTGGTGTGGTCCTGTTCGGGACACTGTTTCTCACTGGAACGACCGCCCGCCTCGGTCGCCTTTCTCGGCTCGAAATTCCGGGAACTGGGGTAGGAATGGCAGTTGCGTTGCTAAGGCAACCAACGATGCGAAAGAACATGGATGAAGATGGGGGGATCGTCAAGATGCACCAGACTGCTCGTCGTGTTGAGCCCCAAGTAGAACTACATGAGGCAGGACAGCCAGCGGCGAGCTTCGCGGTCGGCTGTACCGACGGCGGTGTATACCTTTTCGATGGGAGAATGAATAAATGGGACCGCGACTCGTTCAAGTTCCTGCCCGGTTCGGTAAATGCGGTATGTGCGGTCACAATTATGAAAGCAGAAGCACCGGAAAATTCTACAGAAAATCAAACGCCACTGATCGCGGCTGCCTGCGACGATGGGATGTGCTACATCCTGCGCCCTTTCTTCGAGAAACAGGATGGCGACGTGTTTGCGCATGCCACCAATAAAGCTGCATGGCCAGAACAGCCGGCGGTCGAAATCGCAAACACAAGGGGCCATATTTCCGCGTGCGCCTTGAAGTGTGTCGCTTATGATGAACCACGACAACTGTTGGTCACCGCGGGATGGGATCGCGTAGTCCGGGTGTATTGCTGCAGGGAGATGCTCCAATCTTACAGGTGCTCATCATCTTCCGCAACGGTCGGGAAAGCGCACAACAGATCGTCTTCGGTGAAGCCGCTAACCCTTGTGGCCTCGTCCCGCACGTCTGTGACGGAAATTCAGGCGCTGTGTATTCTAGAATCAAGAAGAGACGATGCTGGCACGACAAGTGTCGTGGTCGCCGGGCGGGGTATGGAGAAGCTGAAAATCATCGTAGAAATAGTGCCGAATAGCTGCGACGCGACTGAGAAACAAGCAAAAACTACGCAGAGGGTAGCAGACGCTACAGCGTGTGGTGCTGCTGGTGGCGCTTGATCATTTCTTGAAGGCGTGCGCTGGGTGCGTAAACTGTGTGGTATGATTGCTCGTGCGACATTGTGATTGTACTGTTAAGTACTTATCCATCAAAACGATAAAGCGAGGACGACAGGCTGACTCGCCCTTTCTGAAAAAGGAATCCGAACGACATTTACAGCAAGCGACAATCACATAATGAAGTGCGAACATCAAAACCACTACTGCCTCCAGTACTGTAATTTGCAAGTGTTCAGCGGCAGGGTCGCGCTTTTATTTCAGGAAAGCCTGCACCATAGACTTTGGTGCACAATTGCTGAAATAGTTCAGCTTCACCGTTCCATTAGATTCGTGCAAAGTTGGCACGTGGGTCACTTGTATCAAAATCGAACAAAATCAGATAGATAGTCGAGACACCGTGCCACAGGTTCTGCATATGTTGATTCGCTCTGGAAGTAGAAGATTGCGGTGTTTTTCTTTTTTTAGTCATTCTCGCCCAAGACTCCGGCAGCAGTAGGACTTTAGAAAATTTTTGTGCTTAAGAGCTGTTGGATTGGTTTCCCGTGCGCTTTATCGTGTGTGAAGAAAGTTGTAAAGAAAGCTGCTTTTTGTTTTGTCACGCCTGTTACAAGGCCTATTTCATCTCAATGTTTGTCTACACGCTGGTAAATCTGTGATGCGGCTCGCAGGAGAAGGTTGACCGCGATGGCGTTCATACTGTGAGGATTTTCGTGCCAGGCCTTCCTCCTGAACGCCGCTAGCGTGCTACGTTGAGGACCTACCTTTGGTGCGCCCTAAGGAAGACACGCCTTCACGAGATCGCGAGCAACGGAAAGCCTTTCTTGGTCGTTGACCGTGGCAGCAATTTGATACAACTCCCACTTGCGGTACAAAGCGCTGCGCGATTGCGGACGACCCGTCCGACCTTTCTACCCCTTTGACATCCACCACCACCTCAAATTGAGCGGCACGCGGAATTTGTAGCAGCTGCAGGTTGCGTACGCGTCCAAAAATCAGTCACTTCTCACGCCGGAAAGACCTTACGAAGATCCGAGTAGAACCTCGCACACCAGGTAGAAGCTCTGTCTAGAAAAGCATAAAAAGGATTCGAGCATTTCAGGGATAGCGGGCCAGGCTGTTGCTGATTGAAAGAGGAATCGAGATCCGATTCAGCCTCTGCTTTATCGGAAATAGACATCCGCGTGGTCTTTGTTACTTTTCGCAGGAACAAAGACGAACACACCATGAATCTGTTCTTCGGAAGCAAGAAGAAAAAGGAGGAGAAGCCGGCAAAGAGCTTGGGGGCCGAGGCAGCAGACACGATCAAGAGATTGCGGGGGGATATCGAAGCGCTCGAGAAGAGGAGAAAATACATGGACGCACAAGTAGCGGAGCTTGAAGAGAGTGTACGGGACAAGGTCAGAAAAAAGGACAAAAACGGGGCCAAAATGGCCCTGCTGCGCAAGCAGGCGTTGACCAAAAACGCACAGCAGATTGACAACCAGATACTCACCCTGGAAAATCAATGCCTGTACTCTTTTCTTCATCACTTTTACCCTTCACAATCAGTGTTTTTCCGGGAGAACATGTATCGACTTTGTATCGACGACGACCAGATCAAGCAGTTTTGTAAAAAAAGTTCTTTTTCTTTTTTGCATCCATCTCTCAAAAAATTTCTATCACAGGCAGCTAGAAAACGCGACAACCAATATGACGGCAGTGCGAGCCATGGAACAAGGGCTTGCGATGCAGAAAAAGATAGCGCAAGATATGAATGCCGACAAGGTACTCTGCGTTGTCGCTTATGATTCACGCAGTTGAAGACATTTCGATATTTCTGCAGGCGCGCCGGAATTCCATAGCATGGGACGTAATTCACCAGAAGACTGGGATTTTTGTTGTTATTGTTTATCTCAAACTCAGGTGGAGCAGCTTTTCGACGATCTTGCAGAGCAGAACGATTTCAGCAACGAAGTGTCGGACCTGTTTGCGCAGAGTATAGTGATTTTTTTCCTGCATGAGAAAAGTGTGGTAACTGCTGTGTTGTCGTTTGCGTTTGGTTCTAACGTGAAAATGACCTTGTTCCCCAGCTTGTATCTCTATCATTGCTCAGATGCGGACCAAATTGGGGGCGATATGGACCTAGACGAGGAGCTGGACCAGCTATCCGCCCAGCTACTCGAAGAAGACCTCTTAAACGCGAAAACGATACCTTCATCCTCGCAACCAGCAGCGGCAACCGCAGCACCCGCATCAGCAAAGGTACAATTTACTAACTACCGCAGCGCTCTCTACAGCAGGTTGCAAACGTGTTTTCTTTTCATGTCTGTTTGATGTACAAGCGTCCGTCTTTCTTCAAATCAGCCCGCCGCCAGTGCAAATCTTGCTGCAGACGAGGAGGCCCAGCTAGCAGAACTTCAGGCGCAGTTGAACTTCGCATAGCAAGACATAGTCCCGGGAAACGCTACTGCGAAAACGTGGCGCCGCAGAGCCTCTGCGAGCGATGGCCACAAAAGCATGAGTTTTCGGTCCAAGGGCGCGCAGGTCGTCGCATTAGCGAGAGGATGCTTGCAGTCACCGCAGTTTTATTTGCACAGGAACACGAGCAACATCCGTACTATCCGATGCGCATGGCCTGTCGCATGAGGCGCGGGCTACAGTACCGAAAATTTTTGTGTTGAAACTGACCATGATACGCGGGTCGGGACCCTGAGTGGTAGCGACCAGGATGGCGGACATCGAGTGATTTGCGCTAAAATTTTGATAGAAATGGAAGGTTCGGAAAAAAAAACACAAAGCAGGAAGATGTTCAAGTAGACCTTCGAGAAGCGTGTTCTCAGGTCGGAAAAATTTTTTTCTTGACAATCATTTTTCGCAGGAACCAATAAGAGTCTCTCTCGGTCGATTACAAAGTTTCCTTGTCGAACAGTCCCTTTCTGAACTTTCTGCCTGATGGTAGTGACGCGATCCATGTGCGTTTCGCTTAAAATGATAGTGCGGGGTAGCTGCAGGCTGGTGCTTTGATGTAAGTAGATGAAAAGATGCAGCTGTAGCTGTCGGAGAATAGGAAAGGATGACTTTATCGAGATTGGCTTCCTGTAGAGCAGTAGTCCTAATCTTCTTCCGACTTGCGCTAGTACCCATAAAAAGTTCCGCAGATCGGATAAGAAGTTCTAAGTCTTTCTCTTCTGAAGCGACGGCTGCGACAGCGTTATTGCCATCTCTTTTTCCGCTGCAGAAGTTGAACAATACGACTTTTGAAAATCAATATCAAAATGGAACAACGAGCTCGTCCGGTCGTGTTGAATCTGCCTCGACCAGTGGTCAATCCGAGGAGCCTAGTGAGCATTGGCAGTCCGCCAACTCCGCAGGCGTTTCCGCGCAGGATCTGCCGTCCCTGTCGCAGGACGATGATCGGGACGAGAGGGATGAAACAACCAGCATACCGAAAACGCATGCTCTCACCTCCAGAAGGGAGGGTGGTAACAAGGAGGTCGTGGAAGATCCCGCCGTCAGTGGAGCAACCACAGGCGGACCTGCTCCGAAGACTGAAGAACAAGCCACGACCACACTGAGACCACCTGCGTTACTGTCAACAGGCACGAGAACAGACGAACAGCCCCCGTCTGACACGGCTCCACCAACGGGTGCTGAAGTAAAGACGCATGAGGAAGATGTCGAAGGAAGTTCTGGTACTCGGGAACCCAATGATTCCCCTGCATCCTCGAGTTCTGCTGCCCCGGCGGTGCACGTGGAAGCAGCCTCCGCAACAGAAAGCGGCGTCTTTCACCCATCCCAGTGGCTCTCGAACGAAACCGGAGCGATCTTTTTCCGGCGTTCCCTGCAGCTGGTGTTTTTCGCCTACGCTTTCGTGGGCCTGGCTCTAGCCGCGGACCACTTGTGCAACTCGATGGAAACGCTGTGCACGCGGAACAAGGTCCCGGAGGATGTCGCCGGGGCCAGCTTCATGGCGTTTGGCTCCGCAATCCCGGAAATTACCGTGAACGCAATCTCCACCTATCGAAGCGCACAGGACCAGACGGAGCATCAACGAAGTAACGATGTGACATATCTGAGTCTACCGAGAACAACACGCGCACTCACGAAGGAATCGGCCTTCGGCGAGGACATTGCGTCCCCGGCCGACCTCGGCGTTGGTGGCATTCTGGGGTCGGGGTTCATTGCGTTTCTGCTCATTCCGACGCTTTGCGTGTGGTTCGCCCCGAAGCGGGAGGCGAACGCACCACGGGCCCTGTTCCTAAAGCGCGGGGTACTGCGGCGCGACGTGTTTTTTTACGCGGCCGCTTTGCTTGTGTTGAACTACGCCCTACATGAGCGCGAAGCCTCGTGTTTTTCCGCCGTGTCGCTCTTGCTCCTGTACGTGTCCTACCTCGGTATGCTGGTGCGGGCGCGGCGTCAGTTCCTGCGCGGCGAGGACGACACGGGTACCAGTTCGGAGCCACGGCAGGTGGGTTTTATCAGTGTGGAGGAGACGGAGCTCAGCCAGCTCGCGAGCAGTAGCAGACCCGGCTTAGATCCCGGCGGCTCTGCTCAGCATCAAGATCATATTCAGGTGGTTGACAGCACGTTCACAAGAAGTAGTGCGGATGTTGGTGCACCTGCTTCTTCATCGTACTCTGCGTCTGTCCCCGAGGTGCTGAGTTCGTTTCTCTCCATTGGCTCGGATTCTTCGACCACCGCGTCCGTGACCGAAGCGCTTATTTCGCCTAGCACGACGCGGCAGTTACCCGCTCCAGCTTCGACCGACGGAACAGGTTCGGGGTCAACACCCCCTCGGTCGCAAAAGGCGACGGCTCCCAGCGGTACGAGAAATGCGACGGACTATAGCCTCATGGTAGACGATAAGTATGCCGCCATCTACGATCGCCCGGTTTGTGGCGCACCAGCGGCACAGGCCAGCCCGCTTTCGCCCGAAAGTCAGCACACCGGGTCGACTGGAAGTGCTCGTGAAGCTGCCATTTTGCGATTCGACGACGCAGAAGAAGAGGACCTAATTGATGACGTCGACAGCGACCTTTTCTACAATTACGAAGAAATAAATGCAGAAGACGTCAACTACAGTGCCCCCACGCGGAGGTTACGGACATGCGTGCTTGTTCTGTCGAGGAGATGCGTCAGAGGTTTCAGACGAACGCGCCGGTGTTGTGTGAGGAGGTGGCGCAACTACGTGGCCAGCAGTCGGTGTTGGAAAGGAGTGTGTTGCTTAGGTCCGGGTGCGCCCCCGTCGACCGCCGCCAGCAGGATTCGGAAGGGCTTGCACCTGTGCCTGCTTCCCGTGGAATTCGGTCTGCGGGTGACCTGTCCGGACTGCCGCGCCGGAGAGGTGCACGAACGGTATTACGCCGTGACGTTCTTTGTGTCCTTCTCTTGGATCAGTTTTTTCTCCTACATTGTCACCGACGTTTCTTGTGACTGGGTGGACGCGTTGCAGGTCCCCAGCTTGATGGCGTTTTTCGGCCTCTGTCTGGTGGCAGTCGGCGCGGAGATTCCGGACACCATTAATTCGGTGACGGTGGCGAAGCGCGGACTCGGGTCCATGGCGGTTTCCGCCTGCGTTGGGTCGCAGATCGCCAACATTTGTCTGGGACTCGGCTGCTCCTGGCTGGTGGCCGTGCTCGTCGGCGGCGAGCCCGTGGAGATCGGGCGACACGACTACCTGGTGCGTTTGGCGGCCAAGTCGCAGCTCCTTAACGTGTTTGTGTTTTACATCGTCACGGTCGTGCTAGCCTCCAGGCCGGATGGTACTATCGTCATCAAAGGCCCGCACATGTTCCTCTTTGGCGCGCTCTACGTACTCTGGATGACCTTGTTCGCGCGGGTAGCTCTTCACGGACGAATTTTTGAATAAGGAGATAACGGCTGATGCTGTGAAATATGAGCGGCGACGCGCCACTCTACTCGTCTCTGTTCCCTGCGCTGTGCGCAGATCTAACATCGTGTTGTCGTTCGGCACTCGCCAGCGTCTAGAAGACGTGTTTGGACAGATAGCGTACACCATCATAAATTTTTCCGACTGACCCCAAAGCGCAGAAACGTTTTTTCCAAACAGACATATGTGTTCGTTTAACAAGTCGTACGTCCGGGAGTCGTGCATGCTGCAAAGTAGGAAAGATTTGTATACCTCTTTCTCGGTATTTTCATTTCTGCGTTGAATCTGAGAGATTGCACCAATCGTCCGTAATCACTTAGAGGTTGCCATTCCAACAAGACTTACAGATACGGTCGTCCTTTACCTGTTAGCACGTCCTCTACGTCCTCGTTTTTTCTCCAAACAACCATCAAGGACCCAAAGGGATATAGCCGTCGATCCCAGATCGTAAACCTTTCCTCTCACACACCTGCGCAGGAGACAATTGACGTCGAGTGGGTAGTTTTTTTTTTCGGAGAGCGAGTGCGATTTGGACTTGTTTTCACGTAGTTTTTTACCATACCTGGAACATCAAGAAGCAGAAACTTCGTAAAACATGGCTGCCTCCGCATCTTTGTCTGATGCAGCGCCGATTGAGGTGCGGGTGCTCGTGGTCGGGGAGGCGGGCGTGGGCAAAAGTTCGCTGGTATCAAGATTGATTCACAAAAGCGCAGGGACGCAGGACATCACGATCGGGCATCAAACGAATGTCTGGCACTTCGATGTGGACTCCGAGTTCGGCAGGAAAAGAAGGGTAAAAACTTTTTACGCAAATACGTGTTTTTTTCGTTTTCTTCACCAGTAATTCTTCCTCCGTTCGCAGAGGTCATGATTCATTGCAACCGCAGTTCGATCTGTTGTGGGAGCGAGTGGGTGGTTGTAGGCACCAGATAACACATGAAGCCGATCATGTACGTCGCTCATTCATAACCATAGTAAACACTCAAAAAGTAACCGATTGCGCATAAATAATTCTTGCAGATACACATGGTTCTGACCGACGTCGGCGGTGGGCCCTCGATGCGTGCGTTGCAGAAGGAATTGTTCAAGGGGGCGATATCTTGAGGAAAAACACTCCCTCCCCGTAGCCAAAAGCGAAACTTGTGATGTTGCTTTGCGACCACAAATTGCAAACAGGGAAAACGAAGACCATTTTGCATCCGCGAAGGTTTGTTTCTTCTTGTGCAAAGAGGTCCTCTGCAGGAGAGCTAAACAGGCACAGAAAATGCCTCCACTCTGCTCTTGCAGCAAGCCAAAGCTGATTTATTGTCGTGTACGCTAATTCAGCAACAGACGCGCTGTGTCGGATTTTTGAAAGAGCGCCCTTTTGAAGAAAAGAATATTGGGACGAGGGAGTTTTTCGTTTCCATAAGCGACCGCCGTTATTTTCGCCTTCGACCTCTGTGACCGAGGCTCCTTCACGCGGCTTTCTAGTTGGCTGCGGGAGATCCATGAGACCTGTGGCAGGCAGAACCGGATGCTGATCCAAGTGCTAGTCGGAAACAAGGTGGACCTGGCTAACTCGGACTCGATCGTGTCGCACACCCCCGGCCGACAAGTGTCAGAATCCGAAGCCAGGGACTACGCATCGGCTGCCAATATGAAGTACGTCGAGACCAGCGCCTATAGCGGTATTTATTTTCCTTGAAAATTTTCAGAAATGTAAATGTTTCTGAGTGAAGGATGATTTAACAGAGTTTGACCTTTGTCCGGTTTGGAGGGCCAAGCCATTTCGTTTTATGAAAATCTTCACCTATCCGAAAATCGAAACTTTCCAGGTGCAAACGTGGAGCCCTTTTTTCGCGAGATCGGGCGTGAAATTGCGCAATTGGTTTCTACGGGTGAGATTTCGCTGGATACGCCGGATATCCACGGTGTGAGGCTTGCGAAAATCCCGATGGCCGGCGGAGCCATGCGCCCCTACGGACAAGGTACAAATACATCAATATGATTCGGGTTAGTGGTGAAACTGTACTACTTTTTGAGGTGTGCAACCGATACACACGAAACGAAATGGCTTCCGTAGCTAGTAGTTCTACTCGATCCAATTTTGGACTTGTCGTACCTCAGGTGCCCCGCCAATGTGTCCTGGCGTACGGGATATGTTTTTCAACTGTCTCCGCAGCTGTCATGTCTGATCGGTCGAACGGAGTGTGCGTCAACTACAGTCTGTCCTCAACTACACAAAAATTATGTACTTTGACGCAAAAATCACTCAACTGCCTTCCTACGAAATCCTTCTTTAGGCCGCTCATCATCGACGAGTGGCAAAACCGACCTTGGCCTCGGATTTTTCGCGAAGTGGTGCACTTTTTGAACACGATACCGCTGGTCGGTGTTTGCGTGAAAGAGAAGATCTACGAACGCGGCTTGCAGGCAAATCGAGACAACGACAAGAAACCGAATGAACAAGCGTCCTAAAGAACAGCACTTCTTCCCCTAGAGGCGGTCCCCTTGCAGCTCTTCGTGGTCGGCGCTTTTGCAACTGGTCTGCATTTCCGATCAACCTCGTTCGGCAGGTCGCCTTGGCCACTAAGGGAACGACCGCGGACGGACCTGGCCGGTTTGCTCATCGTGGTGTTTCATGTGTGGTGTTTACCAGCTACTAGGAAACAGAGTTCGACGTATGAAGTAGCTAGTGTTCGGGTTCTTGGAAATGATGGGACTACTTACTTCGCAGCCATGGGACGGCCACGATCACGCGACACCCAAGGAGCGAGTCGGCACGCAGTAGGCGGACGAGTTGAAGCGCAGGTTCGCGCGGACGACCGAGCAGAAGTAAATGGCAAATTCATACGACAACGCCGCCACAGGGGATGAATAAAGCGAGTCCGCCTACTTGCGACCAGCAAGAAAGTGCTCCTCTGCAGGCAGGAAAATACATGCGACCGCACAAGACGAGACGATCGACCCGACGCACCCACCACGGACGGAGAGAAATGGCAGTCGGCTCCAAATCATAACAAAATTCGGGGGCGACGGCAGGAGTGGTCCTCCTCCTCAGTGCCTCGCAGCACAGAGAGCGGCCCGTGCGAGGCGATCGGTTTGCCGTCCACTGAACTTGGACCCGTCGAGGGCGAAGCAGGACTCTTGTTTCTTTCCCGGAGGCTCTCCGTGTCCGTACGAGCAAGACAACCGAGCGTGATTCACTCGTGCTTGATGCGGCGGTTTTGCGAGGAACAGATATTTCACAGAGCGGATGCTACGTTTGAAAAGATTCTATGTCTTTAGCTGTACTGAATAAAAAACTCTCGCTCTGGCATTTCGCAATGCGCAAGATAAGCTGCAAAGGCAAAAAACAACATTCAACGCCAGTAGCAACGGGAGAAGTCTCTGGTCATATCGCGAGCGTTCTACCTACACTCGGCGCTTGAAAAATCCTGATGGAGTGAGTCGGTGTTTTTTATCGGTGCTTTCCGTACACAACGGATTGTGTGCAAAAGTGTGGTGCGACCGGGCTGCGCCATGTCATTTTAGTTGTCAAGTTCACAGAAAAATCAACTGCATCTCTTTCGGTTGTGTGTGTAGTTTTCTTGTCGTCTGTATTTGTGCAAAGAGAAAAATTCTGCTCACGTGCCTAGATTCTTGTCGCGGTTCGTTACGTGCAATTTTCTCATCAAGTATCCGGGTCGTGAACTGTGTTTGTTAGTTGTACAGTCTCTTCAGCAGCACCTTTGAAAATGAAAATCGTGGGTCGTATCAACGTGGATTCGTCTTGTTCTTTCCATCGCTGGATGAAGACTAAAAGAAAAGATCGTTCGCGGCTCGGTGCACCTAAATTGGGTCACTTGTCTGTCAGCGCAGTTGTGGATAGTCTTCTATTCTACGAAGTTCATTTACTTCTTCAGCACTGTATCACATTCATTAGTATCTCAAATCCAAGCAACTTCATTGCAGGTAATGACGATGATTGTACCCGTGTGTTTTTTTTAAAGAGCAATAGACGCAGAGGATAAAGAGAAAACAAGAAGCGACTGCTTGTGCCGCGAATGTGGCCACCCGTGCTGGAGTCGGTCACGGAGCCACCTCCGACTCCGCCGATCTATCGCAAGGCAAAAGTGATACAGTTACACATTGTGTTGCAGGCCAAGCAAGACAGACCAGCTCTGTCATGCCGGATACGCATAGAAGCCTCGTTTCATAGATGTTTTCCCCTAGGATATCTGTATTGCAAGTTTTCTCTCTCATGCAGAGAAATTTGCGTTGCTGAATTGACTACAAATGTGTAATTGTAACACTTTTTTCCTGGGATACGATCGTCAAGCAGCGGAGTGTGGAGCAGTACCGACAAGCGCAGGATGAAGCACAAGAGAAAAAGGTATATCATGACATCTATTTTATTCAACAAACAGGTTGAGTCGTCACGCAACGCGCATAGAAACAAATCGTAGTTGCGCGCTAGTATTCAAGACATGCAAGTTTTCGCTTTTGTTTTAGAAAGATAGTGAAATGCAACCGAAAATACCGATCCAGCGACACGAATTGGAGCGTGCGCAGTGGCAGAAAGAGAAGAAGCAGCTGGTGCGAAAGATCCAGAACCTCGAGCGCACACTGGCTTCGCACAAGCAGGAGAAAATGGAAGAAAAATACGACAGAAAATTTCAGCCAGAGTACCATGCATTATTTGTTTACATTCAAAAAGGGTGCCTCTTTTATGATGCGATGCATAATGAACAATTTCAGTCTTCTTGCTCCAAAGTTGGAGGGGCGAACATGTTTGGGAAAAGAAAGATAAGTATTCCGTTTGTCCCAACTCCAACTTATTACAACTCGCACTTTCTTGCAGCCCTCCACTGCCGGTCGCCGTGCGGCAAATATCATATACTACAACTCCCCTCCTCCGTCATTTGTCGTGGTCCGATAAGTGCAGCTTTATGCTAGAATACATGGCGACGCTCTTTTTTTTTGCAGAAGCATGACTGTGAGTTGTCCGGGCAGTATTTCTTCGTCTGGAGGGAGGGGATGTTGTACCACCTGATAGGAACAAAAGCGGCCGGAGGACGCCCTCGATGTAGATGTACTGGAGCGCCTTCCGGTAGCGAAGCCCCTGCTCGTATCCTGTGTGACATTAACCTGAAGTTGTGCGAAAGTACTAGATTTCAATGCAACAAGTCTTGCATGTTCAGCTGCAGCTGCTTCAAGCCCTCGTATTTCAATGGGTTTGCCACGGAAAGCAACTACTAGCATGCTCGTTTTGGTCAATTCCCAGGCAGCTGAATGAATATCTACACAGATAATTATCCTTCAAGTGAGTATGCGAAAACGAACATGAAATGTTGTCTCGGGGCAGCAGAAGTGAATTTTGCTATCGCGACTTACTGACTTGGAGTTGGGTTCGAGGTGCCGCCTTGATGCGCCGCTGTGTAGTAGAGCCCATTCTTTGTACAGAGAGTTGCTTTCATTGCACAAAGCAGGTTTTGTTTTCCACAGGATGGCCTGCGATTCCGGAAAAGCCGGAACCGTTTCCGAACTTGAAGGAGGTAGAGCCCAAGTCCCCACCCGCCCAGTCGCCTCTGAACCGCGCGGAGTTCACGCTGCAAATTGGGTTTGAAGAGAACTTTCAATTCCGGGAGGAGTTCAAAGTGATGAACTCCCTGCGCATGGGCAGTTACTCGGCCTCCCTGTGGGACGCTTTCCACGAGTGGAGGGACACCATGCAGCAGAAACCACGCACCTACAAGAAAAAACCCGCAAGCAGTCCCAGTCCGAAGAGAAAAAGTGGCTCGGCGACGTCCTCCGCGTCCGCTGCAACTCCCACCACGACTCGGAACAGCCCCCTGCCGCCACCGGGGTCGAATAAGAAGCAGAGCGGATAAGGCTTGTCGTCATGCTGGTGCGGGTGGTGCAGTTTGTCTGTGTGGTCCTGGCGGATTTTTTTGAAATCCAGACTGCGCAAAGTAAGAGGTGATAAGAAAGTAGACCAGCAATAGAACACTTTGTGACACGACTGCAGCGTCCCATTGTGCTGTATTGATGGAAATTGTTTGAAAGGAGTACCTGTCACAATAAAGTATTGGAAAGAAGAACTGCTGCCGCTTCTTGTACCAGAATATTTCGCAAACGGGAACCGCACTCCGTGTGGGATGACAATTGATGTAATCGATCGAGAGGACGTACTCGGTTCTGGCTCTGTGCGAAAGTTCTGGTGTTCGTGGCTAGGATATCGAAGAACTCGTCGTGCAAATGAATGTCCTCCATGTAGCGGAATTCGTCTCTGTCTCGGTTTTGTAAGAGCTACTCGGTACAGCCAGGATGAAGTAGTCGGTTTGCCCTGCCAGGTGCACTTCCTTGCAGGATTCGTGTCCTATCCTCGGTGACTCTCGTGCGCTTCTAGGTGTCGGTCACGTGCATACATTTTGAAAATAAAATTGCTTTGTCGTACACATGATAGCCTGCTAGCTTCGTGCGTTGTTTCTGTTCCCTGTCGTTCATTGTCAGTTGTGCTTGTTTCGTCAAGCCGTACGGAAGAAATGTCTTTCGCGACAGGACACTGACTGCTCTGTTTGTTTCGTTTTGCTCTGCTCATGGACCCTTCGTCAGATTTACACAGGACTCACACTCAATCATAGTCTACCCTGGTCAGAACGTATTGGTACCATGCAGATAATTTTTCCTCTCTGACGTTAAGCCAAGCGCTCGCGTTGTAACTACACAAGAGCACGACAACGTCGAAAGCCCTACGCAATATTCCCTCTGGCGTTTTGATTTCTTTGTGTTATTTTCGTTTTTTTGAAACTTTCAAAGGGCTTTCACCAGGGGAAGACCACACGCACCAGAGCGAACTAGACTACAGGTAGTTCGAGGGATGAAGCCTTCTTCTGCTTAGAAGGATGCCGTTCATAGTAGCTACAGGCTGAGAGCGACCACTTGAACCCTGTCAGTGCGCGTACTTGACATTTTTATACAGAACTTCTTGTTTTGTCCTGCTCTTACAGATTACAAAAGAAGCAAAAGCGAACGGCCAGTTGGCATAATCGTGGCCTAGCCTCAGCCCTCCAGCATGTCGACGACATCAGCGCCAATTGTAACCTCCTCCGGATAGTTACTCCAGGATCGTTTTCCGAGTCATTTTTTGCTTGCGTGGTAACGTAACCCAAGCTAGCAGATCGCGCCGCGGAGGTGCTGCATCAACTGACACCAGCGAGGTTGCTCTACAGTACGATTCGGCTTTGAAAAAACACGGCCCCGGAGGCTCCGACGGCACTTGGTGAAGAAAGGAAAATCGCCATTGAAAAGTGCGACGGAACAGTAAGTACCTCAGCAGCAATAGGTTGGAGCAGCAGTCGTCAGTACAGCGATCCTGCTGTCGTGGTGCGTACACATTGACATTTCCCTTCCAGATATCGCAAGGAAATAAAACACCCGGACTCCTTCCTGTCTGCCGAGTCTGCCCGAATAAAACGAAGATGTCGTTGGAAATCGGTGGGAGCAGTAGCTCGGACAACGTGCGGGTGTGCTGCCGCGTGCGTCCCCTGAGCGAGAAGGAACTCAAGGGGTTTTGCGTGGACACGAAGGAAACCGATGAGGGCTTCATCAGTTGTCGCCTCGGTGCTGTGACCGGAGTGAACAAGGACAGTACGGCTTCGAACCAGTACAGTTTCCACTTTGACCGTGTGTTTCCGACGAACTCACCGCAGAAAAAAGTGTACGAGTACGCGGCCCTGCCGACCGTCAAGTCCGTCATGGAGGGATTTAACGGAACCGTATTTGCTTACGGACAAACAGCCAGCGGAAAAACGTACTTCGTATGCTGCGAAATGATGTGCAAATTCAAAAATAAAATTGATTCTTGCTCTCGTTGCAATAATAAACATGCCGTGGTGTCGTCCTTATTCAACGGGTGGACACGCTCAGTTGTTGGATTTCTGGGCTGGGCCTCAGCCTAGAAAGTAAGTCACCTTTGTAAATTTTGAATCTGTTTCTGACACAGGTACACGATGCAGGGCCCGGACATGATTGACGAGAACCTGCAGGGCGTGATTCCGCGCATGGTATGGACGATATTCGACGCCATCTATTCCGCGCCGCCCACACAAGAGTTTCTCGTGAAGGTCTCTATGGTCGAACTGTACATGGAAAAAATTCGGTGTCTGCTAGACCCTTCCGGTACCGCCGCCGGGGGAGCCGGAAAGGATAATTTGAAGATTAAGGAGCGCCCCGACAAGGGCGTGTACATAGACGGTGCCACCGAGAGTTACGTGCAAAGCGAAAACGAGATCTTCGACGCGCTATCACAAGCGCAGTACAACCGGACCGTCGGGTATATTTGGTTTTTGAAAAGAACGGTCCTTTGCTTGCGTTTTATTCATTCCCGCACTGCGATCAAAATCATTAGAAACTCAATCGTGAGTCCCATGCTTCTTGATTTCCCCGAAAATTAAATGAAAATCACGTCCACGACAGCGCCACAAATATGAATGCGGTGAGTTCGCGGTCGCACATGATTTTCCAACTCACCGTGGAGAATAAGGATACTGTGAAAAACGCCGTGAAGCGCGGAAAACTCTTTTTGGTCGACTTGGCCGGTTCGGAGAAGATCCAGCGGACCGGGGCCACCGGGAGTCGACTGGAGGAGGCAAAAATGATCAACAAGAGCTTGTCCGCCCTGGGAAACGTGATCAACGCGCTGACCGAGCCCGGGAAGAGCCACGTGCCGTACAGGGACAGCAAGCTCACGCGCTTGCTGTCCGAGAGTTTAGGAGGTATATTTTGCATACTGCTGGCTTCGCGGCCTTTTGATAGTTAGACTGAGTCTGGTGCATGGTGTTTCTGAGCAGGTAGTAGAATATGCTCTTTGCAGGACGAAAAGTAGATCCCCGGACAGCACCTGAATTGAGTTTTGCTTCACGACTGCTCGGAAAAAAATATACTAGGTAACGCAAAAACGACACTAATAATCACGGTCTCGCCTTCCTCCGCCAACGACGCAGAAACGCTGAGCACGTTACGATTTGGGCAGCGCGCAAAGATGATCAAGAACCGAGCCGTCGTTAATGAGGATCTCAGTATATTTTTCTTTGTTTTCGTTTGCGCTCCTCATTTATTTTGCCAGTACGACGTACGTAACAAGGCTGTTGCAATCTTTGCGCATGGTGTCGTTTATGACCGTACAAGCCATTTTATTGTCACGAACTTCTTTATCTCCGACTACAACAGGCGTGGAGGCTTTGAACGCGAAGGTGGTGCAGCTTCGCGAGATTGTTGCCCGGTCCAAGAACCGCGTCAAGGCGCTGGAGGGCCTGTTGAGCACCAATGGCATCCCCATCCCGGACGGCTCCAGCGACGGGGCGCAGGTCGAGTCCGGCACGGAAGGGGACGTCGGGGAGCCAGGTAGTGGCGCGCAAGCGCTGAGCGAGCAGCAGCAAGAGGAGCTTGCGGAGCTGCAGCGGGAAAACGTCGAGCTGCGCGCCGACGTCGAGCAGGCAGAAAAGGCGGCCTTCGCGTCCCAGCAGAAGCTGCAGGAAACCCAGACGGAACTGCAAGCGGTCTCGTACGAGCGCGACGAGCTGCAGTCGCAACTGGCGCGCCTGCAGGCGGACCTAGCTACACAAAAAGCCGAAAACGAGTCGCTGAAGCTAGAGAAGAAGAACCTGAAGGCCGAGGTAGCGGAGGCCAAGGAGCAGTGCGAACAGCAAAAGGTGAAAGGCATGCAGGTCATCGCCGGAAAGCTGCAGGACGAGAGAGCAACGGCTCCAGCGAACATCCTGCAAATCTGTTCCCGCGAACTGCTTGCCGACGACGACATTGTCGACGCGAGCTGCAAGGTCGTGCTGTCCGTGATGAAAGACCTGGCAGAGGGCAACATCCGCCTCTCGCGCGAAAACGAACTCGCACAACAAGACAGAGAGGGCGAAATGCACTCGCTCTTGCGCGAGCGAGAAGCCGCCGTCACGAAGCTCGAGGTACTAGCTGGCCGTTTTTGTTTGAGCATCGGGCGTTTTTCATTTGCATTTTCTAGAGAAAAGACCGAGAGCGTTCATGTGGTTTATCATTTCTTGTGCCTGAATCATGAAAAACCGATAAATTCAGATGGAGCTTGCGAGCGAGCGGGAGCGCGCTGCGGACCTACATGACAAGCTGAAGGACGGTGACCGGCCTTTGAAGCGCAAAGTTAGCCAGTTGGATAAGAATTTGGAGCAGCTGACGGTGATGTACCATAAACTGGTTTCCCAGAACAGCGGGCTGAAGGTCGAGTGCCAGGTGAACGAGAAGAAGGTCGTGCGAAAGGACCAGCGCATCGCGGCACTGGAAAATTCACTTCGCGACGCGAAATCGAAGTACGAAAAGCTTCTGACACAGTGCGCCAACCTGACCGCGGCCATGGACATGATGAGTTCCCGGGAGAAGGGCAGCTTGGCCGTGGGCGCAGGGAATAAAGGGCGGCTAATGCGGCCCCTGCAGGGCGGCGTGCGCAGCATACGGGCCTCCGGCTCCATGTTGAGCATAGGAGATCCGGTGCCGGAACGAGGGGGGGCGTCAGGTAATTCGGAAGAGACAGGACGAGCCACGGCAAAGGCAAACGCAAGCCAAGCCACGTACAAAATTAGTGCCAACTTCCGGACATCCCTGGAGGAACGCGAGGCGTCCAGTAGTGGTCCCGACCCATGATAAATTGTACTCAGGTGGAGCTCGGGGTGCTCGCGGATGAAAGAAGGGGAAGAAAGTACCCGGGGTAGATCAGAAGAGAACTATTTTCTTTTCCCGCACGATAAGTGACCGAGCTCCTCTGTACTTGGTTTATCCCACCTTGATCGTGAAAAATCCGAAAACATTTTTAATCGCGCATTTTTCTACTGGCACTGCTAGTGCTACTCAACAATATCACTTGTTTGGCGAAGGGAGCTGAGTATGAGATTCGCTTCTGCGACTCTTTCCTACGGCTTTTTTTTCCATGTGTTGAAATAGTATTTGCTAATTTTTGAAGAAGATCCAGACCGAGGGGGGGAATACATGACAGTGAGATATTGAGGATGGGATTTGTTTTCAGTGTGAGAGATGAAGTAGATGAGGAGGAAGTACGAACGAAGGATCCGATTTTTCGGTTTTTTAATGAGAGTATCCAAAGGCAAAGATGATCTTTTTTTTTTTCAAAATGTTGGTTTCCACGACCCGCGTGAAAACTTTTCTTTCCGCCCTTTAACGCAACTGTTTTGCTTTTGCGCGGTATGTTTTTCATGGCTCGGTTTGATTTTTGAAGCAGCGCGAAAGAAGTAGCGCGGACAGCAGGTCTCCGTGCCGCCGAGAGGGCACGATTTGCCCATGCGCGGCAAGGTCGCGGGAGGAGGAAGCGCAGTCGTTTGCCTTCCCGCTCGGACCAGCACACCAGACACGTTTTTAGCAGCGGCCCGGAAGCAGAACCGTTTCGGGGTCGTTGTTGAACATAACGACAAGCGGTTGAACCGCATCTGAAGGGGAGGACCCCGGGAAGAAACATAAGTATTGCTTTTCTGTCGACGTGAAGCGACCCAGACTTCCTTCACGCAAAGATCGCCAGCATGCGATCGGCGGGGGGCAGCAAGCAGACCGCGGCAGCGGTGTCGACCACGTCGACTGTGACCGTGAGCGTCCGCGCACGACCCTTTCTGCCGCGGGATGAGGGCCAACGCAACGTGGTGCGCATCCTGCCCGCGAAGGAGGATGAGAAGGATAGCAACCCAACGATCGTTCTGGACGTGCTGACCCCGCAGCTGGTCGGCGACCCGGTGCTGCGCCCGCAGCTGTTTGCCTTCGACCACTGCTTCGACGGCCAGAGTCCGCAGCAGCTGGTGTACGACACGATTGGGCAGCGGATCGTGGACAGCGCGGTAAACGGCTACAACGCATGCGTGTTCGCCTACGGCCAGACCGGCAGCGGCAAGAGCTACAGCATCATCGGCCCGGAGACCGACGAGGGGCTGATCCCCCGGGTCAGCCGGGAGCTTTTCGCGAAGGCGGACGTGGAGGACTTTCGGGTCACGGTTTCGTTCTTGGAGATCTACAACGAGCAGCTGCGGGACCTGCTGAATCCGGCCCCGCGGAAAAAGCCCCTTTACGTCCACCAGCACCCGAAACTGGGGGTTTACGTGCCGCACCTCACGGAAGCCCCGGTCACCGACCACGCGGAAGCCATGAGCCGACTCGACTTCGGGGCGAAGATACGCGCCACCGCGCAAACCTGCATGAATTCCCAATCCTCAAGATCGCACTCGCTCTTCATCGTGCGCATGACGAGGTTCTAAATGTTTGATAGAATAGTTATTGCCGCTCGCTTTTTGCCTAAATCCTAACAGTAGCACAACGATTTCGATTAACGATCATGCCGACCAAGTGATATGAATATGACTAACGCTCTGTGATACCTCGTCAACGGCATATTTTACGCTCAGGACGGCCGAGAAGGTCATTTATTCCTCATCGATCAATTTGATCGATCTAGCGGGGTCCGAACGAGTCAAAAAAGCCGGGCATCATCGAGGCGGCCGCATGTTGGAGTCGAGCGCGATCAACTCCAGCCTTTCTGTGCTGGGGCTTGTCATATCGAAGCTCGCTGGTGAAGCCATCAAGAAGGGACAGCATGTACGTACGTGGTTGTTTCTCCTTATTCTCCAACATCGTGCTCGTGTGAGGACTGGTTTTGTCAGGGAACGGTGGCGGCTGTGCGGGAAAACAAAGTAAAATTTTTGCAGGTGCCTTTTCGGCAGTCGAAGCTGACGTATCTGCTGCAAGACGCACTTTCCGGCAACAGCAAGACGTGGATGATTGCAAATATAAGCCCGGCCCAAACAGAAACGGAAGAGACATTGTCGACCTTGAGGTACTTGCTTACTTCAGAAGTAGAGCCTATTTGTATAGTAAGTAGAAGATGAAGAACTGAAGAAGAAGACTCGTTGTCGTCGTTGTACTCAAGCGTGCCTATAGTTCATTGTGCATCTGAAGAGGAAAATTTTAGTGTCTGCTTGGTTGTGCATGTAAGCGATCGATGAACAGCGTCGTGCCATGCTTCTTTTCAGGTTCGCCCAATCGGTGAAGAAAGTGCGCTTAACCGCATCGGTGAACCAGCAGGACGAAACGGAAGCGGACATGATGTTGCAGACGTTCCGCACGGAGATAGAAGATTTGCGCCAAGAGTTGCACAGCAACCACAACCCCTCGTCTCCGAAGGCGGGGCGCTTGCGGCGCGAGCTGGAAGCCATCGAGTCCGCCACTGCCATGGTGTCCTCCAAATACGACCGCCGAGGCTGGGACGACGCCAGAAGGCGGGAGAAGGAACAGGAACTCATGCGGCAGGAGGTACAGAAGGCAAAATGTTGCCAATCCGCATATTTTTTCATCCTGCGTACGTGTTTTTTTCTACGGATGCCACCCGAGGTTCATCACCGCGAGCGCCTCAGGTGGTTCTTTAACGGGTTCTTTTCCCGCAGAAAAAAAAAATAACGTACTGGAAGTCGTATCCCATCAGGTTCTCGCGAACCTGAAAGTGGGCCACATCAAGGGCTTAGCGTGCGACCATCCGTACATACTGAACATATCGGACGATGTTGCTGTCACGGGTCGATTGCTGTACACGATCGACCAACCCATCACACACGTCGGCAGCGCAGCCAACAATCAAATTCGGCTTCTGGGACTGGGCATAGGCGGCGTCATGTGTATTAAAAAGTTTATTTTCGGATGAAGTGGAAATGGAATTTTCGTAACTTAGGAAGCCGCGTGCAATGCTGTAGTGAGCAGTGCCGCCGCTGGCCGCACAGTACGATTCAAACTTCTGCAGTGAAACTGGTTTTCCAGGCACTATCAAGCGTGACGACGGGGCGAACAAGCAGGAGATCAAGCTGCACCTGCAAAAGAAGGAAAAAGGCGGCAGGCTGATGATCAACGGGCGCGAGGTCGCGGACGGAACCGTGACGGAGCTGCAGCACGGGGACCGGCTGGTAATCGGCCGCGCGTTCTCGTTCCGACTCATCATGCCCGGCATGCCCACGACAGAGGAGTCGATCGCAGAAACCAGTTCCGTAGAAGATCCAGAGCTGCGGAAGTTGCAGGATGATGTGGATGAAAGTAACTTCTGCTGTAGATACAGTTTGTCTTCTTCAGATTTGCAAGATCCATAATCCATAGTCCATGGTCGTGAAATGGTAGGAGTAAGTGAGTCAGTAGCTTGCAGCTGTCCACAACTTTTTCGTGTCAGAGAAGATTTGTTGTGTTCTTCGCGATCAACTACAAAAACAATCGCATAGGCAACGAGCTTATCCGAGAGCTGCTTGGTGAAACGGGACCCCAGTTGTCTGTGGGGGTTCTTTCCAACTGCAGTCCGCCGGCGACGTCGAGCCACGCCAACGGGGATTCCGCGGGCTCCGGCGGCGCAACACAGCAGGGTCAGGAGCCTGGCCAGAGCCCCGGGTTTTCGTCGCAAAGTCAGTTGAGCAACAGCCCCGTCCACGTGGTGCAGCAGCGCGACGAGTCGGGGAGCCTGGTGGCGGTCTGGCTTCAGTCGGCGTTTTACTGTCGTCTAGACATCATGCGAGATCTGTACCAGCAGCACCTGGAAAACCTGCGGTCCGCCACAGAGGACGGGGCCACGAACCCCACCTCAACAACCGAGGGCGAGGCCTGGACAGAGGGAGGCGGTGGGGGGAAGGAGGACACACTGCAAGCCACACAAGTTTGGGAGCCGGGATCCACAAACATAATGTAAACCGAAAGGCATCATCTTCATCTTCTGACTCTTAGATCCCCGGTCGCAGAAGAGCCAGCTATTACACGCGAGTAAGAGTAGGAGTCGCAGCTTTTTGAATCAAAATTTTTTATAAGAGTACAGCTAGTCAAGCGCACATATTTTTATTCAGGCAGATGCAAAATAAAGTCGTACCATCACCACTGCAGCTTTTCGCACATCATTTTATCTAGACAGAATACAGGATGCTTATTGACCCCCTGGTAAACGGGGGTCTGCGTCTCGACGTTTTCTACGTTTGTATCAGAGCATGGAATGAAGGCTCGGTTGCGGCTGAGGTGCGAGGGTTTAAGAATGGCGACACCGATCGTGGTGCTCCTCTAGTCATCCACACAACTCCGGCCCAGCAAGTAAGATAGAGGAGATAGGTAAAGGCACGAATTCAAATCAAGTGACGTGATTTTGTACTGGGCTGTTCCGACTCAGTAGAATGTAAACGTGTCACTCCGCATTTTCATTTCCCGTTGGGACCTGAGAGTCTTTCTACCTGTCCTTGAGAGTATGCACAAATCAGACCTGGTAATTTCTTTTGTTGAGGAGGAGACCGTGCTGACGCATTAATGTTGTTTCTAGGCAGAAAGTGCTCTACCGGGCCTTGTTTTGTCATCTGTAAAGAGGGCTAAATGCACGAGGGTCGTGGTCGTGAACAACAACAAGATGAAAGCATTTGGTTGACAAGCCGGAGTCTGAACTGCGCCAATTTGTCTCAGCGTTGAGACAGCACGCCTCAACGTCTACCCTAATGTCAAAATATTTTCAAGCGTCAAGTAGAGGCGATAGGTTTGCGAGGTCTTGATCCGTCATTAGTCATAGTGTTGGCATCCGAAATTTCTGTTCTCAGACCAGGGCTCTCTCAGACAGCGGAATGAGCAAGCAAGGCGCGGCGCCAAAGAGCGCCGCGCCTTCGCCTACCTTTTCTGCGAAAAATAGTCCGTTCTGGGAGGAAAAAGTGATGGCGGAGACGAATAACGACGGCCCCCCGGGGCCGCCTCGGCCATCAGACAACACCGCGCGCCTTCTTTCCCCTAGCAAATGGGTTGCCGTCGGTGCTTTGAAGGATACCAGACACCCTTGGTATGGCTACTCTCGACAGCGTAGGGTTACTAAGGACGGAAACAAGAAGAGGGTGCGGTATAGGATGCCGCCGAAAACGCTGCAGATTGAGGAAAGGAGGGGGACTGGAACATGTGGAGGCCTCGTTGCCACTGATTCGCGCCACACAGCGCCGCTCGCTGTGCCAAAAGTTGCGGAAAGAGGAAACCTACTTCGGAACCACCTCCATGCCGAAAACACTCGGGAGCGGAGAGAACTAGCTGCGAAGGCAGAAAAGTATCAGCACCAGCTGCAGTTGCAGAATTGCAGGGCTTCCGCATCATCATCGTCGTCGTCTGCATCTTCCTTTTCCTCATCGTCGACGAGTAGGCGACCCCTGCAAGTCCCTGCCCATTCCCACACCCGTGAAGACGGAGCCGACTCGTCGACATTTTCTTCTTCGGCCTTCTCGGCAAAAACACCAAGCGGCGAAAAGCCACCGCTGTGGGCGATCGAGGACGGGTTGAAGTCATCTGCTGCTTGCGCCCAACTTGCAGCAAAAACGATACCACACGCGGCTCCCTCGGCGGAAGGTCTTGTGCTGCCGGCGAACGTGCCAACACCCACGGGCAACGACATCCCGGATGACGTTCACTGCATCGAGCTCATCGAAATAGTATGGCGTGTCAAAAATTTTCTTTCCTCGCCACACCTGCTGCCACTATACTCAACCGAGAGGAATGTGAATCTGGCATGCATTATGTCTAGTACCTAGTTTCATTTGCTCTTCCGAGATCGGATTTGGTTTTGGATACCATTTCCGTTTGTATTGACTTGTATGCATGGCAGCGCTCTAGTGCGGGCATGGCGCCTATACATAGGTATAAAAGAACAAGCCGACCACGGAAAGAAAACAACTGCACAGGGATGAGTGAGTCAAGACATCGATCTAGAAACCCACCTCTTGCCTCCTGAATTCGTCGCGAAACTTCACAAGCCGCACAGGTCCCACAAGGGGTTGCTGAAAACGTTGAAATGGTACAGAGGCAGTCACAGTGCGACACAGACATTCGCGAACGTCTGCAATCCATCGGGTATCACTTTCGTGTGTCTTGCTTTTTGAGAGGACTTTTTTTGATCGTTGATCATGCTGTTGTAGGAGAATAAAGCGCGGCACACCCGAATATTCAATGATGTATCTGTATGAATTTCTCGGACCCCATCTACGACCGCGAAAAACATTTCGACCTACGATACCGATACGTACGAATGTTGTTCCTTTTCATAAAACAGCACACAACCAGCCAGAATCGCCATGGTTGTGCAGAAGTTTTTCCGAGATACGCAACTACTTTGATCGAGAACGAGACCTACTTGCTACGGCTGCCCGTACGAATTCAGAGGAGAGCGAACTATCGCGCGCCGATATTTTGTTCAACGAGATTTTTACCTATTTCAAAGAGCGGGCCGTCCTGGTGTGGTTGTTGCGACGAATTCGGGATGCAGAGCGGGGCAGCGTCAGGAAGAGTGGCGCTGCTGCGGATAACGCGAATGCAAATCAGTGGACAATCGCTAGGGCAAGGACACTGCCGAAGAACGATCATGCAATGCGTCTGCTGGGCGAAAAAGTAGCAGAGCGGTTGGAGAAGCAACGCGCAGCCCGTGTGACGATGCTGGAGCAACGTCTGGATTCGGAAATCGGCGGCAGGACTGGAAGTACCAGAAGCAACCATCACAACAATGCACAAGTTGCCTCCGCTGCCGAATCGACACCAGCAGCAGGGGCAGGAGTTGTACAAGTAAAGCAGCAACAAGAGCCGGATTCGACGCGAGTAGTAGACGACCGTTCAAAGATCAAGAGCGAACAGGAGCGCCAACGCGGTGACGACGCATCGGCGCTCCTGTCCAGCCAGGCCGCGTCCAGCCAGCATCATTCAGCAGCGTCTTCTGGTCCGGATTTTGATAGAAGCGGAAAAACCGGCATCAAGCAAGAGGAAACTTCGTCAGAGTCACCCGTCGTTGGCGCAGCTCGTGTGTTCAAAGCTGACTCTCCTGGTTCTCCCGACGTACAAATCAAGGCAGAAGCGTCTCCCCCTGAATACGTGACGCGTGGAAGATCCATCAAGCGGGAACCAGAACTGATCGCAACGAGTTCGGCCAGAGAGCGCGAGAACTGCGCTCACACGAGACGAATCAAGTACGAGCCCACTTTACCGGGGGCCGCTGGTCGCCACCGCAGCCGCGTCATTTGCGAGCCTGAGTACACGAGCAGATGCGGTCCTATGCGCATTAAGCAAGAACTCACTTCACCAACACCGCCGGAATCACCACGCTTTTGCGTCAACGAAAATCTCATCTTCCACAACACTTCCGAGAAGGCAGGAACAGTGCGCATCAAAAAGGAGCAGCAATCGCCTGCTCTTTTGAGTCATTTACCAGCCGCCTCAACTAACACGCAGGCAGAAAGTATCGGCTTTCTTGGTCGTCCACTGCGACGAGTGAAGGAGGAGAGTGCAGCACCCGTTCTCGTCAGTAGGTCTGCAAACAAAGCGACATGTGAAACACAACAAAACGGAGGCGGGCATTTGCGTGGTGACGAGAAAAGCAAAAAAGAACAATCAGGCTCGTCGCTTCCCTCCTGCGCGACCGCAGGTAAGCGTGAACGTACACCGGAAACCGAGCGCGAAGATGCCAACAGCGATCGTGACGCTTCAACTTTTCTTCCAGCGAAGGTAATACAAGGGAGAAAGATCATGGCTTGCCGTCAGCTGAGCAACATGGCTGAGCCAAGAGCTCGCAACTCTTTCGCGGTAGCAGATAAGGCCCAGGAAAAACAAGCCGAACAGCGGCTCACCTCGTGCATCCAAGACACTAAACACCCACCGGCTAAGGTGTTGCTGCAAAGCGAAAGCTATCCGGACGTTAGCGGATGGTATTCCTTGACGCATACCGTGACGCAGGTCGGAGGCGAAATCTACCCGATGTACGAATCGGATCTTGCCACTGGCAAGCCGGTTTTCACGCTGGGTGCAACGAAAACCGGACGAGACGACGTAGCCGGAGTGGACCTGGTTCAGTGGGGAATTTGTGGGCCACTCGGCACGAAAACGCTGTATCCAAAGAGACAGGACCGACCTTTTGTTCAAGAAGTTGAAAGATCACCAGAACAAGCATGCAGACAATCACAAAAAATGTCAGCACCGTCGCCAAGAGTTGCGCGCCCCCGCGCACAGCAATTGTGTATTCAGGGGAGGCGACCGAAAGAAGGTCATGCAAGCTTCTAAAGCTGTATGTGTATCTATCATTATCGTTTTTGAATATTTTGGTTTGTCTTCTGGATAATCTAGAGGGCAGCTGTAACGCGCGGGCCGGGTCTGTGTCGCCGGCTGATCTTGTTACCATGGCATGGACTTGGACGATCAAGTTCAATGAGGATGACACCGTAGTTGCCGACAGCTACCCGTGTGTCGTGGACGTTTCGTTTCCCACTTGTCTCGAGATTTCAACGTTTCGCCTTTTTGATCAGGCCAACGCGAATGGCATCACTCCGGGACAGCAAGGAGAGGAGGAAATTCCCCTGGCGACTGCGGATCAAGAGCTCGGCATGCCGATGGGACTGTTGTCCGCGTTTCTGCAGAAACAAGGTACTTACGTGTGTTTTATTTGGTTTTTTTGGTGCTTGTGATTTGATAATGGTAATAGCAATAGGAGAAGGGCTTGCGCGTCGTTCACAAATTTGGACGGAAGTGCTTATCTGATTATCACCAGGTGCCTGCTGCCGCAGATTTTTCGAAGACGCGTACCAGAAGCGTTTTCATCGCGCTAAGCCGGCAGTAACAACAGGCGCTTCCTGCTGCCTCTGCTGCGCATTCTTTCGGAGCAGGAGTGCGAAAACTGAGGCGCATGGCTATCTGCACCGTGCCTGCTTCGGAAATTCCGGAAAGGTGCCCCAGGGTATGCACTGCCACAGTTTCTTGGATGTGGAAGAGGTGGAGGCTGCTGAGAACTTTCTGGACGCCGAGTACAGGAGAATGCAGCTTCAGAGCGGCGGCGTAGGGGGTGAACGGGAGAAGCAGTGCTGCAGCATCAGAAGTGCGGAACCGATGATCGGGCGAAACCTGTCTACAAATCTACAAATCTACTCTAACAAACTATCAGTTTATCAGCAGTATTTGGCGAGATTGGAGTACGAGCAGCACCTGGTTGGTGAACGGCAAAGCGGTGTGCTTTTACTGGCCGACTCCAGCAACACTAATGACTGCTCGACAACAAGTAGCAAAGGGTTTCCAGTGCCTTTCAAGCTCGAACCAGCCTTCTTGCCTTATCCAGACCGAAAATGATCCGCGTTTTGCCGTTGCCAGTGTCAACAACCGTTCCGCGAGAGAACTGCCCGTATTGTCAGTGCACATCATGTGGATAGAACAAGATGCACTTGGAAGGATCGTGGCATTCTCATTTCTGCGTGAGCTGCTGTTGTAATGCCTAGTGCCGCGAAGACAGATTAAATATAGGCACTTGTTGACAATTTGCGACGCGATGCCGAGTGCGGTAGGATATTTTTCAACTTCCATACTATTGGTTGCGGAGCTGGAGCGACCTTCCCGCCAACTCTTGGCGCTCTACGGAGAGCGTTCGAGAAGGACTTGGGAAAACGGTACGCTCGGAGCAGGGAGTGCTCATCCGGTAAATGAGGTGCTCTTCCATCCAGGGAATCGCTGAGCATGTCTTTGCCAAATTTCTTTGTGTTGACATGTCTGACAACAGGACGTAATTTACTAGATTGGACAATGTCCATGAATTTTTCGAATCACCAGATTCTCCACCGACCTCCAGTGCGGACAGTGGTAATGACTCGTCTCCATCCTCGAAAAGCGATGTCGCGTGGTCGCCGAGCATGCCAATGCCCCGACCCCTGCCCCATGCTACTTCGAACCTTCGCAGTCGCGGCACACACATCCGTCCGGATATGCCGGTATTTTGGGCGTTTTGCTTTTGCCGTAGAGGTAGATGTGTTGAAGGAGTTTGAGTCATGCTTACTTCACTAGGTTTGATCAGCTACTTCGCTCTTTGATTGTTTCCACATTTATTGCCTTTTTGAAGTTCTTATTCTCTGCCAAATTTCGCATGGCAAAAATGAAACCAATATTACACTGCATCGATCAGGGAATCACTTACGTTCCCGGCTGGAAGTACATGAAGTTGTTCTTGCTGGAGAAGGCGAGCTCGGGGGATAAGCTTCACGATGAACACGCACAAGGAGGGTTGGTAAGCTACGAGGACCAAGATAATGTCTACGTTTTGAAGAAGAAGATATTTGGCTCGCGCAAAGTCCCAGTACCACCAAAAGATCCGACGGAATACGATTGCTGGCGTGTGCAGTTCAAGCACAGGGAAGTGGGAAAGAAGACAACGCGGAGGATGAAGCGGTATGAAATATGAATAGGAAAAACAAAAAGAAAAATTATAGTCTGATTTACGTCGCATATCTGCAGAAGCAAAAGTGGACATGGCAAGCAGAAGTAAAAGTCGACATGGCAAAAAAGCGCGCGACTGTTGCTGACTGCCTCGGCCGAAATCTTTGGCGACAGATCACAAAAGGAGCAGCAACCGGAACAGCAAAACAAAACGGAGAGGATAGCACTTCTTCCGCAGCGTCTTTTGAGAATGAACAAATTCCCATCCAGCAACTAATGAGATTACAGGGGAGAAAAAGAACAGGGGTCGATATAAGGACAATCTAAGGCTGAACGCCGAGAAGATTTAAATCATCACGTCGCATATCTGCATGCACTTTCTCGGGTGCCGGGACATGATCGAAGTGTGCGCTTGATGAATGTTTAGCCCTTTTTCCCAAGAATACATGCTCATGAAGCAAGATAGAGCTAGAGGAAATGAAAACAAAAGGTTTTTTTTCGTCGCGCCAAAGTTCCGGAAGCTTCGCGCTGAAGCTTCGGCAAAGGGACTTCCAGCACCGACCCGGCGCGACGCAAAAGCAGCTGCTTTGGAGGACGCAAAGCGTATTTGTTCTACAGTGGTTGTCCGATGATCATGTGCTGGAGAAAGAGCCTGTCATTGTCATGCATGTGACTAATTGATGCTCTTGCTCATCGAATAAAGTGTGGTGCTGTCATGCGGACGCGAATGAAATTGAAAGCCAATGAAAGGTAAGAGGTCATGCCGAAGCTACAGAAGTAAACGGCGGGACTATTGCATTGCTGCTGCTATAAACGTGTAGAACAGCACTATTGCATTGTGTTCAACTACATTTTCGGACAAATTTGTACACCACAGTTTTTCGGCGGTTGTCCCTCAACGTTGCGGGGGCGATCCAGCCGGGGATTCCAAGGCAGGCAACTAACAAATCCAACACCGGCGTGCTCGGGGTTTCCCAGCTGTCGGCCAAATTGAAAAAGAAGGCTGAAAGAGGCGCTATACGAGGAAATTTTGCGCGTTCGAACAAGACCATACTGCAAAGGTACAAAGTGAACATGAAGGCTAAGCAACCCAAGAAAAGCTGGACAAAGCAACGCCGATGTTTGAGCAGAGCGCGTAAATCCGGCCTAATTCAGGTACGCATTGTTTCTCTTGGGATATTTTTCACACGTACTGCAACATCTGCAATTGCGGGAGCATGATGCAAAGGTCGAGGCCCACATTGCTGCACATATGCAGCAGCATTTTGGAAAGTGTATTTGAGTTCTCTTTTTGCGAATATCAGCTTATGTCGGCCTGGCGCAAAGCGAAACTCGCGCGCGTCGACCACCCGGCTGCCCCGATACGATTCCAACGCAATCTCAAGAAGACCACGACGGATCCGCTCCGGAAGAAAGTCCTGGCACAGGGAAAGACGTTGTTCAACTTTCGCAAAGTGGCGAAGAAGCTGTTGAAGCCCCGGCGCGCAGCAATGGCTACCAAGAAGTCGGAGCTGTTCGTGCCGAGTTCTTCCACCCGCAGGAAGGCGGAGGTTGCAGCTGGGTCTGTGCCGCATGTCCGACCAGCGCACCAGCCCACCATGGATCCACGTGAGTTCCGATTCGTTGGACCAACAAGCAAACTCCCGAAGACGCGGGACATGTCGAAGGGGTTCCGACGCCCCTGAAATCTTCAGATAGTAGCTGTAGTTTCATTTTCTGACACTACTTCTCCAGGAAGCCCTCGCACTTCAGATTCACGCTGCTGTATGCACAACGTTAACTGTCCGAAATTTCTACAAGTCGCAGGGAGGTGCTGCGGTATTTACGCAGTTTTTCAACAAGAGACAAGAACAAGTGTCGAGTTCGACGGCAAAGAACGCGCCGAAATGTTTTTTAGGAAAATAGAGTGCTGAATTTAGCTCTACTAAAGGATGTTTCTTTATTATGCCGCCGTACTTAGAACTAAGTACAACTATTAGACTCTCGGTCAGCGATACGTCCACTAAGTCTGCGAAAGTGATGAGATATTCTTGAAAAGCGTGCACGACGTTAGTGGACTTTGCGCCTCTCAGCCTCCTGAGTCTCGATTTGTCGGCCCAGCGACGAAACCTCGACGAATGCGGGATCTGTCGAAAGGTTCTCGAGGTTGATGGACAGAGGCGCTTATTGGGTTGGTTTGGGTTTATTTAGGAATTGGGATGGGTTCCTTGACTACATCCAGAAACATTCCAGCCGCAAAGGTTTTTTTTTGAACTGAAACGCGCGCAATGCGCGAAGTTTATAGCGATATTACTAGCATCAATTGCTCCTCTTCCATAATGGATGATAGGTAGTCGTGAGGTCATGAAATATAGAAATAAGGACAACAAGAAGCAATTTTACTTTTAGAAGCGCAAAGATCACTTTCATCGCGAGCACGAAGAACAATTCCGATAATTCCGAATGCCCCTCTAAAATGATTTGCTCCGTTCAGAAAATAAGTGAAAGCAAGGTAAGTAGCAATGGGCCCGCGAGTTGATGTTCACAATCACAATGCGACGCGCATTATCGTCTTTTGCATCGGGCAGCACAAGGGCTCTGTCGCTTCTGTAGGTATTGACATTGAGCAATCGTCGTGTCCTTTGTAGACCTGAACTTGATTATCGTGTAGTTTCAAAGAAAGCATCGTCACGCGTTGTTTTTTCGTTCACATCAATCGTCCTCTTGGCTTATTTTGAATTGTTTCTCTCTCGCAGAAGGTTTTTTCGTCGTGCAAAATTTTTTTTCGCTGTTCACTGGCTGCGTTGCGTGCACTTCCGACTTCGGTTGTTCTTTTCGTGCATCTTCTGCCAAGCCAGGGCATATCCATTTGTCGGGGTTGACGTCGTTTGTCTCTCGTACTGAAGAAATTCAAAGCTCGAGTTTGTTGTTTTTTTTTTTCACAGTGATGTTTTTAGAGATTGATCGTGACCCCTGACCGGAAGAGCAAAGCCCAGGTTTTCGCTTTGTGTTTTTGCATTATTTTCATTGCACACTCTTTTATAGTCTCATTAGCTTGGAGTTGGATTGAAAATTTCTAATTCACTTTTTTCCATTCCTGTGTTGAGTACTCACTTAGAAAATGCCTCCACCGCGTGTACCCCCACGCATTGACGCTCATACGGAGCGAAAAGAAAAGGCTTCCGCACGACCCACCTGGAATGCGGAGAGGCTGCAGACTCACGGGCCCAATAGCGTGCGGAAACTCCCGGAGCGAGCGTACATAGAGGGAGCTGTGACCGAGCCGCATAAGCAAGTGGGCTTGAAGCGCTTCGATGACCAACGTCCGAATTCCTACGTTTCCGAGCACAAATTCATGAACGATCAGCTCGCAGTGCAAAGCACCCTGCTGGTAGAACCCCACACCTCCTGGGAGCAGCGGGCTGAGCGTATACTTGCTTTTCACGAATTGTAAGAAGTTTGTCTACCAACTAAAGATCATAGGGTTGAGTTTTGCTGCTCTGTCTTGACTGACACAGATGGTCTTTGGTCCGTCGTTTGCATGGACAGGCGCATCTTTTCTGGTCCGGCTAACTCAAGCGCCGGACTGCAATGATTGAATTCTGAATGCCAAAATTTGAAAAATATCAGGTCACCGCTCAACATCCCCTTCGAGTGTTTCGCAGCCGCCGGTAGACCCCGAAATGCTGCGACCGACATTGTTGAAAGACACGATCGCACCGCAATTTGAATACGGAAACGCTGGAATTACCCCTCTCAAGTTGCACACGGTACAACCGAATTCGGAAGTTTTTCTGCTTGTTCATGTCGATATCATAAACATAGTACAAGATGAAAATAAATGCGCACTGGTAGTACCTTTGTGAAAAGGCGGCAGCAGTTGTAACTGCAGTCATTTTGAGTCCGCGAGGTTAAGTAGTTTTTTCAGTTCGTTGTTGCATGAGCAAGTTTCTCTTGTTTAATTGAGGTTGCAATCCTAATCTGATGATAATCCTCTTGCCTGACAGGTGAAGCGCAGCACGCACGAGTCTTTGGCGGGGTTGCGGGACGCTCCTACCGTGAAGGAGTTGGCCCGCGTGGATGTGTACCAGCCCACGATGCATCCCCACGACATGCCGCCGAGCCCGGGGCAGCAGTTGCACTTGCAGATGCGGGGCGAATTCTGGTGGAAGGACGCCGCGGGAGCGAAGAACCAGCACATGAAGCGCGTGGAGTGGTTTCGGGGCGAACGGCGCAAGGAGTGCCTCTGGCCTGACGGCCGGTCGGTCTTTCGCGAGAAGGGGTTGTTTGGCGACGAGGAGGTGCGGTACTACCCCGTGCCGAACCCCCGCATCCACCAGTCCGAATGGAAGCACCGAGTGCCCTTTCTGGAGGTGAAACCGCCGCGCAAAAACAACCCTGCGCAGCCGCAGTTCGACCAGCACGCGTACCGGCTCATTTCCGACAAGCGGGGCTACAACCGCGCGAAGCCCATTCGGGAGCGAAGCTGCCCGGTCTAGAACAAGTCGGGGAAAACATAGCAGTTCGCGTTTTCTGTCACCGAGAATAGCGCGGAGAACTGTTGCTATACTGAGTTCCGTACCGATTTGACATTCGCTTCCTTTTGTCTTATTTATGATATGGTACCCCCTTTTTGTTTTCCTTCTGATGCCCCCACCTAAACGCAAATCGAAACCCTTGCTCTTGCGCTGATGTAGAATCTCTTCAACCCAGTTTTCATCTAGAAATTTACTGTCATGGGTACTGAAAACCCACATATGCGTTCTATTCTACTTTTTTTGCGAGATCATTAATCTCCGATTGTTAATTGTCATGCAGTTTCAGCCAAGCCTGGCATAACTTTTGAGTAACAGCGTGTACATTATTTTTGGTCCTCAAGAACACTACCGGGAAAACGTTTCATCGGCAGGATACACGAACAAAGAGAAGAGTTTCAAAACCGGCACGCAATCCAGTTTCTCGATACTAATCACATTCCGCTTTTGCGAAAAGTCAAACTGCCGGCTAAGCTGTCGCGTATCGAACTTTGTTGCTTGTCTTTGAGGGCGCAGATAAGAAAGATCCAACAGGACGATAAGATCCAAGACATATTGACCAAGAGGTCCATAGCGATAGCGAGCGAGATCTTGTCGAAGGTTGTTGGAAAAAGATGATCCTTGGGTTTTGCAGCGATCGGAGGGTCGGACTGGTTGATACTTTGTAGCCAACAGGATTGCTATAAAAAGAATCATTTTCGCATTTTACTCGTACAACATTCGTGGCGCGCATGCCTGAAATAGAAAGTCATCAAGTCTTGACCGACTACGACAAAAGCTTTTACTTATTTTCGGAAGACCAGTCGGTGTCGGCAGACGCAGAGGTTTTGCTTTTGGTTTGTTCCACGCGCAACGCGCAGCAGTGATTTTTTGTGCGATCATACCATAAATAGATTATGAATAACAAGCATTAGTGGCAAGCTTTTTCGGGTTTTCGGTTTATCTTCAGAAAGATTTAGAAAGTGAACACGATCACACGGCGGAGATGGGGCGGAACTCCCGTGCGCGTCGCAGCACGTCGCGTTCGAGAGACCACAAAAAGAAAAAATCCGAGAGGAGGCACAAGGATCGCGGGGAGCGCGACAAAGACAAGGAGGCCAAAGAGCATCTGAAAGTAGAAAAGGAGCCCAAGGAAAAATCCAAAAAAGAAGGCAAAAAGCGACGGCGCAGCCGCAGCTCTCCCGAAACGAGGCGTAGCTCCGTGTCCACAGACCGAAAAAAACGTCGGGCCGCGGGAAAAGAGGGCGAAATGGACGACTTCTTGCGCAGTGTGCCCTTAACGACGCGTGCCCGCCGCCAGACGAAAGGAGGAGCGGAGGCGGAGGAGTCCCCCAAGCTCGCAAGCACGAAGTTCGGGGATAAGCACAAGATCAAGAAGGTAGAAAAGTATGATCTTCCCGATTCAAGCGATGATGGTCGGCGAAATGATAGCGGTAGGAAAAGGAACAGGCGTTCAGGATCTGCGAAGAAGAAAGGCACGCAAGAGGAAGTGGACACGAAAAAAAAGACCACGAGCAAACGGGACGACCGGGTGTCAGAGGATAATCATTCTCCCAAGAAGGAGAGACACCAAGAAGATCGCGGTCGGAGACGGAGCGGAGAGCGAAAACAACGTCGTGAGGCAGACGAAAGCAACAAGCCTTTGAAGGGAGAGACCAAACTGAGGATGGACGAAGTACTAGACACGACCAGCCGGGAGATGCGAGCGCGCGCACGCAATGTACTGGATGCTTTGGAGCGTCCGTTGGACGAGTACCGCGCCGGCACGAAGAAATCCCCGCCGAACTATCGGATGCGGCTGCGGGCGTTCGAATGTGAGTCTGAATCTGAGCCGGACGATTATCGCAGGGCTTGTTCTCAGCCGATCACGATAAAACCGCGCCGGCCACCACGGACGAGCACCGCAAGGCGGCTCGCCGAGGAGAAACGAGGCAAGAATTACACGCCCGAGAGAAGTAAGGTACTGGAGGAGAGTCGTGCGCAGAGGGCGAGACTGCGTTCCCGTTCCCGAAGTCGGGCACGTGTCGTTGACACTGGTTTGGACGCTGCTAGTAGTACTCCTGCCGAAAAGGGGCGGACAGTGGATAAAGCTGAAGCTGGAGCTGCTGATCATGTGGAGACTGAAATAAAAACGGCGGGCGTGGTGGGAACAAGTAATCCAGCTTCTGCTGCTGCTGCTTGTGCAACGAAAGCGCCAGCTGAACAAATACTACAACAAACTCATGTAGGAACGCAGTGTGACCCTGACCACGCCGAACCACGACAAAAGAAGCCCACGGACGCTAACGGTCTTGTGTTGTGGCTGCTGGAAGGGCTCTGCAAGAAGGAAGTGGTGATTACCTCTTCGCAGTATCGGGACAAGTTGATCGCAGTTCTGCAAGAGGTGGAGCCCGCTGTGTTAGGAGTCCCTGTGCCTGCAGCCCTGCCGCCGTGTGTACCGAAAGGTTCCTCTATCAAGGCAAACGCTCCTGTGCTGCAACACCGTCCTGTAGGCCCTCAACCTGTTACGTTCGCTATGCTCGGCAGTCGGCTAGATACGTCTGCTAATGGTGTGCGACAGAAGGGTGAACAAGACGATCCTGGACCTGTAGTTGACCAGGAGGCAGCTAAGCCCGCCGACGATTCTAAACACGCTGAGAGTGCACAGGATACAAGTACCAATGTCGTCGTTTTGCCTCCGGATCAGCGAGCGAAATCTGACTGTCCAGCAGGAGGACCGAAAGAACGTTGTGCGTCCAGCGAATTTCGGAAAGACCGAAGACGAACAAGTTTTGCCGCTATGAAAATAGATGAACCGGTAAATAAAGCCGATGAAGATATTGCCAAGTGCGGCCCATGCCCTTTGCCTCGACCGCCGTTGGGAACGAAATCGACGCTGTCGCTCTCGGCGGAAGTGGTGCATAGCAGCAAAGCTAAGCAAGTACTCAGTGCCTTGCCGATCGGAAAGTCGTCGTCAATTACCTCCGCCAGTGGGAAAGATGAGATGTTGAGAAATGAGCCACCTGCTGCTCCTCCTTTTTCACAGCAGAAGCTGCAGGAAGTCGACCAGGAGTCGTTCATATCATCATCATCCATCAAGCAGCGCGCGGGTTGTGTTGAAGAGGGGAACAAACCGAAGATGGTAGTCAAACACGGTGATGCAGAGGCGGAGAAAATACCAGCTCAAACCGTGCTCCTCAGTTGCATGAGAAACAAGGCTCTGCCGTCGCGTCGCATTTTCGAGGTTACGTGCTCGAAACTGGTGCTGAATGAAAGTTTCGAGATTGGGAGCGGCGCTTTGGGCTACTTGACCCGCGCAGAACGGGTGGAACTGGTCACGGGCCCCGTCACCGCAGGCAACGTTCTGCGCATGGAAGTCGCGCGTCAGGGCTCCCGGCCAGTAAGAGGCTGGGTGACGTCCGGGGCAAACCGCTGGGGCTGTGCAGGCAACCTCGTCGAAGTCTTTCCCGACGAAGGAAACAAACAAGCTGCGCCGACGAGTACAACAACTTCTGCGGTGCTGAATGGGATCAATGTTGCAGCAGAGAACAAAGCTACGAATAAACCAGAGGCCACGTCGGCAAATGCGCTCATAGGAGACAAGACGACGCGTCGACCCCTGCGCCGGTTGAGTTCTGTGCTGCGCAGCACCGAAAAAAAAGCAGGCTCGTCGAAGATTTCGGCGTCAAGTGCGGAGGTACTTTTGATTGCTTCTTGTTTACAATGACCGAGCGGAATTTTCATGCTCGCCTTGTAGTTCCATACGACCGTGTGCCACTTGGTTTGTCTACTGACGTCTCGCGGCGCTTTGTTTACTACCCAAATCGACGCGGCCTTCATTGCTTTATTTCACACGCACCCCAATAAATCAACAGGCCCATAATCGTGCCGCTGGCACCGCAGATCGGGTCACTAGGAATTCCGCAGAAACGAGCAGCGACGATGCTGCAGTTGCGCAGGCAAAGCCAGAGCAGGTCATAGCTCTGCCGGACAAGGAACCGAACATCCAGGGCCCTGGGAACACCGTAGCGCCGACTCGGGAAACGCCGTCCGCAAGTGATGCCATTTTCATGAAGTTGTTAAAAACCGCGTCAGCTGACGGTGATGAAGCAGCAAATAAAGCTACTACCACTTCATCGGCGGAGGTGAAAAAGGGTTCAGGAGCAGGAGGTTCGAACCAGGTCCAACAACCAAACCAGGAAGGAGAGACAGCGACTGTGGCAGCTGTCGAACAGGGCGCAGCCGGGGGCGCGGGCATCGAGAAGACCGAGGACGGAAATCGAGAAAGCACAGCGTCCGCTTCTGGAGACATGATGCTGAAAGCAGACGTTGTTGGCTCAGGCGACAAAGCAGAGAAAGATAACAAAGAGGATGTCCCTTTAGACGATGTGCAGCTGCTTCGAGATCCTGGAGGAGATGTGGAGTTTGATCTGGAATACTGTCTGGAAAACGATCTAGATCTTTAGAAAGTTGTGTACTTGCGCCCGCACAAACACATATTAGTCACGCAGATCGAGGGATTGTACATACCGACGCTTGAGTTCATTTGATCGATCGATGTTTTTGGTAGTAGATAGAAACGCGACGCTGACGCAATGAATCTTCTTGATGGATGTGTGGGTGCCCCAATTCGTTACAGCAGTGCCGTCGGCAACACATCGATAATGGTTTCGTTTCCGCGCAAAAGGTCATTCGCTTCGCTCTCCCTTTCGTCGTGTTGAGAGAGCTGCTGAGGTATCGAAAAATAGTGTATGACCGTGAGTGCACTTTCAAATCTTGTCGTTTTTGAGGGTTTCGTCGCTTTTTTGTGGCAAGACGGCGTTTCTCTTTTGTCCCGAGCGTAAGAGAGCAATTGGCTTTTTTTTACTTTTTCGCTTTTTTCTGTCGAGTTTTCTTTCGCATGTTCCGGAGAGCATGGAAATACGAAGCAAGGTATTCACCTCGCGGTTCAGTCATTTTGAATGATTGGTAAGTTTTTCTACCTTTCCTTCCCTTTCACACAGTACTTCTCACATCGAGATAAAAAGTTTGGGTGTGCGTAAGCCATTACAATACATAGCGAAAATGGATTTGCTTACACGTTTAGAATCAGAGTTACTTGCGCAACTGCAGGAACTGCCGCCTTCTCACCCGCTCAAACAGCCTGGACGTATTGTTTGATTAGTTTGTAATCTTGTTTGATGCTACTCGTATTCATTACCTAAGAGTAAGAATTTGAACTAACGTGCTGGTATGGTGTTGCAGTTGGCAGGAGTCAGCACAGATAAAAAAATTTCTTTTCAGGTCAGCCTATCTACGCGAACGAACTCCAAGCAGCCTTGGCAGACGAGGGACTTGCGCCCGTGCAGCCAAACTTTCTGGGAGCGCTGCTGAAGCGATTACCGCCACGAGGCTTGGACACGAGCCTAGACGTGAGCAGGTGGCTAGCTGAGAATCAAAGCCTGCTCAACTCCTCACCATCGATTGGCGGTATGTTGATTTATTGCATACATTTTCTTATCTTTTCTGCAGTGCTTGTGCTGTGTCGTGCTTGTTCGATCCTTTCGCTTTCCGTGTAATTCTCTTTGGATTAAAGCGCTCGACGACCCCGTCTTCAATAAGGGCATGTTCGCCGTACTACAGGTGTCGGCACCAGTGCTCCAACCACCCCCGCTCGTGGCCGTAGTCGTGCCACCGCTGACCAGGAGGCGGGGTCTCCGCTCGAGCGGGTCAAGGCGAAGGAGTCGCGACAGGATGTGGCCCAGTTGCTCGATTTGCTCGAGCGATCGGTCCCCGACGTCGGCAGCCTGTTTCTCACGAAGGACGAGAATCTCAGCGGGCAAATCGGCGTGACCGAGCTGCTGGAAATTCTGACGGAGCTGAACCTGAACGACAGCGCCAGTCTCGGGCTGTTGAAAAAGGCGGCGGCGAGCACCAAGGACGGTGTGATCCCCTACACGGAGTGGCTGCGAGACACCTCTCGCACGTCCTCGCGGCGCAAGCGCGAGGCCGCGCCCACAAAGCCGCCAGTAGAGGAACCTGAGGCGGGCGGTGCGCGGAAGGAAGCAGGAGCTGCGAGCAGCTCTAAGGCAAAGGCAAGCGACGGGGACAAGGACGCGGACACTGCGGACAAAGAAGTCGAGATCGATACAAGTGTAGTTCTGGAGGACGCCGCGCCGATCCAGAGCGAATCGGTGATCGCTCCCGATCCGCCGCCCGACGAGGAAACGAAGAAGGAAGACGCAGCGGAGGATGGGGGCGGCGGCGATGACGAGCAGTCCGGTGGAAAGAAGTCCGACGCCGACGAAGACGCCAAGGACGAGAGCAAAGAAGCCGCATCGGATTCAAGAGAGGACGGGGGAGACAAGGAAGCGACGCCGACACCACCAGACGACAGCGCAGCGGTAGATGCGGAAAAGCAGGCGGGCAGCGGTACAGAGCAGAACAAGTTGGAGGAGAAGAAGCTGGAGCCTGTGCCGGACAAGAAGCCGGAGCCACTAGCAGAGGTGCCGAAGAAGGATGAGGAGGCGAAGCCGGAGCCCCCATCGGAGACACCGCCCGCGATCGAGTTGGAAAATCTCGAGACCGACGGCCAGTTGACGCCGAGTCCGCTGCTGCAGCGGCAGCACAGTTTCAGCGAGGAACCGAAGACTGCGGATGCGGAAACGCAGGCCGTTCCCAGCGCACGCCAGCCCCAGAACTTGATCATGACGAACAGCCCAAAAAATAAAGACAAGGACAAAGACAAGGAGTTATTTCCAAAAACCATGTTCAGCAGCGGGGTATTCGGTGTGGCGCAGCAGGCCATGTCGGCCGCTTCGGGAGGGGGCTCCCGGCCGTCACAGGAACCGGGTTTCGGGCGTTCCCCCTCGGGGGAGACTGCTCGAAGAAAGAGCAGCGACCAAACCTTGACGCCCGGGTCGCAGTTCCGGAAATCGGGCCCGGCGTCGGTGCCCGCCGCGCTCGCAGGGGATATCCCCGCAGAGCCGTTTCTCGCCTCGAATCGCGAAGTTGAGGACTTGCTGCTCCAGGATGCCACGGACTGGCGCTTGTGCGAGCGGTTCTTCCGCAGTGTGGAGGTCATAGAAAACACGACCGTCTACACTGAGGCGGTTTGCGTCGACGAACCAGTGTCCGAGCAGCGCATAGACGACTTTGTGCGTCTGCGCAAAATGCGAAAAATATGCGCATCCAGCGCCGGGACGACGACGAATGCCGCGGCACAGGCGCAGTTTCTGTCGTCGACCGGTTCGACAAACCCGAACATGTACGGTCGCACGCCCGGGAGAAACGATACTGCCAGCGACCAGTACCAATACGAACCGCTGCGGCTGCGGTTACGCGGCTCGTATTCCGGCGCCGGCGGAACAAATGTTGAGGAGGATGATGGCAGTCCGAATACCAGCTTTCTGCGCAACACGGTGCCGAGCCCCCGGACGCAGCGCTGGGTGCCGCCGTCTGTGTACGAGCCGGCGGTGGCGCATTTCGAAGACCACTTTGCAAACACGACCACCGCCTGCGGAGTCACTTTGTCGAAGCATCGTGTACACTGGCGGAGCGCGACCGAGATCATCCTCGCGGACAAGTACCAAGTCCCGGCATTTGGACTCGTTCCGATGCCGCAACCGGTGCTGAATCCCCTGGCGGCTTCGTCCTACTACGTGCAGGAATCGGTGCAAGATCCAAATGGTGCACTGAGCGCCACGATTGCTCCCAATAGGCAGGGTCTCGAGCAGCGGCCTGTGTCGACTAGTGCTGGCCCGAAGTTGGACGGCATGGACCCCGGGATCGGTGCCTGCAATCAGCTCGGCGCAGCGGATCAGCAGGACGTGGGAGCGGATGCGAGCGCTGCAGCCGAAGATCCACCGCAACAGTCATCTGCGCAGGCGGCGGAAGACGGTGGCGCGGATCCTTCCGCCTCACCGGGAAGCATTTTCGGGCCGCCAGTGGCCGCACAGGAGGCATCATCAAGCGGTCTCCCGGCCGCAGTGGCCATGTCCGATGAGTACCAATACGCTCCGCGACCGCCAAACGTGGATCCGCAGTCGTATTGCGTGGGCCAGACAGTGCCCTCGGCCGCACCGCCGCTGCCACAGATGATCGCGAATTCGCTCGCGTCTCTGTCCTTCGTCGTGCCGCCGCGGCTCTTTTCGGCGCTGCAACCCTCGGACCTTGAGCAGGGCCTCGGGGACAGCAGCTTCGTGCAGGCCGTGCGGGTGATCTGCGAGCGTTGTCCGGAGCTGATACTCCGCGCATTCGGCGCGCAGCGGGACAGCCATGCGGGCGCGAACGGTCCCTACGTGGTGTACCTGTTTCACCCACAGAAGAACTACTGCCGTGAGGAGGTTGTGCTGAACGACTTGGTGCCCTGCATCAACGGCTACCCCGTTTTCTCCACCAACCGCGGCGGCGAGCTTTGGAGCTTCCTGCTGGAAAAAGCAGTCGCGAAAATGCTTGGGGGATACCACAATCTCAACGGCGTTGGTATTTCAGCATCGTGTTTCATCTGATTGGCCTACCGTGCTTGCGTGCGCTCTTGACTTGCGTGACGAGGCAGGATTGTTTTTTGCATTTGCTAATTTTCATATGCTAACCCTGACATCATGTGCATATCTTTACTTTCCAGGCATCCCGTTGTTGTGGAATATGCTTGCTGGCCTGCAGTTTGAAGACCTCGAAGCGCCACCGTTTCGCGTTCTGTACACGTGGCGCCCGCAACGGGTTGTGTACGGCGAATTGCCGGACACCGGAAGCTCGAGTCTCGTCCTCTGGGGCGAGGGCACGTTCACGAGGGATCTCGCGAGCTACAGGTACTGTTCGTTGCTTAAAAAAGATCATCAATAATCTCAGTCGTGTGCTATAATACGACGGATTTTTCTCATGGTCATGCCGGGGAACTAACACAAAACAAACGCAACGAAACTCTAACCACAGGTACTCCGAGCCGGCCGCCAACTGCCTGACGAGTCGCAACGTTCTCGAATACCTCGGGCGGCTCGTGGCGATGCAGCATTTGATGTGCGCTACGTTTGTTCCGGAAAACCCGTACAACCTGGAGTTCGGAACCTACGTCAGCATCCTCCGTGTGGACCCCGACTCGCAGCTGGTCTGGTTTCGCGGTCTGGTGCACCCCGACGCTCCCTTCGGGGACGAGTTTCGCGAGAGGTTCGAGTCGGACCTGGAAAAGATCAGCACGCGCTTCGGCCAGGACCGGGCCAACGCGCGCCGCAAAGCGGAGATGGAGCGCAAAATGCAGCTGGCGAAAGAGAAACTTTTAAACTCCATCGGCAAGGGGAAGAAGCCCGTTAAGCAGCGTAAGTCCGCGCCCGCGGTGCTGAGTCCGACGCAGCGGAAAAAGCTGCTGGAGGAGGAGGAGCGGCTCCGCAAGCTGCGCGCACAGCAACCCTCGTCTTCCTCCTCCGCGTCCAGCAGCAGCGCGGGGTCCTCGTCCGAAGCGGAGAGCAGCGCGTCGAGCAGTGCGTCCTCTTCCAGCGCTGCAGGACAGGATCAGGAAAATGATGTGGAGGAGAAGCCGCCTGCGACAGATGATTTTGACGACCCGCGGAACCCGTTTTCGTATGCGAAGGAAGACCAGACCAAGGCGGCGCAGACCGGGACTTTGTTGAAGCAGACCGCGAACCAGCTGGCCTTGGCCGACCGGAAGAAATTTGCGGTCTCCTTCGCGGAATTCGAAAAATACGTCTACGACATACAGTACTGCGAGCACGCAGATTTGGTGCACGGGAGCCGCCAACCGGTCGACTGGAAGGAACAGGCCGTATTCAACACGATAAGGGGGGTCTTCTCCAGCTTCCCCGCAACCGCGGCGAAGAGTCCGAGCTCGGTGCGGCAGCACATGCTGAACCAAACGATCAGTCCGACAAGTCGCGGTTCTAGTGGCTTGACACTGAATTTCAGCAACTTCCTCCGAAACACGAGCGAAAACACCTGCTACGACGTGTTCCGAGCGTTGGTTCGGCCGGAGTTTGAGGAGTTCGGGATCGACCAGCTGCGGTGGTACGTGCTGGTAAACCGGTGGAACCCGCGGCTCAGCGAGCGCGACCTCGGCGACCTCTGGCGCGAGTGCGACGCGGACCAAGACAATTTTCTGAACTATGTGGAGTTCTTCCGGCTCTTCGATTTGTCGAAAACCTTCTGTCGTCCGGGAGGAGCATCGTGAAGAGACGGAAAACAAATATGAATGTATGATTTCTGGTGCGCTGCACGTTTCGTGTTCATTCGCCTCACCGACTGTGCATCTTCAAAGATGATGGTGCAGGCGGAAAAATTGCGTTTCGTGCAAACAAACTAGACGCAAAGTTCAGGACCTGAGTATTGAAGATTTCTTTATGCTCAGATTCAGGTTCACTTGTTTTTCTCGCGCTCTACTTTTTCACACGGACGAGAGGAGCATCTGAGAAGGGAAATAAGAGGCTCGGTCCGAGTTGGTGCAGGAGCGACGCTAACTCGCGGTAGTTGAAGTCATGGTCGAAAATCGCCGGTCAAATAGAGGTCCAAAACAGGTAGATATAAAAAGAGAAATAGACATGGAAGTCACTACAGCATCACAGCAGGCAACATGTTGCGAATGCATATGCAGAGTCTGGCTTAGTAATAAGAGTGGCTCATGAGTTTTTGCACGGATGCATCATCGATCGGGCTGACCATGAACTCGGGTGTATTATGTTGTGGGATCTGCGGGCGAGCCGTGTGCGTGTCCAAATGGGAGAGCAGTGTCGAAGTACAAACTTTGAGGTAGGATTCCGTTTAAGTGGTCGCGCTTATAGCGATGTGTGGCTTTTTCGATTCATCGGGCTGTTTGAATCCATTGTAAAACACTCACTTCGTAGGTGCAGGATGTCACTGTCGTGCAGACGCATCGCAGTGGCTTCTGTGAAAAATCTAATGAGCTCGAACTCTTCTTTTGTATGATTTCATTTACGTGTATAATGCACCCTCTCCTCATGTTTCTCTTTGTTTCTTGTAAAAAATGTGATCAATGAAAATGAAACCGGAAGACCACACGCACCTGCGCACTGACACGTGAAGATTCCAAGAACTACAGCTATTCACCCAACGAGCCTCCAGGAGAATCCAGAGCGGATCACCGCCATGCGGTCGCGCAGGAGCAATGTCCTCGCGCTGGCAGCGTATCACAGCTGCTTTACGGACATACAAAAAGGCACAGTTTACTTCGTGGCTGCGAGGAGAAGGATGTTAAAGAGGGAGCCGCGGAAAAGGATCGAGCCGGACGCAGATACCGAAGAAGTGGCGCAGACGGGCACTGCGAACAGCGGTGGTTTGTGGTCTACGCTCTTTTCCTGGTTTTCGGCTGACGGTACCACGGCGACGGAGGAAGTGGTTAAAAATGCAGAAAAAGACGTATCATGATGTTCTACTCTATGACAACTCTTTCGCAACGAACTGCCTTCTGAAGTCGAGCTGAACAATGCGTCATTGTATTGAACAAGGTGGGGCTCTTCGTATGTACATGTAGTTTGTAATGTTATGGAAATTTCATCGGGGATTTCAGAAAGATTAACCCAAAACCGAACCGCGATCTAGGTAAAAGTTCCCCAAGAAGCCGCGGCTGTGGAAAGCGCTCAGGATGAGCAACGCCCCGAAGATACCATGCCGTCTTTTATCCAGCTACAGGAAAAGCAGGCCCAAACCGCGGAGCACGCGCAGTCGAAGCCTTCGTTGGAAGCAAGGGGCGTCCAAACCGCAGAAGTAGTGGGTGGGACATATCCGCCAGGGGGCGGCGCCACCTCCACAAGTACGCGTGACAGTGGAAAGCAGGGCGAGACAGGTGGCGGGGTGCCATCAAGCAAATCAGCAGTGCAGCTACGGCAAGCCGCCGAAGAAACGAAGGCTGAAACTCGGAGACAATCACCTGGCGGAAGAGAGACACAAAATAAGGCGCCTTCATTTGTTGAAGCGGTATTCTTATGCCTGTGTTTGTTTTGTTGCCGGGCATGGAAGTTTCTTTTCTCTATCCTGTTTTTGTGTTTATGATCTGATTGTCGACCAAAAAGATAGTACTTACTCTCCTCCGGAGCTGTAGCTGTTGTGTCGAGACGTAGCGATCGACATCTGTAAAAGTGCACAAGTTCATCTTATCATGAACCTTCTATTGGTTTCGCACAGGGTGCGACGGGCGCGACCAGCACTCTTTCGATACAAGAACGGGCCGCGCAGTCATCCAGGGTCACGGCGAGTGCTGTCAAGAACACAAATGAAGTTGCTCACGGTGCGCAGGAGGGTAAGCCAATGGACCGCGCAGCGCAGATTGCAGACACTGAAATTTTTACTTTACGGGACACCTCGATGCAAGTGCAAGACCAAGATGAAGTACCAAACGCTGCTCGCTCACCGCGGACTACGTCAGAGGACCCGAGCAAGACAGAGGAGGCAAGCACGCAGGGTGAGCACGCGTCGAGGGCAGAGCAAACCGCTGCGGATTCCTCTGCAATCCAACTGCGGCAGGCCCGGGCCGAAGAGGACGCGAAGTTGAAGTCCCGGATGGAAGCAAGGGGTGCCAAAACCGAACAGGAGCTGTCGTCGGCGCTGCCGGCGGTAGCTGCGCAACGGAGCGGCGTCTCGCCCGTCACAGTGGCAGGCACGGCGAAGGAAACTGCGAGCGATTTGCTACACAGTTCGTCAGAAATCAAGCCACGGCAAGTCGCGGAAGAAACGAAAAGCGGGGCTCGGAGACAAAAGCAAGAAGGAACAGAGACACAGGAGAAGCCATCGCTCGATACGGTAATCGTACCATGGACGTGCATACTTTTTACGTGCAATTGCAAACTTCGTTCGTTTCATTTTGTATTTCTGCAATCTGACAATGTGGATGTGATCAATTTGAATTTCCCCCAGCCGCATAAGTAGAAGACGCCCTGCCACTGAGCTGTTGTGTCGAGAAGCGACGAGTTCTCATCATGAAGTTTTCTTTTCTTTCGAATAGGGGTCGACCGCGACAGGCACGACCAGCACTTTTTCGACGCAAGAAGGGGCTGCGCAGTCACCCAGTGCCACGACGAGTGCTGTCACCAACACCAATCAAGTGCTGCACGGTGCGCGAGGGGGTAAGCCTACAATCAGCGCAGCGCAGCTCGCAGACGCTGAAATCTTTTTTCCACGGGACCCCGCGAAGCCATACCAAGGTGAAGTGCTAGACCCTGCTCGCTCACCGCGGACTACGTCAGAGGACCTAAGCGAGAAGGAGGAGGAGAGCGTGCTGGGTGACAACGGGTCGAGAGCCGAGCAAATCGCTACGGATTCCTCTGCAATGCAACTGCGGCAGGCCCAGGCCGAGGAGGACGCGAAGTTAAAGTCCCGGATGGAAAAAAGGGGTGCCAAAACCGAACAGGAGCTGTCGGCGGCACTGCAGCCGGCGGCACCCGCGCAACAAGAGAGCGGCTTTACCCCGGCGGGAGCTCGCGACAGCGACAAGCAAGGCGAGACTGGTCGTGATGTTAAAGCGCAATCGAGCACAGCGTTTCAGCTACAGCAAGCTGAGGCAGGAAGGGAAACCGTCGATGCTCGGCACTTAGTGGCTGCGCAACAAGGTGGGCAGAAGACGCAGGAAAAACGACCAGCATCGCTTACGGTATTAATTGCTTTGATTGCTGTAGTTGTGAGTAATGGGGTTGGGGATGCAGATTGATTTACTTTGATTGTGGCTCTTGCTGTCATTATAATTAATCTGACTGTTTGCTATTGCTGCACCTTCGACGCAGCATGCTCTTCCGTGGGGCCTCGCCAATTGCGTATTTTTTTTTGTCGGATAAGAAAAAAATTAAGATAAGAGAGCATCCGAATTTCCCCTCCCTAAATATATACATAGAAATACAGAACAACCCGGCCAGTGGGGTTGGTCATGTTGGGCTGGTCGTGCCATCGTTGCAGAATTTTCAAAATTGGGCAAATTCATCAGCTTCACCAGCTTCACCAGCTTCGCCATTTTTCCGGATTTGCCAAATTTCACGACTTCATCAGCTTCACCAGCTTCACCAGCTTCGCCATTTTTC